AGTCAAAGCAGTAGAGAAATCCTTGGACATAGAGTTTGATACATTCAATACGAAAACGGTGGCTTTCTTGTTGGCCATGCTGATAGAATGGTATGATGGGTAAAGAAGAAAAAGCAATCAAAAACACCGGCCTTCAAAATGTACATGGCAAGTTTTATACAAACGCATTAACATTGGAAAACCAGCTCGGCACTGGGTCGAGTCGAAGAAGTATTGATTCTTCACAGGCTATGCTCTGCAGCCTATGAAAGTTTGAGTTTATTGATACATGTGAATAGTTAAAAGATTATTGATTGGTAATACATAGAGGCTTTTTTGATTATACTAGTATGGATATGAAAAGTTAGACGCCGAGCCATTTGCGACCCATGTTGAAGACGCTTTGAACATTGACACCATCATTATTATTTACATTGGATGGTTCGTCGTCCGTGTTGGTATCATCTTGATAGTAACTTGGTGTCAAGTTATTTTGGTCTGTGAAATAGCTGAATGGGTGTTGTTCAGATACGAAGGGGGTATTATCCACTAGAGATGGAATATGAAGTTCACCACCAGATGAGTAGCGTCTGGCTATGGATGAGTGTGCGATTGAATGACTGTGCATGTTGTTGTGGTTGGCTGTATTTTCATATACATCTAATGCTTCAGAGGCAACAGAGTCGAGGTCAGAAATAGAATGACTAATACAAAAGGATCAGATAACCTGATACAGTGTAATGTGCTTAAAGTGACATATAACCTTTTACCTTTCTCTTGGCTCTTCATGATGCAAGGTATGAAGAGTTGTTCTGTCGCATTCCTCATCGGCATCTTGAGTGTCATTTGTCTCTAGCTGGGATGCTTGAGGTCGAATGTGTATAATGTTGTTCTTGATGAAAGCTAGTTTCTCAGTCAAATCATCCAATTTATCACTCAATAAAGCTTGTGCTGCCTCCACAGATACTAATGGCTTCTGCTGTGTTGAGGAAGAGGAGGATGGCTCCAGATGTTGCACTGGCACTACTCTTTCCTCGTAGTCTTCATAGCTATCAAAGTTGATGTTTGGTATTGTTCGAGCTGCATAAAATTCCCGTGGGGGTGGTGGTGCTTGCATTTCCTGTTCAATTGGACCTTGGACATGTCCTTGATACAGTTCTTCGCCATATTGATCCATCACCTGTTCATGATAGTATCATCAATTATTTCATCATCAGACATTTTTCTCCTGCTGCTATAAATTATATACCTGGCTACTATGTCTATTGTATGCTAAATTTGCAATTTGATCATCTCCGAGAAATTCAGCATCATCATTGTAATACTCCTCAAGGTAATGCTGATCTGCAATGCTGTATCCTGTAACATCGCCTTCCTCAGCATCTGTCTCCATCACAGCAGATCGTTCCCGTCGGCTCTTTTTCTTTTTATGTGATTTCTTCTTTTTTAAACTGGATGTACCAAATGGGTTTCTGGTTACGAATTGAGGCAAGTCGTTCTGGCCTCCCAAAACGGATTCAAATTCCCAGTCTCTTGGATTATCCAAATAGTTTTGAAGCGCTTCTCCTCTGTACAGTGTTTGATCATTGTAGTAAGGCGGATCGATCAATGGGTCATCATCTTCTAATTGAATGCCTTTGCTCTTGAAGCAACAGCAAAATTGTGATGCTGATGGAATGTAGTTTCTCCAAGTTAAATCAAATGCATGCAATTCATCGCCTACGAATGATTGTCGGTGCTGTTGCTTTTTCTTGTTGGGCAGACAAGGAAGCGACATCTCCAGTTGATGAATAAAAAGTTGCAGGAGAAAAAAAAAGTAGAGAGAAAGAAGGAAAGAGAGAAGAGAATAGAGAATAGAGAATACTAATAAAGATTAAATTATCACATGGTATCCATCTTGGGTATATAAAATATCACTCTTTTCCCTAGGAACCCGGAGTTGCAAAGGTACCACGAGCTGTAGGTTACATTTTGGTCCCCCAAAATGTTGCCTAAAGGGTATTTTTAAGCTCTTTTTCGTTCAATAAAAAAGGAACGAAATCAGGCAGGAAAGAGGGATGAATAGGTCAAGCATTTGCTATGCTTCATATACCACATTGGACGAGTGTTTCTTGGAAGGTGTTGGCTTATTGACATCTTGCGCAAATGCATCTTTCTCAAGTAAAGAACAAAGCCTTGTAAATGTATACTTTCCCACATGGCCATTTATGATCAAAGCGCTAATACCTCATGAGTAATGTGCATTATAAATACAGGTTATTACTCTTTGAATTCTGCTAGTTTTTGTCAGTTAAAAATCGAGCTATGTAGCATGTCCAGTGTCTTTGATTATTCGTTGCACGCTTCAACAGTAAAGTATTTTCGCTATCATACAAAAAAAGCCTATTTCTGTGTTGTGTAGGCATGGCAATAAAGCTGCATCTGTGTCATGATTATACAAGCAAATACAACAAAATATCCTAGATGAAGTTTCTTGCAACACAGCAAAAATGAATGAAGCAATCAGACAAATCTATCAGGCGAATTTAAGCAAGAATGTTTGTGTAAAGAAAAGGTTATGATTTTTCAAATTCTTCATCCAAAAAATATAAATTTTTGGCGAGATCTAGTGCTTCATCTATGCAACAGATGTAAGTGATAGCAAGTTCAATAGCCAACATATTAGTTTTCCTCTGCTAACACCTAAAGTAACATCCAAAACAGTAGGCTTACTCTTGATCCAGTGTCATTTTAACAGTTACGACATTTGACAGACAAATAACCATTTCCACTCTGTTATCACGAACAAAATTTGCCTTACCCTGACACAATAATGTCGCTACTGACCAGGTTCACTTTAGAAGCTGGATTTGCTCATTGTTGAAAGTTCTAAGAGGCCTATTGCAGAAAAGTGCGCATATTATGTAAAAATGTGAAGACTCTACAAGCAAAATGGCTTTTGGCATTTTACGTAAGTATGAATAACCCTGTCTATATCTTTTTGACAAAACTTACAAGGCACAAGCAAAAATGACACTAGGGGTAATCGAGGAGAATCATATGCTTGGTCCGGTAGAAGTAGTAATACCTACTAGAATTTAACATTTCCATATGTAATACACTTAATTGGCCATCCTTACTCACATAAAATTCTACGACTGATGCCAAGTCTAATAATTATTACACATCATATTACTTTTGAATAAAGATGAATTGTAATTGTTGCGACTATTTGGATACTAGTTTATTACAAATACAAAATTATAATACATGACAGATCAATAGGAAATCAATTAGTTGTAGCCCATCGTTGTTTCAATCCCTGAGCCAATCAGATTGCTTGAAAACTCCGCTGACCTAAAAAAAATTTGCGAGGGTTTCCCCCTGTTTTGATGTGAGGCAAAATTTTAAGCGCCGCTATAATAGCAATATAGCTGCTGCTATCATCAAACTTCCCCCAGGTGCTAGAGCGTGCCTTACTTACACCACCTAGCTTTAGATTCTGGCGTTGAGACTCTCAATCATCACTAAAGTAAGTAGTGATAACCAAGTGGAGACAGCCTATCTACCTCCTAGCCTCGGATAGAGTCTTGTTGAGCTTCAGGGATAGGCACATCCACACAACGTAAAAAAAAGGTATGCTTCAAAGAAACATAAAAATAATAAAGGAAAGAATAAAAGAACATACTACTATAGGTGTATGGTAGTACATGGGCAAAAAATGGATACTCACACAAAGTGATTCAAAGAAAAGTATAAGTACAACATCAGAGATGCTCAAAAGAGCTCGTTGTTGCAACAAAATTGCATACACGAGCAAAATGCATGGTAATAGTCGAATGTAAAGTAACGCAAACACACAAAACTGCAAAAGCAATGGTGGTATAAATTTGCACTGCAACATAATGACTAACGTTGTCTCATGTGAAGCCACAGAGGCAACGTAACCAGCGAAAGAAGAAGAAAGCGCAACAAAGTAAATATCATGATAAAATGCATTATCACGAGAAAGGAAGCAATAATACAAACGTTCAAAGAAGTTTTATATCATTCCGACCAGAAGAAAGAAGATACTTACCACTTACCACCACTACAGATAGGCCAGAGGATACGCAATCACCAGATATAGACCAGAGAAAAAGCATGCACCAGACACAGTACACCAGAGAAGACCATATTAGCAACAGCAGCAGCAACACCAGCACCATGGAAAAACCAGAGAACAAACGACACCAGAGACCAGACAAAGACCAAACAACAAGCAGCACCAGCAGAGACCAGACAAAGACCAAGAAGCAGACAGCAGAGACAGCAGAAACGGAATGGCAGCAGCACCCACGTCAAACAAGCAAAAAAAATTATCAAAACCTAACAAACAAATTCAGTTAGTACTGATTCTGCGTCTTCCAGTGCTCGTTTATCGAATGGTATCTACTAAATCCCTCTTCAAAGAGGCAGTGTCAAGTTCTTTTAGCAATACAAGGCAGTGTGATCAGAAGTTGGAGTGTTATTATCATTCAAACGGTTTCCAAACCAACATGGTTTGATACTAAACGCGTTTTGCAAAAGGAAAAAAAAAACGGGATATAGAAAAATGAGAGGGCGTCCTATCCGACGTCACGGCTAGTAAATTTGGCCTCAGTCTTCTGCCACAGCAGCTGTCGCTGCGGCACTCAAATTTGGGTTTGTGCAGTTGTCATTTTTGTGTTCAAATTTGGATTGATCTGACATCCTTTAAACGTTTTTGCTAAATTTGACTATGAAAATTGTCATTGTTATACTTTACTTTCTATTGCGTTTATAAAGAGTCATTAAAAGCGCATCGAATGATGCTGGTTACATTTAGTTTTTAGACTGAAAATAATGAGCAATTTTCAAAAATATGAAAACAGGTTTTCTGTGAATATGTCAAAATTTAGCATATACAAGCCTCATAGAAAGGGTTTCCACTGTTGCATTCCATCTTTACGATCAATTTGATCTGATATGTATCATAAGAAAAGTCTTCATTTTTTGAGGTGAAAAACGCGATCGTTTGGTTTTCAAGAATTTTCCCTTGCTAATACACATGAAAAATATGCGAATTTTCATGGATTTGCAATGACCCAAAGAAATTTGAGATAAAGCATCAGGAAGTAAAGCGTGGCCAAAAGGAGGCGTGTGGTACTATTCCAAGCCCTCAAAACGCTTTGTGGCATGAGTTATTCGTGCTTGAAAATGACTAGATTTGAGCAGAATTCGACCTAAAACGAAGGGGGTAGTCGGTTGCATTGCCAGAAGAGTAAGTCTATTACGCTTGCGGAATACATCTACTATGATCTGCATTCCGACAGTTCATCCAGTTACCAGATTTAGATATAAACTGTATGTACACTGGATTAGATGTACGATATCGATTTATACTATAAGAAGATATTATGGACTTCAGATACGCTAGTACTATAAGATTCATACTATATAAGATATAGGCTATAGATGGCACCACGGACATGGATGGCGCTATAGACTTATACTTGTATTCCGGCATAGACTACGGATGTTTGCCATATCTGGATAAGCACCAAGATTAATGCAATACGAGCTTGTTGCTTCAGATGTGCACTTTATGATCCACGCTATAAGACACATGCTTATATCCGTGATAATAGCTACAGATACTTTATGTACTACAGACTTGTGCTATATATGAGACATGCTATAGACATGCATACGATATGCTATAGACATGCCATATATTCAGATACATGCTAAAGATGTATGCTCAGCGATATACACTCAGATATGTACTATTGATATAGACTAAGGAGATTGTACCTATCGGATACATGCTACTAGATCGATATTAATTATCCTTATAGAAAGGATAGATCAGGGCACTTTGGATGAGAGTCTAATTATTCATCCAGGCAAAGCTAAATCATGATTATTAGCTTGCTGGAGTTGTCTTTTAGCATGATTAGACATTAGTTGATCTGAGTTGACTTATTTGTCAATCTGATTAATAGAACTTTTATCCATTGTTATAGTATATAAGAAGGATCATCTACCTGGCCAGTAGAGAGACTTCAGTTTACTTTACACCTGTCAGTTTGATAATAAAATATACCTTTATCAAGTTGACATTACTGTTTTTTTTTATTCTTTTTTTCCGTGAATTTTAGTCTATAAAGCCTCAAATTCCACACTGTCATGTATTATAATTTTGTATTTGTAATAAAAAGAGTATCAAAATAGATCCGATTTATATTTTTCTTTATTCAAAAGTAAGACAAGATGCAAGTATTCATCACACAGTTTTATGCGAAGGATTTTCATTAATAAATTCAATATGTGAGGAAAGCCGTATTGGTACAGTAACATATTACGTGCAGTGAAGCCAGTTTTAATGGATTCGACAAATCAAATATGTCAATAATAAAATACAATAGAAATCAGCTGTAGTTTATTTGTGTATAGAGTGAACTGAAGATCCTGGAATTGAGCAAAAAAAAAAGAAGAGTAGTTATGTACGTATGTAACTGGCTTGTAGGGTGATTGATGATAGAAAGCAATAGGTGCTGCTGCTACGGTGATATCTGGCAAATGCTGTTGATGTTTGATTTAACGTAGTAATTAATGCAAGAGCGCTAGCCATAAGTGTCGCTTTGAGTATTTTTGGTGGTCTTGGATGAGCTATTGCCTCAACATGATTTGATGTAGCCTTGACAGTTTAAGGTGTGATGTTTGTTATTGAAGTGTAAAGCCATTTATCTATAGTACTGTGTCACTACGGCATTAGGGCATAGTTATCATATTTGAATATGTTTTTTGTTGGCTTGATTTTGTTTGGACAAAGATAGCGTCCCTTATTACGACCATCATGAGTGTGATTGAATTCACTACTACTGTGATCAAGAGTGATTCATTCACTCGACGATGTGCGAGATAAGTATGCATCTTTACTTTAGTATGTTCAAATAGTTGTTTTTTATACATTTGAGCGCTTTACTAATAGATTTAAATAGCATGAATTTGCACCAATGTCGATCTGCTACTTAATTTAAAGGCTATATTTGATAAAGGTAGCATATTTGGCGTACCATTTGAGCCACCCGCTAAAACAGCAGTATTTTAAATATGAATAGCCCAGATTTCATGCTGCTCTGAATCAGGATCCGTGGGTATCTGGAATCGTTCGACTTCCAAATATGCGATTCTGATGGTAACACTGTCTTCTTGCTAAAGTAAACTTAATGAGAACTTAAAGAATTCAATGATACCAATTTTAAGTGCATTGGTCTAAGATATTAGACTGATATTTGATAAGATAGTTTTACGTTTTTTGACAGTTTTCAAGAGATTAGTCAGTTCTGTCATCAAGATATTGATTCTAGCATTACTCAATATTGTACCTCCAGCTCTTGGCGCTTGAGCGTTTAGATCCATCAAGACCAGAGCAAGTGCACTCTCATTTAAATGACTGGTGAGTCATCCAAAGGACGACATGTAATTATCAAGCTTGACTCTTTTCTTCATTTCCAGAAATAACATGAAGCTCATATCTTAATGGGGGCCTGGTGACTTTTTCAAGGTTCGGTGAGTTGTCCATGATTGAAACTTTCAAAGCAGGATATCTGAAAGGCTTAAAATACAACATCAAGTATTCAGAGCAGTAAGAATTGAACTTGATTTCACAAAGCTATCCATACGTTTGTAAAAGCCCAAACCTGATTTGCTTTGGTAAAAGTATATGTGATCGTGTCATGATCAGCAAGAGATTCTTCACCTTTAAAAAGATGATCTACAATATGAGTGCAATTGTAAATGCTGCCTGATCCTCCGCAATAGTATCGAAACGTCTTATGCGGTTGATTATGTGCGTGACATTATGCCATATAACGACTCGAAACAAAGTTGTACGAATGCATTTGTAGAGATTTAATCCTCTGGATACAACTTAGCATCAGATTCTTTCACTTCAAACCCGTGACTGGGCGGATAATGACAATCTTATTACAAATCTTGAATGCAAACACTGGGAATTGAAAAAGAGAAAGAATCGGCATCAATACCCTCATCACTCTTTCCTGCAATACTACTATAAATAAAGAAAAATGGCTTCAATCACTGTTCCCATCACCAACACTGGCTCAGATGAGCCCATTCTGGACAATGGTCAAGGTGTCATTGATCCCGATGTCTACTTTCAAATAAATGAACCTCCTGCCGATTTACCAGAGTTCGAATCAAAATTAAACGCGTTCGTTGACTATCACAAGGAGCTTGGAAGCAAAGTTGTATTCATCACCGTAAGTCTAATTGGTATTTGTCTGTTATGAGCTCTTGTTAAATATGTCTTCTGATAGAGTGGTGGAACTACAGTGCCTCTGGAAAACCAGACGGTTCGTTTTATTGACAACTTTAGCAATGGCACCCGTGGCGCTACTTCTGCCGAGTATTTCTTGGAAGCAGGATATGCCGTGGTGTTCATGCATCGTCAAAACAGTATTCAGCCTTACAACCGTCATTATACACACTCAAATATGGGATTTTTGGACTATCTAGAGCCCAAAGAAAATGGCTCAGTGCAAGGTATTTTATCACTCTGTGAGTATTTGAAGGAGGAGGGGGAGGGATACTAAGTTGAGGATTCTGTATAGTTCTTGCACAATATGCTACCAAGATGCATAAACTTTTGACGAAATACAACCAAGCCAAGGACAACAATCGAATCTTGATGCTTGATTTTGTTACACTTCCTGAATATTTATTCAAGCTTCAATTAGGATCAAGAATATTAGCTCGTTTGGAGACAAGGGCCATGTATTACCTTGCTGCAGCTGTCAGCGATTTCTTTATTCCATCACAAAAAATGGCAGAGCACAAGATTCAATCCCGTGATGGTGGTTTGACATTGACCTTGGATCAAGTGCCCAAATTCTTGAAGCCACTCGTCAGTAACTGGGCAACCAAGGGGCTGATTGTGTCATTCAAGCTTGAAACCGATAACAACTTGCTCGTTCCTAAAGCCAGACAAGCACTCACTCGCTATGGCCATCAGGTTGTCATTGGCAACATGCTCAAGACCCGCAAGCAAACAGTGACATTTATTACTCAACACAGTGAGAAAGTGCTATCACTCACACCACAACAGATGGAAAATGGTATTGAAATTGAAAGTGAAATCATCCCCGAACTGGTGCGAATTCATCAAAACTGGATCGACTCTGGCAAAACCGACTAGAAACAAGCATCATCCTAGAGCGTTATAGTGTTTATATCTTTTTTTTTATATAATTAAAATGTATATGTTATATGTATGTATGAAGAGAAAAAAAGAAAGCAGGGAGGAGAGGAGGAGCGAAAGAGAGAAAAAATGTACAATTTTGCTTAGATGTGAAAGAGAAGCATTAAAACCTTAAATTAAATTTCTATCGTTTGAATGAAGATGTAAAGCCAAAGTTAGGCTCTTCCATCTTTTCGCGACGAGGCGATTTGAGTCTGACCTCTGTCATCAAAGGGATATGGCTACAAAAGAACAATGATCAGTATACATCCTTTGAAAAAAGTGCATCCATGAACTTACTCTGAAGGGAAGTGAGGATTAGGGAATCCAACCACTTTGTCGAGATAATCTTGGCTGACACCGCCCAACAAGGACATGACGTCTAATGTATTACTGGTATACCATATATAATCCAAAGTGCCCTTATACCCAGGAGTATAGTTTGTAACATCTAATTCACCCACTTGACTGTAACTACTCTTTAAAGCCAATTTGTGTGATATGCCCTCCGAAGTGAAGGATCCGTATGAATGGTTTCCAAATTCAGGATGATCCTTGGCCAAGGTGCCCTTTGAAAGCAGTTCATAAACACCTGATTCAGGCACGGAATTGAAATCACCACAGATGATTGTTGGCAGCATGTTGATGGACTCATAGGTTGGCCCTGCTGATCCAGGTGCAGGCGACAGATGCTTGCTGGCAAAATTCTCAATCTCTTCCATCATCATGCCCACTTGCACCAGCTTGACATCTGCAAACTGTGGATCCCAAAAGATGTGTGAATTCACGACCAAGATACGAGCTAGTGTTTCCTTGTTCTCGAGGATAACCATGACAGCAATGTTGTCCTTTGTCATGACACGATTGTAGATATCGTCGCTTTGTTTGAAATCAGATCGTTGAAGCGCCCTCTGATTGTATTCCAAAATGTGATGTTCAATGAGGTTATACTTGGATGCCTTGTAAAAGATGGCACAACCATCCACTTCTCGTCTTTCGTTTGCAGCCATTGTCTTTGCACGGGTCTTTGGAAAGAATACGCCATCATAGTCACCACGCTCCTTGAAAGCGTCACCCAAAGCACCTTCATACTGCTTCATGGCAATTTCCTGCAAACAGGCAATATCGGCATTGTAACTGAGAACCTCTGAGATGATCAGCTCTTTGCGATAGTCCCAATTCAAAGCCCATGAGGGCGTATAACCATAGGCTTGGCTAGTTGCATACTTTTGGCAGAGAATGTTGTAGCACAATACTGTGAACTTGTCTATGGTAATTATAAGATTAGGCTTTGGCTTGTGTGTGTGTATGTGTCGTCATGTCCTAAATACCGGGATCGTTTTCTGTAGTGTCGTTTTCAATAGTGATCCATTCGCGATGAGGTGGTGGTAAGCCAACTATTACAAGCAGGTGGTTCAGTTGCTGTATGCGCATTCCATTTCAAAAGGGGGGGGGGGCCTACCTGGTGCATTTTCTCTCAACGACATGATGACAGCCTGCGTCCCTTCTTTCATCAAAATGTTCTTTATATCCGACTGAATAGGATTTCCCTCCAAGCCCAACATTTCCAACTGATACAACATGCCCAACTCGTTCGGTAAACTGGTGATGTTATTGTCAAATAAGAGCAGATCACGCAAATTGACAAGCAGGCCTAATTCAGGTGGTAATGCAGATAGTTTGTTGCCTGAGCAATCCAATGTTCTCAGATTAACGAGCTTGGCAATGTCACTGGTGAGTTTAGTGAGGTTATTGTGGTTCATGTAGAGCACGGTCAAGAATTTGTATGAGCAGAGGGTGGGTGAGATCTGCTTCAATCCCATACCGCCAATGTCCAACGTAGTCCAGGTCTGTTTTTCGCTCGAGTTGCTGCTGGATGTGTTTATATTGTCGGTGCGGTTAAAGATCTTGTTGGGATTGTTGGGATCCGTGATAGTTACAGTGGAAGCGACAGGTGTGGAGCGAGCCATAGCAGCGGCCGTGCGAGCATGATGGTGAGGCGAGGATGACTGACGCGAGTTTTGTGCGTAGGTGAGTTGACGTGTGACATGGACAGTGTTGCTGCTATCAGACATGATGGTGCTTGTCTGCTTTTGCTGCTGCTGCTGCTGCTGCTGCTGCTGCTGAGGCTGTTGCGATTGCGATTGCTGTTGCTGTGGATAGCGACTGAACCCGTTGCTAGCATAAAGTGGCATCGTGTGATACACAGAAGGAGAGGACGCTCCCGAGTTGTTCTGAGGGGACGCGCCATTGTTGTAGAATTGCTGCTGCTGTTGCAGATGCCCCTGAAGAGGAGGATATCCAGCATTGCCATTCATAGTTGGATCTTTTTCTTTGTCAAAGGACATGGATGATTTCTTTTCAAGGATTTCTCTATTGATTTGGGATGGACGTGAAAAGCTTTAGCCATGTATTTCGAGATGCAAGCGTCTGTTATTTTTTCGTGATTTGTGTTGCGTCTTGTACTATATAACACGTTCTTTTTTGTTGCCTCTTCTTTCCTTTTATTTGTATCAAAATGTGTAGCAATAAACTTGGATTACGATTGCTGTGTTCCCCAGGTATCGAAGGATAATGAAAAAAAAGCCCTCACCCGACTTTGTGACTGGATCGCAACAGCATGCTTGCTTCCTCGATGCATTGCTTCTCTTTCACTCTTCTGCATGTACACTATGGGCGATGGGTATCGACTCCTCACAACCTATCCAACATCCCCAGCTCTTGAAGGGGCATTACAGGGATGCTTACAGCAAGTGGATGATCATTAATTCGGTCAACAAGAAAGCATCGGAGGCTATCCATCTCCAATGTCTCCTATACTGTCTGGACGATTGGGCCCGAGACGCCATCATTTATTATAATTTAGCTTTGCTACTCGTTTGTTTCTCCTTGAGGTACAGCTCACGCAACTCTTTTCTCAAAATTTTACCAGAGACACTCTTGGGTACGACATCAATCAACTGTATACCGCCTCTCAGTCTCTTGTAATGGATAACCTTTTCATCAATGAAACTGTGGATCTGCTTGATAGCTTCCTGTTCTTCCAAAGCTTTGCCCGCCGGGGATAGGGAAATATATGCTCTCGGAATCTCTGTCTGTCTCTTTTCATCAAAGATGCCAATCACAGCAGCATCAGACACGAGAGGGCATTTAAGCAATGTATCCTCTAGTTCAGCAGGCGCAATTTGATAGGCATTGAACTTGATCAATTCCTTGCAACGATCCACGATGAACCAGTTACCAAGTTTATCGACATAGCCAACGTCGCCCGTGTGCAGATATCCGTTGCTATCAATCGTTTCAGCAGTAGCTTTTGGGTTGTCAAGATACCCAAGCATGACGATGGGCCCTTTGATGCAGATTTCTCCACGCTCACCAGCAGGTAAATCTACATTGTATTTAGCCAAAAGGCCTCAGTGGTCTACTACATACACTGCGTACCTTTGCCATCCTCATCAACCACTTTGGCATCAATGCCACCAATCATTCGCCCAACAGATCCAGGCATGTAGGTTTCTGGAGTTTGCGCTGTCAACACCGAAGCCACTTCTGTCATTCCGTAGCCCTTGACGTGCTTGTTAGCAAACAAGTCCTGATTTGACTAAAATAACAAAAACTTACTTGCAACACAGGCTTCTGGAATTTTTTTGTGATAGCATCTGCCATTGCGAGAGATACAGGAGCTGCTCCAACATGAAAAGCCCCCACATGAGAGAAATCATACTTGTCGACAATGTGAGGCGAGTTGAGCAGATGCAAAAGCATAGGTGGAACAACGACGACAGTAGTTACTTTGTGTTTGTCAATCATTTGACACATCTTTTCCAGATCATATTGAGCCATGAGGACAGTCGTTCTTCCTTCAAAAAGAGACATGTTGATGAATCGGAATAGACCCAGAATATGGAACAGAGGCACAATGGCGAGCAAGCAGCCATCACTTTGCAGTGCATTGCTAGCTTGTGTCAATTGATTCAGTTCCACAGCATTGGCAATAAAGTTGTGGTGGCTAGAGGCATGTCAGTCTCAGGCGTCATCAGTGAAAATGGGAGCATTCTTACCTGATCTTGACACCTTTCGGAGGGCCTGAATGATAACAACCGGGTAGTTAGTAGCACTTTGAGAGGGAAAGAGAGAGAGAGAGATTGGCATTGCACTTACCTGTGGTGCCACTGGAGAAACAGAGATAGGCAAGTGTATTTCTGCATTCTGCGGCCGTGTATTTGATGGGATCAGCTTCTTCGGTTGAATTAGCTATCATTGCCTTCCAGTGCTTTGCTCTTTTTTTGGGATCATCGTTGATACACCATACATTGGATGCTGGGATACCCACTAGCTTGGCTGCCTCCAGTGCAGTGTCCAAATTAAATGAGTGGGCAATGAGGTATTTGGCCTTTGACATGATGAGAAGCTTCTCCAATTCTTGAACATTGAACGCCGGGTTTGTGGGACTGACATGTCCACCTAGAATAGTGCGTTTAGTGCCCTCTTTTGAAAGTGCTGGGAAGAGATGAGCAAGTACCTGAGGCCAACACACTCAGGAAGATGGGAGGAACACCGAGCTACATTGAATGGTATATTAGTTGGCGATATCGATCTACATGGCATGTTCTGACTTACATGGTTTGGGCTGTAAACGCAAACACAATCACCTCGCTGCAGGCCAATTCTTTGAAATCCGGCAGTTGCTTGACGGATCAATGTCTTTAGCTCACCGTAGGATACAGTTTCATCTGTGTTGGCATCAATGTAGACCGGTTTCTCATCAGATATACCTCCGTTATTGCTCAATACTACGTCAACCAGATTAGTAAATTTGTATGTATTTTCTTTGAATACCATGGTAGATGGAAAACCAAAAGAGAAGCAACTAACTGTGTGGGTAGATGTACATATCATATATAGGTTCCAAAAGAAAAAAAAAAAAAAAAAACCTGTTTAAGGGGTAAACACGATGATGCGGCGCAATCGTTTTCCCTTTGTATCCTGATACACAAGCTAGTGCATTACAGGATATTTCCCACAACACGGCTCAAGATCACACATTTAATAAGCTCAACTATCGGGCCCATCATTCAATCTGCTAAGCTGAAAAGGTACAATTTCATCTTGTAGAGCTACGGTACTTGATGCAAGTTAGATGGAGAGGCTTTACGGGTTAAAGAATGCACCTTCTAGCTTAACAGATTGGATCAATAGATTGAACCTGAACTTAATGCCATCTTTATTACAACATTTGCCTCGCAGTCTATAGCAATCCGATACTGCGCTATAGACAATCGCTATTGCCATGCCGGCATGCTCTTCACATTTATCTAGCTCGCATCAATGGCATTGTAGCATAGATATCCCATCAAATCTTGACAATCCATGTAAGGTACGCAATCCTTTCATGCGACAATCCATTTGCTATTATACAATCCAAATTCCTTTTCTCGTTAGAAGAAACTAGCCTTTATGAATGGTTTGCATTGAAATCCTGCAAGTAAAGTCAACTAGACATTCCTTACAAAATGTACACAGCATCCAGGACAGAACATATCATTCAAGACTTGCTAATAGAGACATTGCGGATCAATGTGATCCTCTAGCCGAGAAGATATCACTCCTACAAACGGCATTGATATACAATTCAGATAGAAAAGTATCTAGTACATGGCCCACAGTTCTTTATACTAGAAAGAAGCTCGACAGAAACCATCATGTTGCATAATACAACTGCCAAAGATGTCTAAACCAATGCTCGCTGATGTTGAAAACGTATGACGTGGACTGCAAGAAACGTAGGCAAACGTAATCTAAATGTTCAGTAGTAAAAAAAAAAAAGTAATACGCATCCATTGCCCCTCTTCTTCTTCTTCATTCACTGTAGAATTATATAAAAACAACAAAATACCAACATGTCAGACGGAAGATTAGAGAAAATGGATAAGGATTTCAGTCCTCAAGTCGATGCCCTGTTACCTGAAACTGAGGGCTTGGCCAAGGTAAGGAATCATTCGCCCTGTTAGAGTTCTATGACGCGTTCATTGACATATGCTTCATTATCGTAGCAAGGAAAGTTGAATGAGGCCTTGGAAAAGTTATTGTCTCTTGAAAAGCAAGCTAGAAATGTAAAAACTATCAGCATTCAGCATCTCACCATGTATAGGCCATTAACATTCGAGATTATAGGCTGCTGATCAAGCATCCACAGGCCGTATCCTTGTCCAGGTTGTCACTTTATGCTACCAAGCCAAGGATTGGAAGCTCTTGAACGAGCAAATTGTCTTGTTGTCCAAGAAGCATGGTCAACTCAAGGCTGTAAGTGTGATGGGATGTTGTTGGAGAGAGTGTAGCGCTCATCCGTCTATTGTGTAGGCTACCTCAAAGATGATCCAAGAAGCAATGACATACCTCGACTCAACACCCGATATGGATACAAAGCTTGAACTGATCGATACACTTCGTACTGTCACTGATGGCAAGATTTATGTTGAAGTTGAACGTGCACGTATCACCCGTCTGTTAGCAAAGATCCGTGAAGACGAAGGAAAGACAACTGAAGCTGCCGATATCCTTCAAGAGCTTCAAGTAGAAACATTCGGCTCAATGGACAAACGTGAAAAAGTTGATTTCATTTTGGAGCAAATGAGACTCTGCTTGGCCAAGTCTGATTACATTAGAACTCAAATCATCTCCAAGAAGATCAACACCAAGTTCTTCCAAGACAAAGAGAACGAAGACCTCAAGCTTAGATTCTATGATTTGATGATTCAACACGCTTTGCACGAGGACCAATACTTGAACGTTCACAAATTCTACAAGCAAATCTACGACTCAGAATCCATCCAAGAGGATGAAGCCAAATGGAAGGAGGCACTTCAAAATGCAGTTTTATTCGTTGTATTGGCACCCTACGACAATGAACAATCCGATTTACTCAACAGAATCTACCGAGATGTCAAATTAGCACAAATCCCTCAATACCAAGAAATCGCCAAATGCTTTGTCACCAGTGAATTGATGCGTTGGTCTGAAATCGAGTCAACTTATGGCCAATTATTGAATCAATCAGCGGCATTCAGCAGCGCTACTGAGGATGGACAAAAGAGACTAAAGGAGCTTCACAATCGTGTGGTCGAGCACAACATCCGTGTCATTGCCAAATACTACACTCGCGTATCCACAAAGAGATTGACTCAATTACTTGATCTGAACGAAAAGGACGCTGAAGAGTTTTTGTCCAAACTAGTTGTATCCAAGACAATTTATGCTCGTATTGATCGTTCTGCTGGTGTCGTTAATTTCCAAACCAAGAAGGATGCCAACGAGATTTTGAACAACTGGTCCAATGACATTAACTCTTTATTGAACTTGATTGAAAAGACATGTCATTTAATTTCAAAGGAGGTAAGTGTCGTATGTGTGTGTAAAAGCTGTGTAAGATATTGATACAACTTTATCGTAGGAAATGGTTCATAGCATAGCCAAGGTCAAATAAGCTTATAAATAAAAATCGTACATATATTTTCTGATATAATGTGAAGGTTTATTTGTATTTCAATACCAAGACATGCTTGTTTCAGGAGGACTTCCATCGTACAGGAATCTTGAAGAATTGTTGCAGCGTCTTCTTGTCATGTACAGACAATTCGGGTGCTGGCAATGCACCGCCTCGCAAGTTGGTTTGAATGGAAGGATGGATATATCGTGGTGCCTTCAATTTGGAGTCTCTTTCTTGACGCAATTTCTGATATTCTTCCAGAGAAACAGATTCATTGATCATCTTGTTGAACTTTTTGTGCTTTTCGAGGCTAGCGACCACACGGTACTAATACGAAATGGATGAGTAAGAAAAAAAAAAGAGTGTGCGCATCAGATGCAAGTCGAGACTTACTGGGCGGTCTGCAGGTGGGTAATCATGACCAACGTAGATTCTTGTATCATCAGGCCAGCTAGCATACATCTTGTGGATGCTACGATACATTGTCTTAGCACTGCCTCCTGGGAAATCACAACGCGCAGTTCCTATATCAGGCTAAAATTTTAAAGTTTAGACAAATTCCATGTCAACGCATCTTGGTGTGATGGTTACCATAAATAAAGTATCGCCCACGAATGCAGCATCACCAATACGATACGACATACACGCAGGTGTATGGCCAGGTGTGGCCAGGACGCTGCATTGGATGTTCTTGCCCAAAGTCCATTGAATACCCTCAGAGATTAGCTTGTCAAATTGCTCACCAGTAGGCTTCAGTTCATCCCGAGTCAGGTTGTACTTTTCACCGAATACTTGTTGCACTTGAGTTACATCCTTGCCCATCCAGAATTCAGGCTTGGAAGGCAGTTCAGCTTTCAGATATTGAGCAGCAGACAAATGGTCCTATTGAAAGGGAAGGAATAAAGTGAGCATTTTAGCTATTGGTAAACATCAATAGAATTTACCGCATGGACGTGGGTGTCGATAATTTTTGAAACATTCAGTTCGTACTTTTCTATGAACTGCATCAATGTCTTTGCCAATAAAGGGTGAACTGTGGATGAAAACGGATCATAGTTTAATACGGGATCCACAATGAAGGCTTCCTTGGTTTCTGTGTAGGTGTGCGAGAATCATGTCAATGTTAGCCATTTCAAATTTATCGTACGTTATAACGTTTTGTGCTACCTAAATCTGTTACCACATATTGAGCTGTTTCTGTCTCTGCATCAAACAGTGTATGGACCCAGGGAGAATGGTTGTTCATAAAGGGTTGGACAGGGCCTTCCCATCCCTTGAGACCTCCATGCAAACTGTACACATCTTCAAATCCAAGTTTCTGGGCAATGATAGCTGCTTCATCACTACGGCGTCCCGACATGCATTGGAATACGATCTGTCATTTTCGTATTAGTATTTCTTGCTCTGTACATGTCAAAACACACAAACACACATACCTTGCCATGCTTGTTCAAATCAGACAGGCCAGCAGCAAACATGACTGGATCCAGTTTGAATGGCACATTCAATGCGCCTTTAATCTTGCCATGCTCTTCAATTTCATGTCGTTCTCGAACATCTACAATGATAAAATCATCATGAGCCTTGGTTTCCTGGGCCGCTAACCAGGAAGACAGTTGATTTGCAGTAACCTGTCTTGCAGTCGTCATGTTGTTGGTTGAATAGAATCGTTTGGTTGTTAAGTTTCTTTTTGTAATGAACCGAAGCATCTTTAATGTGAGCTCTATTTATATTGCAAGAATTAAAAAGAAGAAAGAATTGTATCTAGCATTAGAGATCCAGATTATAAATACAGGAATGCGGGGTTCTCATCCAGTCATACTCAATTGTCCTCGTAAGCATTACGCTGACCAACGTAAAACTACGAATTTCACATTGAACACAGCCTGTGTGTGGGGCAAGCAGCCAGAATTAAAGGATTGGAATTTTCCAAAAAAAAAAAAAAAAAAAAAAAAAAAAGTTTGTGCTAGAATTTCAGTGAGATATCCATGTACTACACAAGGTTGATGTGTTTATTAGGCGTTGCATTGGTTTGCATGTTTATGTGTAAATGAAATATGAACGGAAAACTGTAATTCCTAAATGACAGGTGAAATGTCTACTATGAGGACACTTTTTTTTGCTGGCATTGTTTTCAATTTAGTGAGTAAAAAAAAAAAAAAAAAAAAAAGCTTCTTTTTTTTTTTCAGTTACTATCGATACGACTTATCGACTTGGATGTGTACCATCAGAGCCACTACACTTTTTTTTTTTTTTTTTTTTTTTTTTTTCCCATATCACCATGGATTTGCATGATCAAACACACAAACATAAACAAGATTATATAAGGCGTGATTGGATGTTGAAACGATACAAACGAAATGCTTAAAGAGAGTTGTACAAAAGGGAGGGGGAGATTTCAGGAGATCTTGTTTGCTATAAAAAGGGTCTCTTATTTTGTGCTGCTGTCCTTATCTCACCCATCATCACCACCATCATCATCATCATCACCCACTTATCATCATTATTGTCTATTTTTGTTGGGGGGTTGGAAACACAAATAAATACATATAAGATTTAAAAATGATCTCGTCTGCTTTTTCATTTTCATTTCGTTTCTTTCTTTTACAAATCCTAAGATTTACAATGCGTGATTGGTTAGCCCTTCCTCTCAACACAAATGCTGCTGGATCCTCATCCTCTTCATCGACGTCGTCCGCAAAGCACCAACTCAGCAGCGATGAGGGTATCACGACAGATGAAGATGAATACCGCTACGATATTATCCATGAATCTGCACCTACAGAAGAAGAGCTGGAAGCAACTGAATGTCAACACGATGGCCAAAATGAAGAATTGTCGACGTGGTTATCCATCTTGAATGTGTTTGGTGTTGCAAGCAAGATGAAGAAGAAGAAATCCTCCTCTTCGAGCTCTTCTCTCTCTTCATCCACATCATCGCTTGACATTAAAAAGTCGAGAGAGACTATACCAAAGCCAGAGATTGATGTTGCCATTGAAGAGGAGGAACACCAAGAGGAGTCAGATGTTGGCTTTGACCAAGACCAAGACCAAGACCAAGAACAGGAACAGGAGCCCACACAATTGCAAAGAACACTCTCTTCAAGTAGCATTGCCTCTTCCACTGACACTGACAATTCGACTCCTGCTTCGTCTCAAATTATGAGATCTTCATCTACCCCATCCAAATATTACCACAGAATGACCATGAGCAACACCACCAACGTCAAGGTAAAAATGCTTGGTTGCACACACAAACAGCATCATGGCAAACACCTCATAATCTTCTATTAGATTCGATGGAATCATGGCGGTAAAAAGGTTCAAGTTACTGGCGAGTTTGATAACTGGTCAGGTAAATTAAGTATACACAAGAGAAAAAACTTAAATATACTCACATGATTCCATCATTGCAGTATCGGTTGATATGGTTCAAGATACCGAAGACTCAAATTGTCACGTTGTTGATATTCCAATGGATTTGAGCAAAGATATCGAATACAAATTCATTGTAGATGGAGAATGGCGTTATGCTGATGATTTACCACATCGAACTGATTGGCGTAAGTAGAAGCTGTTGTATAGCTAAACTGTGGAACGTACTCACACTCTGTGATAGGAGGCAATATCAACAATGTAGTGTACAAAAAGGAGAATCCCACTGCCTTGGTAAACGAGTAAACTTTTTTTTTTTTTTTTTTTTTTTTTTTTTTTCTTCTTCTTTTATTACCATCATCAATAAACTCCTGTGGCATACACTACTACGAATACAATGATCAATATAATTAAAATCGAACTGAATCCTATTGACATGATTCGGTTCAGCTTTTGCCATCTGTCTGCCATTTTACCACCTTTTTCTCGTACATGTCTAGGCCAGGCGGATCCTATCCACCATAAAGGAGGAAACAGGAACCCAAACACAAACAGCAATCCACAGATAGAGTAAAATCCATCTTGATCATTTTTGGTCACCCACCAAACATGGCTGTCTTGGCTCTGCTGATCATCTTGACCCTGATAATGATGGTATGGATGTGGTGGCGCTCCTTCTTCTTGTGCTTGTTGCTGTGTGTTGGGTATCGTCTTTTCAATGTCTTTCCAGTCAGGTGCGGGTAGAGTAGAAGAATTTCGAAGTGTGGTAGCTTCAGAGAGTCGATTTTTTAGCAATTTCGCATCACGAGATGTGAACTGTCGATCTATGTAATTTTCAAATTGTGCATCGCCTGGTGTCTGATGCACTACCATAGCAGAAGAGGGAAGGTTTGAGACATGTGCCTTCGTCGCAGTATCAGCTGTAGTTTGCTGCTGCTGCTGCTGCTGCTGTGCTTGTTGTGGGGGCGATATAAGCTGTTCTGTTATCTGTAAGGACCAATCTGGTACACTATCATGTTTATTACTACTATTCATCTATTTGATATGTAAAGAAAGAAAGCGAGACAGAGAGAAAGAGAAAAAGAGAAAGAGAGACAGAAAAATGGGATGGCTGTTGAGGTGGTGGTTGTTTGTTGTTTGGGCAATCCAAAATTAGGCACCCTTCTTCTTCCTGACTAGTGTTGTGTGTATCACAATCAAAATTGATTTAGTGATTTCCACCGCAACATCCTCCAGTATGTTTGTGAGCTCTCTTTTTACGGTTAATGTTTTTGGTATTCTTGATGCTATCATTATCGCCCAGTTCAGTATCCTTTGTGATTCTTAATTCTATTGAGGACAACCTCGTCAGCAAAACATGGTGGATGTTCCAATGATCTTAATCCTTACTATATGTGTTGTTTCCTTGTGGTACACCTTGAATCACATTCTTTCTTAATAGAGCCTCTACTTGTCCAGCTAATTGTAGTTTCTATACATGACATATGTCGGTATGTTGAGACCAGCTTGAACGTCGGTGTCTTACCTCCTCAAGAACATCTGTATTTGTTTCGTCTTTGGATTGCATAAATCTAGAATAAGTCTCTTTTCTAGCAGCTAATATGATACGCATCAGCGATTAGCTTGTTTGAATCAAAACCCCCTTATTATTCTCTTCCTCACTCACATACCATCAATTGCTTTCAAATCAGCTATGTTTTTCAATACAAATCACATACATGTCAGATTGATTTTGAACTTTGGCCAATAAGCGACATTGAGCACTTACCACCAAACACTTGTCTTTGTGTCTTTAATAAATGTCTGTATGCATGAATAGCTGCTTGTTTTGAAGGCGAAATAGACATCTTTAAGTATAAATGGGATTGAGTGTGTGTGTTGAATGAAGAACAAAGGGAAAGGATTTCATTTAAAAATGGAACTTGGCCGGGTTCAATGCCCAGGGCAAGGGCTTCTAGCCTGTGACCGGTTTGACATTGATGGTGAAGGAAACAGAGTGGCATGTCGACTCTGTTCATGCACTACATACGGATAGATGAAGAGCAAACTTGAACCTTTCATATATCAAACAGTAGTAAACATCTACATGTAGCGTGCTTTGTGCTTTTGCTTGAGCGGCATTGGTTTGTTGATGATTTGATCAAGTCGAAATGTGATGTCTAATACGCAAATGCATTTTGCATTATCAATGATATCTTAAATCACACTCATTGCCATATATTTACTACTGCATCCTCTCAACTCTTCATAGCAAATGTGCCATTTCATTCACGTTATACATCTCACCTGTTTCATACAAGCGTTTGCCCCTGTAAAACGTGATTCCATCACAACTGACATTCCATTTCAAAATGCGACTTGATCAGACATTGAACATAAGGCACCAGTATACGAGTAAAGGCTGACTGATGGTACCTTAAAACCTAGAATGTTATCATCTATTTCGAGCAAATGAAAATTGAATTACATAATTGAAAGAAGTAGTAATATTACATCGCTCAGCAAAATCATACCCGCCTCATTACTAATCCTCGATCGTGTCATTTGATTTGCCAACCTGTCAAATGTAATGTACAGACGCTTGTGCTTTGATTCGCTGTCGCATGGCATCGACCCATATTACAAATATGCTACAGAATCCTTCTAGAAACCATGATTGGCTTAAAGAGTCGCCTGAAAGTAACAGAATTTCGTATAAATAGGGCAGGAAACATGTCTAAAGCACCAGATTTCTTCACTTCTTTCGTAAATCTAATCCAAATATATACATTGTACAAAATGGCTCCTATTCATCACCGTGCTACAATCATCGGCTCTGGACCTGCTGGTAAGTTGGCCTTATAGTTTTGCTTACATCTAAGTATTGACGTTGATGTGCTAGGTCACACTGCTGCCATTTATCTCGCTCGTGCACAAATGGAACCCATCATGTTTGAAGGCATGATGGCAAACGGTTTTGCTCCTGGAGGTCAATTGACTACAACCACTGATATCGAAAACTTTCCTGGATTCCCCAAAGGTATTCTCGGTGGTGCTCTAATGGACCAAATGCGTGAACAATCCGTCAACTGTGGCACTGTCATTGAAACTGAAACCATCACCAAAGTCGATACTAGTGTACGTCCTTTTAGATTATGGCGTGAGGGCAGTGATGAACAAAGCGAACCTACTGATACCACGGATGCTCTTATTATTGCTACCGGTGCCTCTGCTAAACGTATGCATTTACCTGGCGAAGAGAAATACTGGCAAAATGGTATCTCTGCCTGCGCTGTATGTGATGGTGCTGTCCCCCTCTTTAGAAACAAGCCTCTTGTAGTCATTGGTGGTGGTGATTCTGCTGCTGAAGAAGCCATCTATCTCACAAAGTATGCCTCTCATGTACATGTTCTCGTGCGTCGTGATCAATTGCGTGCCTCCAAGGTCATGGCAGATAGATTGTTGGCCCATCCTCATGTCACTGTTCATTTTGAAACTGTACCTACTGAATGTGTTGGTAATGGCGATGTCCTCACAGAGGTATTCACTCGTAATACAAAGACTGGTGAAAACGGATCCATTGAAGCAAGTGGTCTTTTCTATGCCATCGGTCATACTCCTGCCACTGAATTAGTCAAGGGCCAATTGGATCTCGATGAAAGTGGCTATATCAAGACTGTTCCTGGTTCTGCCTCCACAAGTGTCGAAGGTGTATTTGCTGCTGGTGATGTGCAAGACAAGAGATACCGTCAAGCAATCACATCCGCTGGAACTGGTTGCATAGCTGCTTTGGACGCTGAAAGATACTTGACTGAACTTGAAGCATAGATACATAGACATTATTAGACAACATCAAAACTGAAATTTCTTATATTGCATATATTCCCATTAACCTCTACTAAATGAATAAACTAGAGTCATTTATACTATATTTTCAATCGTAGCAACTTCTATTAAACACTTACCTTGAGATTTGTGGGATGAAAGACACCCGAATTCCCCCATTTGAGTGATGAGAGGCAGAGGAGTATAAGTTTGATAGCACGTAACAGCTTATTGAGAGCTCTGATGTGTACACTGGACGTATCACATTGAAGCCCATATTTGCAAAAAAAAATAAAAATAAAAATGTATACAAACGTGTATAATTTGGAAGGCTATTGATACGTCTTGTTCCAAGCATAAGTTACCAACAAACTTTGATTGAAGAAACTGTTGCATAGCACCTCTTTTCTAATACATGTATGTTCGCTTTACTGTAAGACCCATACGTACATTTAATCGACCATTTAAATAATCATGTTGATATTCCTGACATTGGTCTTGGTGAAAGTACCTGCCTCTCCCCCCATAGCCACTTTATGTGTCTTATCCTGTGCAATTGAAACGACTTTATTAGCTTGTCAAGTTATATCAGGTGAAACGGCTCTTTTAAAACCTCCTTTTTTCTATATATATATACGTTTAGTATTTCTACATTGAGCTCGAGGAAGATCTGCCTGCATCGAAAAGGGGCTTTTTAAACTATTTATTATGCTTAACGGAAAAAAAAATCCCCCCCCCCATTTCTCGGTTTGTAGCCGGCATGGTTCAAGTATTATGCATTATAATAATCCCAGATTCAGGGGGGGAGGCAATCTTGGCAACGGAATCAGAGATTGTTTGTAACCAAATTTATAAGGACATTGATGATGGATGATAAAGGTACAGAAAGTAGGCAAATTCTCATCACATTTGATTGAGAACACAGAAACAACCAATATAGCATAGTGTATATTCAGTCATGGGTTTTTTCCATTCGTTTTAAAATACAAGCCTCTAGATACATGCGAGTGTGTCTACGCTTCGGATGGCCCTCTACCTCTGCTTCGCTTTGGTGAGAACCAATCCGCGCAGCGACAACTCGCGCTACCAATTGCTCTAGTCCCATTTATCAAAAATGCTGCTACATTCATTTTAACTCTCCTCTTACACATGAAACCCCTCATATTATCTGAGGATCCGTCTGTTGTGTAATGTTCCATATCCGTATACACATAGATACTTCATATATGGGCAAGCAGCATACTGATATTACCCATTTCTAGTCAAGAGTGTGCCTACTACAGCAAATATGGGTGCATTTGAGCTGTGTTTTCTCGCGTTAAAGGCCGTTTTAGATGGTCAGAATAGCACCAAACAATTGTACTCAAGTAGCGTTAACTTCCTGGCACCTTTGCTCAACTTTTTGGGGACCAAAAAATACATGGCCAAAACTCGGCCAAAAAGCATGAGGTACCCCTCATGGTTTTCATTGAAAATCAAACGATCGCGTTTTTAACCTCCAAAATGAAGACTTTTACTATGGTATAAATTGAATCAAAATGTTTCTATCGATCCAAAGCAACCTCTGAAACGACTTTTATGAGGTTTTCATATGCAAAATATGGTTATTTTCGCTAAAAAAAATTCATTTCATATTTTAGCAAATTGCTCAATAATTTCATTCAAAACACTTGGTACAATTAGCACCACTAGAAGCGCCTTAAAAAGTACTCCAAGAGTGTATTAGGCAGCGTTAGATAGTCATTGCAGTTTATATAGTCAAATATCACAAAATAAATTAAAAAAGTCGAAAAAGATAATATCTGTCCAATCTTGAACAGAAAAAAAATACTGAGTTTGAATCAGTTTTGGCGGAAGCATTGCTGCTGGCTGGCCCAAATGCCTTTCTGATGATGACAATGATGATGACAATGATGATGACAATAATGGTTGCGATGCGGATCAAATGGGAATTATGGAGTTGAAATGACAACTGCTTAGCACAAATAGCTTTTTTTTTTGGGGAGCCTTGCCTCATGAAGGTGTCTTTTGCAATGACAATACCTCAAAGAAATCGCTGTAGATCTTACACAAGTCCTGTATTTACACATGGCCAGCTTTATGCCGCCATCTCTAGAGCAGCAGCAGCAGCGGATGGACAATTCCCCCTCCTGACTCTGGTAGAGCGTTTTTTACATTAAATGATTGTTTAAAATCTACTTGATATGCCTGATTTTTATTATCTCTGATTTGAAATGTCTTCGGCGAGAGCCAGCAGGACGACGCCATCATGGAGCGTAGCGAGATTGATCGGCTAGTTATATAGTCCTATCATTAGCCATGCTAGTTTCCTTCAAAGTCTTGCATTTAATAACACTAGTTCACCGAAATGTTTACAAGATGAACTTCTTTCCTTCTTGAGGCTTCGAAAGTGTGTAGGGAGACAATACATTTATTATGGTATGGTGATAAGCAAATTTCCAATGAGAAGAAAAATCGTTATAGAACATGCTCTATTACACCACCGCCCAAACACCAATCTTGATCCCAAACTACTACTTGCTGGCCACGTGCTATTGCACGTATCGGATTCATGAAACGAACACTGTACTGACCATCCGGTTGGAGTGACAAAAAAGCCTTTTCAGGTGATTGTCTATACCTGATCTGAGCATCGACCACCATTTCTCCATTTCCTTCCGTCAACCCTTTTGGTGGATTTTGATGGATCCAGACCCAATCACGCGCAATACAACCATTGTGAAAAAGAGAAGGATGGTTTGAGCCAGCAACACATACTAGTTTGTTTTCACTCATGATTTTCTGTGCCACAAACCATTTATCTGAACCATGACAGATACGGGATGCCTGACCTATAGTGTAACCAAAAAGACCTTGATGTTGGCCAATCAATTGACCATTCTCCAAGTTCACAACAGGTCCAGGAGGTTGATCTATATACTGTTCCAAAAATGCTGCGAATCGTCGACGCTGGCCAACAAAGCAAATACCCATACTCTCTTTTTTGGTAGCAATGTCGTGCAATCCCAGTTCTTTGGCTAGCTGTTTCACGGTGCTTTTGGATTCGATTTCTCCCAATGGGAAAATGGTGCGTCTCAATGCTTGTTCAGGTACGGTGGAGAGGTAGTAGGATTGATCTTTGTTGCGCTCTAGTCCACGTAGTAGTTTGCCATCCAAGGAACGACAGTAATGACCTGTGGCAAACCACGCATCTTTCGGTATTTTATCCAATAGCGCGCCGAACTTGATGAAACTGTTGCAAGCAATATCTGGATTGGGCGTGAGTCCTCTGGCATAGTCATCCAACGTCTTTTCAAACACATCATTCCAGTATTCCTTGACGAAATCCACATGTTCGCATTCAATGTCCAAATGTTTGCATACTTTCTGAACATCCTCCCAGTCTTGCCTACTTGTGCATACGCCACTCTCGTCTGAAGTATCCCAATTTCGCATATAAATACCCCGGACATTGTAGCCTTGTTTCTTCAGTAATGCAGCTGATACACTAGAATCGACTCCACCTGACATGGCCATAACGACGAGATCGCCTTTTCGAGGTATGCGCTTTTGTTGGTGCTGAAGAGTCGTGAGACAGCGCCTGAATACAGAAGTGCATTTTAGTGAATTCCACTTGCTCTGTACGAGCATGATATTTTGAAGAGAAAAAATAAGTGTGAAGATGCTAATTGGGAAAAGAATTTTTCATTTTGACATGTTTGTGTAGCTTTTGATTGGTTTAGAGACGGAGCAAGGTACGACAGAACAAACACTAGAGCAAAGGGGGTCTCGATTGTTGTATCCGTAGATTATTTATATGAGATCTCGGAAAAACAGCGATTTTTAATTTAAAAAAAGAAAAAAGAATGTTTATTTATTTTATATATGTATATATATATATATATATATATACCAATATCAACTGATATTTCCACCCTGTACTTGCTGTTATACACACACAAACGCAGCTTCAAACAGTTTGAAGGAGTCGAGAAATCAAAACAATCAGCGTCATTTGCCCTACATGTTGAGACCTTGGATGTTGTTGTTGATGATGAGTGATTGACAGGGCATTTTAATATCACCATAAACAATCGCAAAAAAGTCTGTGACGCATCCCATCATCAGATGGGTGCCTAACAGGATCTGCTTTGCTAACAAAGTTTCATCCTTGATTTAGTTTCAAAATTAAGGGGGTGGGGGGGGGGGAGAGACCGAGAAATGGAAAGGATCATTTGGGGGAGAGGCAAAGAGGGAAAACAAGACAAACAAAAAAAAAAAAAAAAAAGATATAAATTAAGCTCACATTTCACCGTTTCCCTCTTCTTCTTCCTTAGTCTTTCCTGTACATACTATTTAAAATGACATTGCAATCTCTCCCACCACCACTGCAGATGCAGCAGTTGATCACACCCGATAAATCAGTGCCTTCGTCTCCAACACTCTCTCCTGCTGTAGTCACACACACAAATGCAACCACTCGTCACCTTCATACAAATGATCCCACTGCAGTTGATTTGATTGAATTGACAAAATTATTACAAGATGTTGTATCAAACAAAAAGAAAGTGGGCTATCCTCAGCAGCCAAACTCGCCCACATCGACATCTACCTCTTCGTCATCCTCCAGCTCATCCATCTCCTCCAATTCCTCAGCTGCTGCCATCATTGCACCCAGACCTTCTCTGATTCAACAACATCGACCTTCCTCTTGCTTAAATCCCAACACACCATCACAATTTGTATTCAAAAAACCACTCTACAACCAACACTACCATCAGACGCATTTCCACCACAACTCACCACCATCACCACCCAACACCATCACATCAACACACACCCACTCGCAATCTACTTCACCGATGTTGGACCGCAAAGACTTATTTTTAGCTTGGTCTGATTTGAGGAGATTCTTTGTACAACAGCAGCAACCACAAGCAGCAGAAGTTGATGAACAGCCATTTGCCAATCAGTTTAGACAGAACATCTCTGGCAGATACGGTCAATGGGGTAAGTGTCATCATTTTAGATACATTTCCAACTTGATTGTGTGCATATATAAAAAAAAATGCCGCATTAAATGCCCTCACAGCATTTAGCAAGTTATTCACATTTCGTCTCCTTGAACTCAATAAATTAATTGCCTCATTTTCTCATAGGTCGCTATATTGGCAAAGGAGCTGGTGGTTCAGTGAGACTCATCAAGCAACAGAACAAGACGTTTGCAGTCAAGCAATTCAGAAAGAGATTTGCGCATGAAACAGAGAAAGATTACGTCAAAAAAGTTACAGCTGAATTCTGCATTGGATCCACGCTTCATCATCCCAATGTCATTGAAACTCTCGATTTGATCCAGGAAGAAGAGAACTTTTACGAAATCATGGAATACGCTCCCAATGACATGTTCAACGTGGTTATGAGTGGAATGATGTCTCGAGAAGAAATTGCCTGCTGCTTTCGTCAACTGCTGAATGGACTTGACTACTTGCATTCAATGGGAATTGCCCACAGGGATCTCAAATTGGATAATCTGGTGCTGGATCACATGGGCATACTCAAAATCATTGACTTTGGCTGTTCTACTGTATTCAAATACCCATTTGAGAGTTCAGCTACTATGACTAAAGGTTAGCCTCATCTTTGTTTACCATATATATATCGACACACATTCTCATCTGCCCCCCCCCCCTCCCCTTGATTTAGGCATTTTCGGTTCAGACCCTTATATTGCTCCAGAACAGTACACACAGCCAATGTACGACCCTCGTTTATCAGATGTATGGTCATGCGGTATCATCTTTGTTTGCATGACAATTAAGCGCTTCCCTTGGCGATTACCTCGCAATTCTGATCCTGCGTTCCGAGCATTTGCCACTAATTACAATCAACAGAAATTCAGATTGCTTAAATTATTGCCTCGCGAATCACGCTCTGTCATGACCAGTATCTTGGAGGTGGATCCTACCCGAAGATGGACTCTGCAAACCATTCTCAAAGACAGCTGGATCAATACTATCGATGTTTGTTCAATCTCAGAACCAGGCGCTCGCCATGTTCATCATGTATCTGTAATGGATCCAGTCGCGCAACAAAAGAGAGGAAATTTAGTTGCAATGACTACTGAGCCACCTGGTGTTGTGGCAGAAAAAGAAAAGAGAAAGCGCCAACAAGCAACGATGCCTCCGCCTCCACCTCCTGTACCTCAACAACAACAACAACAACAACAAAAACAACCACAGCCTCCACAAAAGCACTAAAACTATATCCATTTGTAAATTTAGCCTCTAAAAGATACATGTATACCATATTCCCCTTTGTCGTACTAGCTTATTTATACGGTTCCATATACTTCTACCATCTTCCCCTTTCATAAAAATTACATGTGTATGTTTCTGTATCATACCCTTCTACGACAAGCATGCGCTTGGAAGTTTTTGTATAAAACATCAATAAAAAAGTTTCATACCATACATGCTTCATATTCAGTGTAGATATTAATAGACACAAACATGGCACGAAGAACAAGATGCAGAATGCAAAAGTCAATATGTCCATGCTCAATACATCACTTTTATGCAACAAGCATGAAATCGATATGTAGTCTTTCCTTTGCTGCTTGATACCATTAACACATTCTCTCTTTTTGTATTTCCATGGCAACGATGCTCCTGAAACGTTTAATGCCATCCTTGAATTTTAAGGTATTTCAATTTCGTTGTTGCACCAGCTACTACCATGGGGCCCTAATAAACAACACAAGACTGATGCATTAGATACAATAAACGTTGTTTCAACTGTGTTTGTCTCATCACATAGAGCATATATGTAAATTTAGCTCTGTAAACAATGATATAAGGGCGGGTATATACATCATAATGATTGAGTGCCAATATTTCAGCAATGTCGTAACTTACACAATGCAATGTAACATTAGGCAACTGAACTTGCCCCCCGCGCGCACTGATTTAATGATGATGTTGATCTTCATCTAACCATGTATGATATCATTACATCTCTTTGTTAAACTTTCTGAGTGATTTATAGGATTTTCACGCTCTTCAGCCAGTGATCGTTTAATTCCTCTGTCATTTGAAATGCTTCTCGTTCCACAAACGCATACGCTCTGGCAGATTACGAAATGAGACAATTATCAAGCGCCGTACCTCAGAGTGGGTGTATACAATGAGTGCACAAATCTTCTGCTTTGTTGCTGCGAATATACTAATATCCTATGAAAGGTCAAATTTAATGGGAAATGGCACTTCCATAACTATGTGAAAATGTCCACAAAAAGTCTGCAACTGTGAATCTGACTCTCCTCAGATGCTTCACGCCTATATCAATGAAAATAGTTCATATACGAGCACACAGCATACTCGGATTATCTCTCACCACCCGAAAATATGTAATTCACAGCATATTTTAGATCCACTTAACCAGTGATTTCTCGCTTCAGGAGCCGTTTTAGACCGCCAGAATAGCACCACCCAGTTGCTCTGATCTAGCACTAATTTTCTGACACCTTTACTCAACTTTTTTGGGATTACCAAAAATCCACCAAAAAGCATGAAGGATACCTCATGGATTTTGAAGAAAATCAAACGATCGCGTCTTTGACCGCAAAAATGAAGACTTCTACTATGACATATATTGAATCAATTTTTTTTTGTATTTAAAAGTGTCTTTTATTGAGAATAAGGAAAACGACAGTACGGGTCCATGAGGTTGCTTACATGTCGTCTAAGAAAGAAGAAATCAATTTGGAGTGATCGGCGAGAAAAGAGGAGAAAACTATCTGAGTACGTCATGATTTACCATCAAGAGAACAGCTCCAATGATGCTGCCATAGAGAAGAGAAAGCAGCTCCAAGAAGTTCCAAGACGAAAATATCCAGAGGATTTTTTTTCCTGGTCGTGAAGGGTAGAGAGACCAATCCAGATGGCATTGTCCGTAGGGAACAGATCGGAAAGACCGAGGTGGGAGATGACCTCAAACCAGAAGAGGGATTTCATGTCACAGCCGACGACCAGATAGCATTCATCTTCAGGTGCTTCAGTACACAACTTACAGAGTGGGGAGGGATGCCTGGCACGGTTGATGATATGCAGGCGAGCCTGCACAGAGAGATGGCCATGGAGCAAACGCCACCAGGGTGTGAATGCCTTGGCAGGAAAACAGAGGGGCCAAAAATCACGCCAGAGGCGAGGGGGGGGGGGAATCAAAAGATGAGGTGGGCGATACTGAGGAGGGAGGGCTGGGCCACGAAGCAAATCAAATGATGGGTGCCAATAACAGCGTAATGCACCGAGCTTGATCTGGGCCATTGTAGCTTTTGATCTAGGGTCGGTGGTGATATACCAATGCGAAAAGCTAGCAATGGGTGAAGAGGGGGGTAGACTGGCTCTCCAACATGGCGGTGCGTTCTTGGTCAGTGAAGGCCATAACCGATCTAAGAGGAGCAGAAATGATCCATACAGAAGGACCTTCAAAGGGACACAGAGCATTGAACAGATGTTGCAAGGAGATGGCATCAAGAGGACGTACACAGGCCAAGATGTTAGTGTCTGGAAGCACACTCAAGAGGTTGGCAATCAACGCATGTGGTGGGAGTTTGTCACTAGCCCTAGACAAGGTCTCTGTCGGTGAAAGGGAGCAAACACTTGACCAAGGTAGGCTGATGAACCACCAAGACGGCCACTGAGTATAGGGAGTCAGAGTGGGCAGCCGAGAGATCAAACGAGCGAGATGTGCTAGATGAGGGCATTTTCGCAAACGAGGCATGTAAGTACGAGGATACACCAGCAAAGGAAGAGCAGTAGCGTGACCCGAGTATACATGAAAGGTATACAGCAGCCAAGGAGAGAGAAAATCAGTCTGAGCACGAGGAAGAAGTAGACGTTTGACATATATGAGATGGAATATTGAATCAAAATGTTCCTCTTGGTCCAAAGCAACCCCTGAAACTTGGTTCGTGAAACCTTGATATGTAAAATCTTGACATTCTCGCCAATAACCTTATTTCTCATTTTTCAAACTTTACGCAGTAAGTTTGTTCAGAACATCTGTTATAACTAGCACCATTAGATACGCCTTAAAGAGCTCTCCAAGAATGCATTAGAAAGTATGGGATGATTAGCACCTTTTACATAGTCGAATCTAGGAAAATAGATTGAATTAAGTCCAAAAGTTCAGAAAGGAACAAATCAAAGCAGAATGTTGAGCGAAGATTTAATTAATTTTTGATGGTGCTGCTACTGGTAAAACCAATGCCATCATGCTTACCATGTAGGCAGTAGATGCTTCTGTGGTTAATTAGAAAGGCATTGCAAATCGCAGAATGCTACACTATGTGAGGATCGCCTCTTATTACTTCTGTTTGGGGTTTCTCAAAGAGCAATTTCTGAATAATTAGATCGTTTTGTATCCAAAGGCCTCCCCATTAAGACGTGACATAACCTCGGCATTGTTCTCATGTAAACTTGCTCTCAGCTATTAAAGACTCAATGTAACGCTGGCATTTGTCTTTTATTATAGAACGACTAACTAGTATACAGTTTGCAGCCGCCAATCAAGATGAACGTGAACGGATTCGTGGACAATTGCAACTGTAGACTTATAACTGACAACTCAATCGTGTTATACATGAAGCTCTATTCAACATGCCATTTTCCCTCCTTGTTTGGTCCCTTGAATTCTTTTGAAACATGCACCTCTTCCAGTGAGTATGTTATTGGCTATGCTGCAACCTACATTTTGAGTATTCAGAAACATGGCTAATCTTCAAATTATACGTTTTTGGTAGCTGCTATAACGTTTCGCCAGCGACATGTGTTTGCAATTGACTGTCCTCTGTGTTCTCAATTGCAAGAACCTAGCCAGTCGACAGAAGCAAAGTGATGAGCCTGAATAGTCCAACAATTAATGCAAATGTAGGACATGCGCGAACCCTGCAACTTGTTAGTGCTACTCGATAATTATGGTGCTTTATCTCTAGGTTCTCTTCCCGTTGTACGTTCATAACTCATTATTACAGATTTGTAGATTATTAGTTGACAGATTTAAACGTAATCCATTGCAATTGCTATTGTCTGTCGAGCGTTGTATTTTAGCAAATATTCTTAACATGATAGATAAACTAGTCAACGATTAGCAGAGATAAAGCGTTGATAAGGGTTACTCTAATATTTAGCAGCGCTTTAGTCATAAGGGAAAACAATCATTGCAATTCACTTGCTTTGTACATGGCAATAACTACGGCTTATTTTCCTGAATTTCCACTTGTTTCAGTGGTTTGATTGCGTGATTGAGTTTCCTAGCATTACAAACCCTTTCGTTGTGTACGTGGGGAGTCTCGTTGTATATTGCGTTTATATAATATTGGTAACTAAGTGATCGATCTTGTGAAATGTCATACAAGAGGGTGCAGTTTTTGCGCGGTAGTAAAGACTACAGTGTCTAGTAGCATGAATACTGTTCAATATTACTAATAGCGGCTCATGTATCAAAGCGAAATGATCCTGATAGTGCGTGTATGACAAAGCTACAATTAAATTAAATTCCCCAAACCTGGGAAGAGGCGGGCCTATTCAGGTTGTCCAACATTTAAAAGAAAATAAGGTACACACATCCCTTGATTCAATATAATCATAAGCATCCTGATACTTCCCTGATGAATAATATTGCCACATGACAATTTCCGTTGGATGTACAATGTATTTAATAGCTTGTGTCTATCATGATTTGCCTAATGGGAAATCCTTATTTGTAAGGGACTCGTCATTCACGAGCATTAATTCCAGAACTGACAGAATGTCAATAGCTACATGCCACCGCTAGCTTGAAGCAGCCATTGCATAAAGTGTTCCCTTAATTTTATCCTCTTTACCTGAAAAAATGGCTACATTTTCATTGTATGATGCTAGTTTCGTCTATTCTAATCTCTAGTCTTTTTTTTTCCAGGATCAATACTGCAACTCCAGCATATAAATAGCACTTGATCTGATCCATCTCCTCCTCTTTTTCCTAATATTCATATCCTATTTCTAACAAGTTCATCATGGTAACCTTCAAATCACTGATTGCTGGCTGCGTTGGTATCGGTGCCTCTAATATGACATTTTCCACACAGACATCTCCAATTGCAGCTCATCGTCAAAAGCGTGTTGGCACTGCTTACAATTACTGGACTACCAAGGCATGGGGTGCCAACTTGGGTAACTGGCTTATCCTTGAAAAGTGGATGGACGGTAGTATTTTTAAGAAATACGCTCCCCATGCCAATGACGAATGGACATTTGCTCAACAAGCATCCAATCCCTCTGCTGCCTTGACTGAGCATTGGAACAACTGGATTACAGAGAACGATTTCAAGATCTTGGCTAGTGTCAATGCCAACCACGTACGTATCCCTGTGGGTTACTGGGCTTTTATTAAACCCGATGCTGGAGAACCTTATGTATCTACTGGTCAAAAGGCTCAAATTGAACGTATCTTGAGCTACTGTGATACTTACAACTTGTATGCCATTATTGACTTGCACGGTCTTCCTGGGTCTCAGAATGGTGAAGCACACTCCGGCCACATTGGACCTATTGATTTCTACAGTGATTACAACATTCAACGTGGAATCAAAACCGTGCAAGCGATTGTCGACTGGATGAATGGCCTCAGTAGTAATCTGAAGGCAAGAATCGCATCTATTGAAGCCGCCAACGAGCCCAGAGTCTCTGGAGATCAGCTGAACACTTTAAAATACTTTTATACTCAAGCATTCAACATCATCGATGCGTCTGAATTCAAGGTGCCCATGATGTTCCATGACGCTTTCCAAGGCCTTGATGCTTGGAACAACTTCTTGCCTGCTCCCGCCAATGCTGTCATTGATCTCCATCCTTACTATGCTTTCCCTCCCAAAAATGACAAGATTTCCATCATCAACTGTATCTGCAACACCAAATTATCTGCATCCAGCTTCCATCTTCCCGTCCTGTTTGGTGAATGGTCTCTAGGATCTGGTGTTCCTAGTGACGATACTTGGTTAAGACAAATGATGGATACACAAGTCGCTGTTTACAAAGAATCCGGCGCTGGCGGCATCTTCTGGGCCCTGAAGAACAACATCAATTCCAGTGTTTGGTCCTTTGAGCAATTGGTAAGCGAAGGCATCATCAACTCTGGCACCTTCTCCCATCATACTAATGCCCAATATTAACTTGTATCTCTTTATCAATACCTTTTTTTTATTATTCAAATCAACCCACATGTCATATTATCCTCATGAGATGTTGCCCCTGAGTGTGCCTTGTTAATAAAATCCTACCAATGGATGTGGTTTTGATTTGATAATCTATATAAAATAGCAAAACCTCCGCAGATCAAGGAGCCACGGTTCCAGATAGTGCAAACTATTTTGAGACTTAAAAATGCTTCTAAATGTCAGAATGCAGAAAATGTTACAATTTAATACTCATTTAAATGGTAAGAGACAAAAGGGTTTACCATCGTCTAAACGTTTTATACCATACCTTAGATGAATCAACATTGCAGATATAAGATTGAAACTATTCTTGAAAGCGTTTACACTGTTCTCTTATTTCAATGTCTTGTGGACCCTCGTTGCCTGTGGTTTTCTGTCTTGCAGCGGTACAATTTACCTAAAAAAGTATAAATGTCAATGCGCCAAGCTCCTCTTGAACATGTGGAAGGCGTACAAATGCTTCAAATCGAGGAATAACACATTTTTTCTAGAGTATCAGAAGCTGACCATGGGTATGCTATCAGCTACAAGCAATGCTTACTACAAGTAACTTAGATGTCTTCAATCTGTCAGTTTAATCAAGTGACTACAATCAAACCTATCTATAAAAACGCGTGCATGCTGTCGCAGTAACTTTTTTCTTTAGCTTTTTTGTCTTGACCTGATCGGTTCTCAACAAGTTGAGCTCACTCTGCTTTATTACAGAGGATTTGTTGGTAAGATATTGATACAATACACTCCTTGGCCCCTCTATGGTTGGTTTCTCTCTCTCTCTCTCTTGTCCTTGCATTATGCGCCCAAGAGTTTTGCGGGAAGTCGGCAGTGATACTATGGAGGGTTATTTTCCTCATGATTTGGATGTTCTCCTCGTACAGGTCTATCATCCTAACAACAGGTATTATATATATATATTTTTTTCAAAGGACAATGTTTTGGCAGAACATGGTATAATTAAACAGTAAAAATTATGGATGATCAGTGAAATGTCTTTATTGATTGTGAGAAGCTATTAAATATGTTTAATATCATCCAGCATTATACCATACGCATAATCAGAAATAAGAGCTATGTAATTATCATTCAAAGATTACAATTGTTTAAGTGCTCTTAATCGTTTCTGTAAATTAGCCATCTCTTCTGATTTTCTTTTGATTGAATTTCTTATTTTCAACCTTGCCTTTTCAATAGCGTCGTGCCAGTCATCAACAGTCGATCCAGTTGCATAAGCATCAATAGTGTTAGAGGCTGGTGTATTTTGTTGAGTCTGTAGAAGCTATGAGAGCTCAATAACTCAGTGATAGTCGGATCATGATTTACATTGTTACTCACTGTCTATCTTGAGACGCAAGATTCAACAAGTGAACTATATGGTTGGCTATGAAAGTCCATGATTGCGAATGACGATGATAGGTTGTGAATCGTATCATCGTAGCCGAACTGACGATCGGATCTTTCATAATGATTGGTATTGCATATACAAAACTCAATGTATTGACTCAGGTTAAACAATGAGATAGATTGATTGATTTAGCGATAACAATTTAGTATAAATAAGATGTACTCGAATCAATTAATAAATCATTAAGTTTTCGTATCCGGTTACTTTTTAGTCTTCCTTTTTGAAATCTATCTTGATTTGTTAATATTTTATCTGTGGATACAACATATCTGAGTTACTATTGTTTGGGTTTATGATAGTTGCGAGGTTGTTAGCGCTGTTGGTTGTGGTTGTGGTTGTGGTTGCGGTTGTGGTTGTGGTTGCGGTTGTGGTTGTGGTTGCGGTTGTGGTTGTGGTTGTGGTTGTGGTTGTGGTTGTGGTTGCGGTTGTGGTTGTGGTTGTGGTTATGGTTGCGGTTGTGGTTGTGGTTGCGGTTGTGGTTGTGGTTGCGGTTGTGGTTGTGGTTGTGGTTGTGGTTGTGGTTGTGGTTGTGGTTGTGGTTGTGGTTGTGGTTGTGGTTGTGGTTGCGGTTGTGGTTGTGGTTGCGGTTGCGGTTGTGGTTGTGGTTGTGGTTGTGGTTGTGGTTGTGGTTGTGGTTGTGGTTGTGGTTGTGGTTGTGGTTGTGGTTGTGGTTGTGGTTGTGGTTGTGGTTGTGGTTGTGGTTGTGGTTGTGGTTGCGGTTGTGGTTGTGGTTGTGGTTGTGGTTGTGGTTATAGTTGTGGTTGTGGTTGTGGTTGTGGTTATAGTTGCGGTTAAAGTTGATAGGTCAGCACTGGTATTGTTTGAGTTTGTGGTAGATGTGTTGCTATTGGTATTGAAAGAGGCATGAGTGCAAAACAAGCTGCCCTGAAACTACAAGTCAACCCGCGCACCGTACAGAGATGGGTAGCAAACGACCAGCAAGAGCCGCAAACCTATATCGCAAGAAAAGATCAAAGCACGAAAGGAGTGGGTAGAGAAATGGATGAACACCGATATAGACTACATGAGCAATTGCGTGTTCATCGACGAAGCAGCATTTCATATCAATATGAAGCGATCTGTTGCATGGTCAAAGGTGGGAACTCGCGCCGTTGTCAAAGTGCCAAAGACTAGGGCAAAACAACAACAACAATCTTGGGTGCAACTTCTGCTTTTGGTGTTGTTAACACTGAAGTAAGACGGCCACAAGTGATACCCTCTTCTAAGAAAAGAAAAAACAACCGGATCAAGTGGGCCAGCTCAAACCCAGAGTAAAGGCACTGTTACAGGCCATTACTTTAACTGTTTGAGCGACACCGTGGACGAAATGGACAAGCATCCTGATATTTTTAAGGACAACTACTTGATCATGGACAATGCTCCAATCCACATGAATGACGACATTAAGCTTTTCATAGAAAGTCATGGTTATAGGTGCGTCTACCTTCCTCCATACTCTCCAGAGCTCAACCCCATTGAGCAATTCTGGTCTGTTTGTAAGAGCAAGCTTAAAAGAGAGAAGCTATTGAAGGAAGACACATTTACATTTAGAATCGGAGACGCATGCAATCTAGTGCTTATTAGCGATCTTAAAGGATTCTGTAAATACTCTTGTGATAGATTCGATGGTTGCTGTCAACAAACAATGTCTTGACTCAATTTCAAAAGATGTAAATAAAATCTGACCAAACCATTAAATATCAAAAGGCGCACTTTTTTCTGTATCGACTTTATAGCATTTGTACTGATAATAAAAACATTTTACTGATCATCCATAGTTTTTACTGTTAAACTACTAAAGCTTTTATTTTGAGTACATATAAACGGCCTTCCTGGTAAACATGTATGAATAGCAAAACGGCGTTGATTAATAATTATGCGACTTTGATGTAATTTTTCTTGATCAATACACTATACTGTACATGATAAATCAATTGACATGTTCAGATTGCATATTTGAGTGAAAGAGCTGTTGGTTAGTTTCCAAATGCTGTGCTTGTCTCTGTGGAATTAGAGGCATATCACATGCTTATTTTACACCCTCTCCAGCTTGACATGAGCAATCTCTGGCATAGAACATGGAAGCAGATATATATTTATTGGATGTATAGAAATGAATAAATGAGTAAAATACAGAAAAAAGAAGGGCAAGCAGCGTGCAGATGTACTATAATAATCCCAACTCTCGTTTACTCCATTCGTATGTAACGTAGCTAAGGCTGACAGCTGGCACTACTTTCAGTAATGTAGGCCCTAACCCTTTGTAAAATCCTTTCACTCCTCCTTCTAAGAACGTAATCTGAACTGCATCCCAAGGTGATTTATAGACTCGAGGATGCCCCTTTGTGCCTTGTGCCTGTAACCTGAATATACTTTGTCAGTACACAACAGTACTTGCCCCATTGAAAAAAGAAAACTAACCTTGTTCGGATCACATTGAGAGGATACACACTAGTGGCACCAATAGTACCACTGATCATACCACATGCCCATAATACAAACACATTTGGTTGCTTTTGAGATCCGTCCTGATTGTATTCACCTTGACTGTACTGTAAATAGGATAGTTTCAATGTCTCGTAAATGCCTGTTGTTGTTCAATTTGAGTCAAATGCCGTCTACATTTTGTATCCGTTATTGTACTTACCGAGATCCATGGCTTGATACGGAAACACACCAATCAGGCCGAGCGTCTATAGGATAATACACATGTTAATATGCCAACCACAAAACAAATCCAGGGACTTACCAAGCCTGGCCAAAATGCTTTGATGCCACCTTTGGCATACATTGATTTCGCAGTTTTTGTAATGATGGAAGTTTTCGCTGTTGCGTATCTATTTCCAGACGCTGATGATGAGGATGGCGATGAAGTAGCAGCCAAAGACGAATAGGCAGCTTTCGCCAAGCTTCCAGTATTTCTCGATAGCATTATGTTCGAGGTTGTTGTTGTTGTTGTTGTTGTTGTTGTGCTTCCGCCACATGACTGATGCGTCATGATTCTCGTCTTGAGGGTTTCGACAGGATATATAGAGAATTGAGCACAAATACCAGCCATACCACCAGCGGCAAATCGAGCACTGGTTGGTATCGATTCTTTGTCTTCGCAATGAAGGATATTGGCGATGAGTTGCTTGCATGATTCGTAGGAATAGAACTTGATGGCTGACTCTGGTATGATCTTCATGACATTGAGACCGTTACCCACAAAGAAGCTCTTCCAGCCGCCATGGTTGTATATAGATCGAATTGCACTGGCTAAAGTCAGTGGATTTTGAGGCGTGCTGCTGTGTGTAATCAAGTAGACTTTGAGACGATCAAAGGGTGCTGTGCAAGTGCGAGATACAGCGCCCGCTATACCACCAGCAAGTAGATAGCCCATTGCGTTTCTTGCTGTCTCGTCTGTTGTTGGAATGACCACCTCGCCGTCTTGAGTCAACTGTGTGGATGACTCGTAGTAACGGTACATTTCGCTCATGTTGGTCTGAGGCAGTAACTAAAATTGCTAGATCAACACACATGTCATCTGTGTATGATGCATTACTTACCAACAGGAAGTTCTTGAATTCATTGAAATCAATCAAACCGTTGCCATCTTTTAGTCTGTTAGTACTATCCACAGCAGTGCCAAGCACAGACTCACTCACCTGCGTCCATGAGTTGCATGAATTCAACCACATTCTCTTCACATATTTCCATGCCCGCCCTTCGTAGAGCCATCTGCAAATCAGTAGGATCCAACTGCCCCTCGCCGCTTCTATCCAGCTTCTTGAATAGCTGCCACAACTCTTTTTCCTTGTCGTTCACATAGGTTTTGAATTCTTCGAAATCGACAAGCCCATCGTGGGAAGTGTCACAGCGAGACAATAGTTCGTTTGCATATTTGGTGCGAGCAGGTAGATGCGTCATGGCAGTGAATCCTCTTTGTATCGCTTTACTGTCGAGCAGCCCTCGATTTTCTCTATCCAATGTGTTGAATAGTTCTCGAATGCGATCGTCTCTTTCCGAAGGCGTTTCTGATAGATAAAATTGTGTGGATTCTGGGAAAATAGGCTGCTGTTGTGGATATATACTGTTGTTATTGGTAGGGGAAGTCCCAGTACCCCCACCAGATGTGCTGTTTACTTCAGTTACCATCATCGACATTGGACAAATGAAGCTGAATGAAGGAGAGAAAGAGGTTCAATGTATGGGTAAATAGGAAAAAGAAGAAGAAAGAAAACTGTGCAGATTACAAACAAAACATCTAAAATGTGGGGCAAATGATATTTATACTCTCGGCCAATGGAACGTCATGAAGCATGCCACCAACTTGTCCTTAAATGGGTTTCGAACAGAGGCTCTACTATGCACATGCCTTATAAGGTATGATCTAGATTTACTGCATTGTTTCTCTCCAAGCGTTGGCATGATAGCATTAAAGAGCTCATAGGATCTCTTGCGAAATTTGAGTGGGTGGATACATGTAAATCAGGTCAAGTCTACAGTTTGGTTGCTGCTACTAAAAAAGACCCTGAAGAAATGGCAAAATTTGCAGTTCAAATAGATATGAGCATGACGCTATTTGATGACAATTTTATTAATACAGGCTAAATACGTCAGACCGCTATAACGATAAAGCCACTAGTTGATATTGACATTAGCCACCTTTAACACCCTCATTCGCCATCTCCTGATCGTAGGTATCTTCTTTATTCTGAGCCTCCAAAGCGCCATTACCAGCTTCATCTTGATTTTCATAGCTGTCTTCACCGTACTGGTCATCACCTTTCTGTTTCGATTCATAATCCACTTGCTGTTGAGAACCAACACCACCTCTACCATCTTGATATTCACCATTGCCTTCTTTATCGGAATCATCCTTGCCTTCTTCCATTTGAACATCATCGTCGCCATGGTCTTGGCCCTCATCATCTTGATTTTGAGGAGCATCGTCCAATTGATCCATAGGTTTAACAGTGACGTTTTTATCCGATGAATCATCTCGCTTGGGAGATAGATAGCCACCGGGAACATAGTAGCCATCCAGCTTGTTTGGGGCGACTTCTAGAACAACCATTTTGCCCTGCAGCATGTGAGCAGTGATATGACAATGAACAGGCCAGACACCAGGGTTATCCTATGTATACCATGATTGAATTAGTGATTGGGTTTTGAACCAACATAAGGCTTATATACCGTAAACAATCTCACTTTGGTCCAACCACAATTCGCAGTACCATTGACGCTACGAGGGTAGGTGATGCTCACATCACGATAGATAGGATTCGGGTAGGTGCGAATATCTTTATCTGTTTCATGGACGTAATCGCCAGGACCTTCAGCCAACAGATAATGAGAATGTCCATGCGTGTGCCAAGGATGAAGAACACAAATACCCGCAGGAAGCTGTACGTTTTGGAACACCAGATCAACAATCTCACCCAACTCTAAGGGATAGGTTTGGTGAGCAAACGAAAAGCCGTCATTGGCATCCATAGCACCCAAGGCAGGTTCAGCCAGCACGCGGTCAATCAAGGACATGCTAGAGTTACCCCAAGGCTCGGCAACAAAGGCTCTACCATTCGTGATGAAACGCGTTGTGTTGTCAGGCATCACAACTTCCTTCAAGGTAAGCTTAATGGTGCGAGTAGCAGGTTCAGACAATATAAAGTCGGTGGGATAGCTTGCTCCAGACTTGAGCTCACTCGTGATCCAGCCAGGCGTATCAACAAGGGGAAAGATGTTGTTTGGCAAGTCCTTGACGAGGGGAGTGGTTAAAAACGAGATAGATTCTTGTTTGTTGGCAGCAGCAGCAGGATCGACATAGCGAAGAAAGCCATAGCCATTAGGTGTGTATCCTAGACCTTGCCCTCTATATCTATAATTAGATACGATGGGGAAGATGGATCCAGCAGCATGGTTTCCTGTTGTAAGAGTGAAAGCCATACGTTGACCTGGAGATATCTCAAGGTAGGAGACGTTGTGAGGCTGCACGGGTTCCGCGTCAATTTCCACCAGCGTCATGTCATGGCCCTGCACAGCAATACCCAGTGTACGGAAAGTAAGAGCACCAATAACACGCACCAAATACGTCTTGTTGGGTTCTACATCAAAGTAAGTAAAGCCTTTGCAATCCAAAGAAGTGGCACCTGCAGCATTGATGGAAGTGTTGGCATAGATGGAACGACCATTGAGCAGCACGCTGTCTGGACCACCATCACCGATGAATTGAGGACCCATGTAGTAGTCAAATCGGTCATGGAAGGATTGATGCCACCATTCAGTCCAGTGCAAGATAATTTCATTCTTGGCGTGGTTCTCTAAATGTTCCTGGGTTTCATGTACAATAAATGGGCCCTGAAGAGTGTCGTCTTGTACGCCTACGTGAGCATGGTAGTAGAATGTGCCCGTTTGATTCAGCACCTGAAATGCCTGGACAAAGGTCTCTCCGGGAGCAATGGCCATCTGAGTAATACCAGCCACACCATCAAAGCGATTGGAGCTATACTGCCTGATACCATGAATGTGGATACTGGAGCTAAAGTTGTGCGAGGGATCATTGTAGATGTGCAGCTGAATAATATCATTCTTCACCACATGGATAGCTGGAGCCGGGAACTGACCATTGATCACAGGACTGATGAATGATGCATTGCAATCTGGATTGAGTTGGGCCAAGGTGATATTAAAGTAGAACTTCCTGATAGCAACACTTGCTGTGTCACCAGAGCTAATATCAACACCAACATCTAGATCAGCACTATCAGCATGTGCAAATCGGAATGCAAACACTAGCAGCAATAGTACGAACAATGGCGAAAAGAGAGGAGACATCTGGAGTATCATGTTTGATGAGGGAGAAGTCATTTTCGCATTGGATTTTGCCCGTTTATATGGCCACTCAAATGTTGTCACTGGACCTGTCTGCACAGGTTCAATACGCCTTTCATTCGACCCTATTTTTACTATCCTCAATACCTGGATGAACAGTATAATTACATGTTTGTAAATATAGTTAGTGTTGTGTCCCAAATGACCTTCTTGTTCTTGTAAGGCAAAATGTGTGTGTATGTGTACAATGACATCAGTTTCCAAATCTTAAAAAGACCAGAAAATAAGGGACCCAATGCCTTGTCCCCTTCTTTTTAGAGGCATGAAGCATAATAGACGATGGTGTTGATAAAGCACGGATTTGATGTGGATCCATTGATTAGATCTCAGCATATCACTGATATCAAAAATTTCACATACGTATAACTATTACTCATAAAGTTCCACTGGTCCTCTTTTTTCTTCTTCTTCTTCTTTTTCAATTTATACCATTCCATCATGTCATCTCCTGTTGTAGAAACTGCCCGTGCTGCTCGTCTTGCTTCCGTTAGCCTTCAATCGGTTACTAACGAGCAAAAGAACGAGGCTCTCTTAAAGATCAAGCAGGTGTTGAGCGAGCGTCGAGAGGAGATCTTTAAAGCAAATGAGCAAGACAAGAAGATTGCCGAAGACTTGGTCAAGCAAGGCAAACTCTCGGGCTCTCTCTTTAAGCGTCTGGATGTTTGTCAAGGCGATAAATTCGATACCATCTTGTCTGGTGTCAGCGACATTACTCAATTGCCTGATCCCACAAAGAAGGTGACAATGGCTACTAAATTAGACGATGGGTTGGAGTTGTATCGCTTAACTGTTCCTGTCGGTGTCTTGCTGACCATCTTTGAAGCTCGCCCTGAAGTCGTCGTCAACATTTCATGCTTGGCTCTCAAGTCTGGTAATGCTGTCATTTTGAAGGGCGGCAAAGAAGCAACCCACACAAACGCTGCATTGGCTCGTGTCATTCAAGATGCATTGGCTAGTTTGCCTGCTGACAATGGCATTCCCAAGGAAGCTGTGCAGATTGTCGAAACCCGTGAAGATATCAGTGCCTTGTTGGATCTGGATCGCTATATTGATTTGGTTGTTCCTAGAGGCAGCAACAGCCTGGTCAAGTATATTCAAAACAACACAAGGTAAGCATTGGCCTGGGCGGGTGATGGAAAGAAAAAAGAGTCGATAGTGACATGTTGCCTATCGTAGAATCCCTGTTCTCGGTCATGCCGATGGTATTTGCTCAGTGTACCTCGACAAGGAGGCCGACATCCAAAAGGCTGTCAAGATTGCTGTGGATTCCAAGGTAGGACGCATTATAAAATGCACAGGACAAAGAGGCTCATTGCTCTGGTAATATCTAGACGAATTACACTGCCGCTTGCAATGCTGCTGAAACCTTGCTCGTCAACCAATCTTTATTACACAACAACGAATTTACAAAGGTGGCATTGGGTCTTTTGGAAGCTGGCGTGACACTCAAGTGTGAATCCGATGTTTTGGATTTCTTGATGCAATCATCCAACATTCCCGAAGAATACAAGCAATCCAAGCTGGAGAAGGCGACGGAAGAAGATTTCTTTACTGAATTTTTGGATCTGATCATTGCCGTCAAGTCAGTGGCTGATGTGGATGCCGCTGTGGTTCATATCAATGAACACGGCTCCAAGCACACCGATTGTATCGTTACTGAAAACAAGGAAACGGCTGATTATTTCATGACCCGTGTGGATGCTGCTGGATGTTACTGGAACGCCAGTACTCGATTTGCAGATGGTTTCCGTTACGGTTTTGGCGCAGAAGTCGGTGTCAGTACAAACAAGACACATGCTCGTGGTCCTGTTGGTTTGGAAGGCTTGGTGATCTATAAATACAAGCTGTTTGGCAATGGCGAAGGCGCTGGTGACTATGGATCCGGAAAGAAGCAATACAAGCACGAAACCATCGAGCCTGCCCAATACAAGTTGTAAAGCATCTTTCAATTTAAAATCGACCTTTGTTGCATTTCATTCACACAAATAAACACAACATAATCATTGAAATATACATAGCATGCCCACACACACACACACATTGTCCAGACACATTCTTGAGCTGATTGTATAAATATCGAGCTTACAAATGAGTCTTATTTTTTTCAATCTCGATTCCATCCATCTTGATCAATAAAAGCCTGCTGTTCATCTCGTTTCTATGTGTAGCTGAATCCTTTGCTGCTCCAGCACATTTCAACGACCAAGCTGTAGATGATAGTAACGAAACAGAGCAATTGGAGGAGACGGAGGAATACAGTGCCCAGCAAAATGTGAACGAGTCCATCGTATGTCAGCGAAATTCGCCACTTTTTATCCCTTATAATGAAACATTCAAAGCGAATGCACCAGCTCTGTGTAATTTGTATAATGGTGATCTGGCTCCCATCTCAAATCAGAATTTTGTAGACGCTACACCTCTACTCTTCAGCTGTAGAGGTCCCATGGCGCAATGCCAGGATAAAGTAAGTTTCTGATGCATCTCGTTTTGTGTTGTTTGTCATTCATCAATACATTTAGGAGTTGGGATGACACCGACTACGGATCCAAATTGCTTGCCATTATACACTGGTGCTAGCATTCCCGGAGGCGGCATTGATATTGATTGCATTGGAGAAGACTTTATTGCGCCTATCTGTATTCAGAGAAGAAGTTTCGTGGATAGTGTAGGTAACCAAAAAAAAAAAACAGCTGCTTCCTGCTGTTGTCCCTACTCCTAGTGCAAGCTCCAAGTATACTATTGATACTGGCAATGACGTTCAAATCGGCACCTCCACATCTTCAACCACTAGTCCGCCTTTTACTGTAGTGCAGCCTATTCCAGACGATACTCTATCTTTTGTCCCTAATGCCACTCCATCTGCACGATTGTCTAGAGAAATTAGTTGAATAAAATACACGATATGTTCTTCTGCTTATATAGAATCCATCTTAATCTTGGTAAAATAGAATATACTGAACATGGTGCCTGAATACATAAACGATTCCAAGTCAGGAGAGATGTCAATATGGCCACCTAACTTTGCCATGTCTCTAATCACTGTGTAACCTCCTGTTTTATCACATCAATGACCTGGACACCCGAAACACGGCTCATCCCATCAACAACGTCCTGAAAAAAGAAGCGAAGCAAAGTTTCATCGAGCGGTGTATTAGTAAGGGATATCAAGTGAAATGGCTGTGCGTCAAGGAGCTGCGTCCGTTTTTGCTATGGTTGGTATTGCTGAGGTCAGCTTTGGGCGCCCTTTCAATGACTGATTTAGGAAGACACTTGTCTGAAGCAGTTGCTGAAGGAGAAGAAAGCTCCGTTACCTCTGCTAAAAACATACAAATGACGAGACAATGTACCCACAATTATTGAGAAATTAGACGTAAGCAAGCCAAATGCATGAAACACAGCTAGATTTGACAGCTTTAAAGCCTTAATATCTTGAAATGTAGAACTTTTTGAGTCACCGGAATGATGCCAAACAATTATACCCGAGTAGTAGTAACTTCCTGACACCTTTGTTCAACTTTTTGAGGACCCAAAAAACATGGCCAAAAATCGACCAAAAAGCATGAGGTACCCCTCATGGTTTTTTTACGAAAATCAAACGATCGTGTTTTTCGCCTTGAAAATGAAGACTTTTACTGACATATATCTAATCAAAATGTTTCTCTCGGTCCAAAGCAACCACTGAAGCCACTTTTTTGAGGTCCTCATATGCAAAATTTCAATATTTTCGCCAAAAACCTCATTTCATATTTTCTAGAATTGCTCAATATGTTTAGTCAAAACTTCTATTTTACCTGGTACCTTTAGAAGCGCCTTGAAGAATATTCCAAGAATGTATTAGGAAGTACGAGCTGATTAGCACAATTAATATAGTCGAATCTCACAGATTCAATTAAAGAAGTCGAAAGGAAGCATATTTCGTCCAATCTTCAACAGAAAACATTGTCTGTGTTTAAATTAATTTTACCAGCGCTGCTGCTTCTGGCTTACCCACCAAATGCCTTTTTGATGATGACAATGATGATGGCAATGGTGATTGGTATGCTGATTAAATGGGGACTATATATTTGAAAGAACTATCTTTTAGTCTGAATACTTTCTTTACTTTTGTTGGGCGTTTTTATATTTGACAACTCCAGCCAACTTGGATCATCACCAAAATATAAGTTATGGCAACTTCCTAATCCTGATTTGCAGCATTTTAACATGGCATGTAGACAGTATGCGTTCTGCTGTTTCGTTTAAAAGAGACTATTGCCACTGGGCTATAGCACTTTTGTTGAAAGGACTGCGAATTGTCTTCTTCATTGTCAAGTTGCTATTGTTCTGTTATAGACTTATCTGCCAATATCTCAGTGAAAACCCTTGCTTGCTATCTACAGCATCGTTTGGCCTCATATACACTGTGAACGACTTGAAGATGGGCTACTTGGTATTGTACGCATACACACATATTATGTACCACAAGCAAGCAAGCCAATAATATGCAGCTGGGGGTAACATCTATCATCTCCTTCTCCTGTTCTCTCACTCAACCTTGCAAAAATAGATGTATTTTTAGCATAAGGTTTTGCCCTGAGCACAAGTTTGTTTATATTGTCAAGAGAGCAAGGTAGTAAGATATTGTTTGAGGTGCGATCACTTAGTCATTTCAAGGAACCACCTTTATTGGAAATGCCTTGTCATATTGTTATTTGTTTGTTCAAAGCATCACGTTATATCTTGTTATCAAGGCCTGGCTTTTTGTCAGCCAAAGCGCGAGCTTTCATGTCATGAATATGATATTCACAGGGTGTATGCCACTATAAAGATGGACATGCAGCTAGGATAAAACTCATTTCGCTGCTTCCAGTCAGGATCTATCGGCTTGACGATATGCCACAGATGGGTGCAAAACAGACATTATAAACACGATGAACAAAATCTCGCCCGGGTGTGGCTCCCTTCTTGACTAGTCTAACTTGAAATGTAGTAAGGTGACAAATAGATTTCTTGTCATACCAAGGTAAGTGTAATGCTGGATTAGCAAGAGATCTGTTGTGTACAGTGTAGCACATCTCATCAAGTTGAGAGCGAGGAGATTTAAGCATCCCTGTTCGGCTCAACAGCACAAAGCCGGCTCCCCAGATCTTATTTTACAATCTGATATGGCTGGATGTATACATTACCACATTGTTTGATTAGCTGCTACCACCGGATGAAGGATCCGGACGTTAGGCAATTTTTAGGCATTCCAAAGAGCCAACATGTAGGACAAGCAAACTTAATTTAGTAAAGCAAGGTGGTCCAGTGTGCATTTCTGTCTGTGGGTAAAGAGAGAGATAATGTTTATACTGTATGAAATCTCCCTTGTCCATTGTATCATGTGAACTTGGTCTCTCTGTGATAGGTACCTTGAACGTTACAGTGACAGACAGCAGGAAGAAGAGGACAGGAGGATGGCTGTATTGAAGAGGCGATAGTCAGTGTGCTATGCAAGTGAACGTCAGCCCACTCACTGATAAATGCCACTGCCTCTTTTTCAGGTTACTTTGGCCTTTTGGCCATTTGAAACGTTTTAAGTTTAAAATTTCACATTAGTATAGTATTCATGGTATAAATAAATGACTTTTTGATACACGGCATTTCTCTCTCTTTTTCTCTTGTTGTCTACTTTTCATCTCTCTCTCTCTCTCTCTCCCGTTTTTCTTGTATTATATACTAATTTATTTGTACCTTAAAAAAACACCACACACACATAAAACACACAAAAATGACTTCCACTGCTGTTAGGTAAGAGCACACGCATCGAGCATCTTTTCTCACATTTAACCACCCCAACCCAACAGAGTCGCATTACGTGTACGACCTTTAACACAAAAAGAACAACTCTCCAACTGTACAGAATGCATATCATTTATACCAAATCAACCACAAATCTTAATCGGCAAAGACCACTCGTTTACGTATGATTATGTGTTTGATACAAATTCAATACAACAATCAATATATGAGACAAGTGTCGTACCCCTAGCAGAGAAATTTGTTGATGGGTAAACAAATTCCTTTTTCTCTTTCTGATAAATATAGTCTCTAACACTTATCCCATCATCATCAGTTTCAACGCAACTATTCTAGCTTATGGACAAACTGGATCTGGAAAGACATTCAGTATGGGTACTGCCCTGGATGAGCACACAGATTCAGATCAGCAAGGTAATTATTTATAATAGCGCCCCTCCGCTTATAGCCATGCTGATCTTTCTTTCTCTCTTTTTGTATAGGCGTTGTGCCTAGATTCATTTACGATTTGTTCAACAGACTACACGACAAGAAACAAGCGCAAAAACTGCAGGAATTTCAAGTCTTTGTGTCGTTTCTAGAACTCTACAATGAAGATTTTGTTGATCTCCTCAACGCCTATTCACAGCAATCACACACCAACAATAACAACAACACCAGAAAGAGATCCAATTCTGTAAGCCATTTTGCTCCACCACCTTGTGAAGTCCAGATTCGCGAAGATGTACACGGCCAAATTTATTGGAGTGGTGTTCGCGAAGAACTCTGCTCAACACCAGATGAGCTCTTGAGATATCTCACCAAGGGGTCCCTATGTCGCACAACCGGATCTACAGATATGAATTCCGTTTCTTCTAGATCACACGCCATCTTTTCCGTCATTCTAAAGCAGAAGGTGCCTGCCGCTGCTGATGAAGAAGGTGACAGTTGCCAAGACCAGCAGAAACAAAATCAAGCGGATAATACCATTGTCAGTAAATTTCATTTTGTGGATCTAGCCGGTTCTGAAAGAGTAAGCAGCAAACAAATGAACTGCAGTTTATCAATATAAATAAATTACCCCTGAAATTCTTTCTTGTAGTTGAAACGCACCAAGGCAGAAGGCAATCGCGCTCGTGAAGGCATCTCCATCAACTCGGGCCTGCTGGCACTGGGCAATGTCATTAGTGCATTGGGTGACGAATCCAGAAAATCCGTCCATATTCCATACAGAGACTCGAAGCTGACTCGACTATTGCAAGATTCACTAGGCGGTAACTCGCAGACGCTGATGATGGCCTGTGTCTCTCCATCCGATTCCAACTTTCTGGAAACACTAAGCACCTTAAAGTACGCCAATCGAGCACGAAATATTAAAAATAAAGTAACCATCAACCAAGAATTTGCTGGTTCGTCCGTTGAAGTCAACCAACTTCGATCCCAAGTAGCAAGACTAAAATTAGAGTTGAATGCTCTACGTGGTGCCAGCTCGAGCCATGCAGGAGGTGGTGGCAATGGTGCTACGAAATCAACAGCCACCTACAGCTCATCTGATATGATGATCAACAACATGCTCAATGGTTCTCCTACGGCGGCTGCCAAGGTGCTCAAGGAAGAAATTGACCGACTAAAGGCGCGTGTCAGACAAATGTCGGATGACATCTGCAGAATCACTACTGAAAGAGACTCGCTACAAATGGAGCGAGAATTGGCTCAACACATGAACTCGGAAGACTGGCCCAACTTGATGGAGCAGCTGCAGCAACGTCGAAGCTCATCTGCCTCATTGACAGACCAGGACACACCCCTTAGCTCGCTACCCATCATTGCGCAATACCAAAAGGCAATTCAAGACTTGAGAAATGAACTTACCGACACGCAAGAAAGACTTGCCTTTTCAGAATCAATTCGTGCACCTCTGATGCACGCTATGGCTATCCCACCAAGCGCCAATGTCACCCCACAAACCTCCTTCAGAACGCATCAGCAGCAATATCCTTCAATCACGACTAACAACAACAACAACAACAACAACAACAGGCGTCGTGGTACTGGTAAAAAGAGACGCACACACAATGGCAGCAGCACAACTACGTCTAGAAATGTGACATTCAGATCAACAAGGCGCTCCAAAGTGCCCAACATGCCTACTGTTGCTGGAGCCAATATGACGACCAAGTTGTCTGCAGCTTTAACAGCTGAGGACAAACAAAGCAGCAACTTGAACAGCAACGATGACGATGAGCAAGACATTCAAGAATGGCTCAAGGCAACCATGGGCTCTATTCAAACATCCGAATCCTCTGGGTTAAGACTAGATGCTAAAAACTCCATCTCCAATGCCAGAGCGCAGATCGATAAAGCCTTGAAAGTGCTGGATGAGTTCAAGGTGTGTACAACTTGAAAATTGCTTGATTGGTTACTAATTCGTTTTCATGTATTTCAGATCAAGGAATCTGAGCCTGAAGCAGAAGATCAGGTTGAATACGACTGTGATCTCTTGAATGATGATGAGTTGTTCATCAAGCTACAATCAGATGATATCCAGAGCTTGTTTGGCGAACTGGAGGAAGAGATCAAAGCGGCGTCTCCTTTACAAAAGGTGAGTTCTCATGTCGAATTATGACAGCAAGATGACACTAATCTTGCACTTACAGGATGAAACCCCTTCAAAGATGCCTCGTTACAGAATGGCCTCCACTGACACAACGATGACGGAGGACAATGACCTTGCCGAGTTCTATGAAAACAACCCTCAATTGCACCGCATGCTGAATCAAATCCAATCCGACATTCAAGTCAATGAGGATCTGGTGCTTCAACTGGAAAAGACAGAAGTGGAATACAGCCAAATGCGCAAGAAGTTCGAAAAGAAGCTGTACTCGCTGCGAGATGAAATCTTGATGCTGCGTCAACAGCAAGAACAACAACAGCAGCAGCAGCAAAAGAAGGAGCCTTCTACTGCAGCATTGCCTTCAACAACTGCCGCTGCTTACAGCATGAACAGTATTCGCCATGCCTACGAAGCCAAGATGAAGACCCTTATGAGCCAATTATCTGAGCTACGTCGTAAGTATAGCCAGACATCAAGCACCATGCAGAGCTCCCGCAACCAAAATGAAAGCATGCTGCGTGCCTTGCGTGTCAATGTAGAGAGTCTCAAGGTGGAGAAACGTCGCATGATCAAGCGCATGAAGGATGAAGCTGAACGTGTCAAGGAAAAGCTGCACAACCATGAACGTGAGATTCAACAACTACGCCGTAAACAAATGAAGGACAATGAAGTCAAGAAGAGACTGGAGCGCGAAGTTAAGCAAATGCAACTGGTCATTGGCAAAAAGACAGACGAGTCTGTGGTCACTGCTGAAAAGCTCAAGTCCTTGGTCAAAATCCTCAAAAAGGCTGTTCGCGAAGGCGGTGTGCTGGATGAAAAACTGCTGGCTAGCTGTGGCTCTCTGCTAGATATTGGCTCTGCTTTGGTTCAGTCTTCTCGTGTGGGTCGCATGTCTCGCAACAGACGCAATAACAGCAATAACAGAAACACCCGTTGTCGTCTGCAACAACAGAGCGTGCCAGCTGAAGTCAGAGCTGCTAAAAAGAAGACGCTCTTGGACAACGCCTTGTATCAGCTCATTCAAGGCAAGCAAGCAGTGGAAGAAATGAAGCAACTCCTGGCCAAGCGCAGCGACCTCTCCCAAAGAAAGATTGAATACCTCTCTGAACGCGAATTGCTAATGCTGGATCAAGATACCAAGGATCTATCTTCCATTGATAACGCGTTTAGACAAGTCATTGATGAAAACATCGAGACAGTAGAGGCTGAAATCTCCTATATCAATGCTCGCATTCATGCCATCCACAACGATGCTGCTGCTGAAATCATGCAAGAAGACGAGAACGACGAGGAGGTCATTGACATGTCACAAAAGCAGAAGCGAGTAACCTTTGTTGAAGCACAAGTGCAAGAGGAAGAGGAGGAGGAAGACAATTGGCATGACATGGACGCCTTGGAAGAGCGCTACAGTCTCCCTGCCAGTGCTGGTCCCGAGCAATCACTGGAAATGATATCCAAGATATTCAGATCTTTGGCTGATGATGAGGCAAGATACATCATGGAAAACATCATTGATGATATGGTCCTGCTGCGCATGGAAGAGCACAACAACAAGATGTCAATTCAGCAACTGGAAAAGTCCACACAAGATTTGAGACGCACACTGATTGTGATGAAGAAGGCTGCTATTGACACCACCATTGAGAATGAAAAGAAATTGAAGCGTTTGTCCATGCAACAGCAACAGGGTGGTAGCAACAGCAGTGTTTATTCCACTGGTGGTGGTGGATCACGTCGTACGTCTATGTCAAGAGAGTACTCTAGCTCCAAGATGAGTTGTCGATCATCTCCTACCAACGAAGACTCCAGTGACGCTGATTCTGCTATTGATTTGCACAACGAAGATCAGTACCAGCATGTGGAAACCATGTTTGAAAAGATTTACACGGACGGTCTCAATGGAAAAGTGCCTACTTATGAATATGGTGTCGCCATGGCAGAAGCAACGGCACCGGTGATTATGGCAGAAAATGAATTGAGCCCCTATCTGCGTCCACATCCTGTCACCAATGCAAATAGTGCTAATGGTGGTCTAGCTGGAAGCGGACCCAAGACTGGCAAATCCACAGTACAAGCGCCCATGAAACCGTCCACATCTCCTCTAGTCAGTCGTCGCCGAGATTCCATGTCCTCTCCAGAGCAATTCTTGCTGCAGTTCCTTCAAACACCCAAAGATGTGCGTCCACCTTCTTCTCCTCTCATGAAGCCTGCCGAATTTACCAGATATCAACATGAGCGTGAGTCATCTACCAACTCCTCTATGCGCAACCGAAGTCTACCACCCAGTATTCCAAGACGCTCTTCGCTGCAATCGGATAATGGCTCGTGGTGCTCTATCTACTCCTCTAATCATGGCTACAGCCAGCAAATGATTCGTGCTTCCTCTGGCTGTAGTGGTGCAAGTAGACTCTCTGGTTCTGTAGCACCTAATGAACCACAGCCACTTCAACAACAACAACAACCTCCTCAACCACCTACTACGATACTCAATCGTAGAAGAGCCTTCTCGTTCCAACAACCACCATCCCCCACGCCAAACGCAGGACCTCATCCTATGCGTAGACGCTCTTTGCTTCGCGAATTGACAAATCCTGAAATCGATCAAATAGCCAACAAAGATTACTCTTATCATGACACTGCTCTGATTCCTACATTCAGTAGCAACAATCAGAGTCAGCAACAGCAACCCAACAGCACGGTGCGCCCTCATTCAGTGCTTGCTCTTCACGCTGCTGCTGCTGCTTCTGCACCCAGACCTACCAGTAAGGCCTCTACCGTCTATCCCAATGTACGAAGAGAATCGCCCAACAACTCGTTTGAATTGAGAAAATCTGCAGCTGCCAACAATGTTTTTGATCGCTTGTCTTCGGGTCATACACATGCCTCTCAAGCTAAAAAGAGGCTGGGTAATTATCATCGCTATTCATCGAGTAGTATTGATGACTTGAGAATGCAATGGGCAAATGAACTAGCAGAGAGAAATGACGAGCAGTAGTTGACATGTAGCTTCTTTTTGTATATCTTATTATTTTTATATCCCAATTATATATATATATATATATATATATATATATCTGTATGTACTATCTAACCAAATAAACTCCTGTGTCTTGAAGTAAACTAGAGCCTGAGGTAAACTAATATGGCCTGAAAAACGAAATTTTCCTTTAAACTCAAATTAGATACAAGATAAACAGATAGATGTTAATGCGCATTGAACTCATGTAAACAACCTGGCCTCAACCAGAAATGGAATACAAAGCGTAATTAACAGCTGTTTGCAGCTTGAATGTCCAATATTAGCAGAGGCTAATACAATTTGCATCATAATGTAGCCTGGAGATTTGCTCTAGTCCGAGAAAGCAATTAATGAGTGCTTTTAGACAAGTAAAAACAATATACAAAAGCCTGAAATTCACATTATGTAAAGATAAAGCTTAAGCAAGGAAACAAGTTTGATTGTATGACACAGATACTAGAAATTTTGCGTTTTGAATGGCATTTCAGCATGTGGTAAAGTGTACAACAGTTTAGCTGGTGGTGAACTTCATATATAAATGACCTATTTTTCAGTGTGTATAACTCCAAATGTTTCGTTTATTTGGTAATACAAAGCAGTAAAGTCAACGGTTTCTTATAGCCATTGAAGCAAATCTACGCTGAACAAAGAGAGCAATGAAAGAAAGCGTAATATGCAGCTGGCAAGTCTCTGATATACATGCTGAGCTTATGTATGAGTTGCTGCCATTTCTGTTGGTTACTACCCTCTCTTAGCTTAAGGCAAACATTTGGCACAAGTAAAACAATAGACAAGCCATTGACAGCTTGTTTGCATATGCTTCTTGCACTCTCTCACAGTGTCAAACTATCAATTTCCCCACCCCCGCCCTTTTCTACCTTTCTCTCTTCTTTACAGATAGTAGTTTTTCTTTTTGGAGCCTCTACTTTTGTTGAAAGTGCAAGTCAGCAATCCAGGCTTATGGTCAGTCCAGATTCTTTGCACTGATGGTAGGGGACTTGAATTATGGCAGATAGGTCTGCTTGCCCAGTCGTTAGAGCATCAGTGCACTGTAAAATAGCACAATGACCTTACAGCCATTGACAAGGAAATCAAACTATAGATCTTTTCTCAATGACACTGCCTATTTTATGGTGAGTGGTTATTTCACCGGCCTCTGTAGGTAAATTGGAAGATAATACAGCGTCATAGTAATCAACAAGGGTAATGTACAGACTGGATAGTCTCTAAACTTGGCCTATTGGCCGAATCCGGCAACAGAGGATGGTGCGTTTAGTTATCCTGTATACATCTTGCATATATACTAGAAGCTTCCTAATATATTTGGCATGAATATATTATTCAAGAATCTAATATCTCAGAAAATATTATAAAAAGGATAGTTCTATCTGAGGCATAGTTCTTCTGAATCGTCTACTCTTCTCGAGGCTTTGATAAATAAAATCGTTATTCTTCAGTTAATTGGCGAGCGAATCCTTTTGATATGAAATCAAAGGACATTTCTCATCTTGAAAGCGTCTTCTTTTCAAGCAATCAATAAAGGAACATCTGAAACGAGAAGTTTCTTTCGCTCTACATGTATCATACTTACGAGATGTCTTTTTTCCTGAGGCCTCTTTTGTGAGTTCATCAAAAAAATAGCTCTACCACATATATCGAGACTTTTGGTGATAAGCATGTTTAAAATACCTAACTGTTTGCCTCCCGTTGTTCTTTGCATACGGCGATTTATCATCTTGGGTCACTGTAACCTGGTTGCTCTTCTTTCAATGGACTTGCGTCCTCCCCGTTCAATGCGCTTGTTTACTTCTTCTATCACAGTAACCGGCTAGATATTAAGCAGTTACTTAAGGCTACGAGTTGTGTTACTTCCTCCCAGCCTTTGGGTTCCAGCAACAGTATTTTGGAACTTGATTTTGGATGATCCAAACCATGAATTGGAAACGGTTTTTCGGAAACACTTTTAAACTTCCAAAATAATGTAAAATGGGGTAAAACGTAGCACCTCATGGCATTGAAACATGTTGGGAATCAATCATAAACGGCGTATGTTTGGCAAAGTACACGGCATTGGGAAGATCTGGTACCTAATATACTACTGCACCATTATGATGACTTTCCTCACATAGTGAATTTATTAAAGAATATCCTTCGCATAAAACTGTGTGATGAATAATTGCATCTTATCTTACTTTTGAATAAAGGAAAACATAAATTAGATCTTTTTTGATACTCTTTTTATTACAAATACAAAATTATAATACATGACAGATCAATAGGAAATCAACTAGTTGTAGCCCATCATCGTTTCAACCTCTGAGCCAATCAGATTGCTTGAAAACTCCGCTGACCTAAAGAAAAATTTGCGAGGGTTTCCCCCTGTTTTGATGTGAGGCAAAATTTTAAGCGCCGCTATAATAGCAATATAGCCGCTGCTATCATCAAACTTCCCCCAGGTGCTAGAGCATGCCTTACTTACACCACCTAGCTTTAGATTCTGGCGTTGAGACTCTCAATCATCACTAAAGTAAGTAGTGATAACCAAGTGGAGACAGCCTATCTACCTCCTAGCCTCGGATAGAGTCTTGTTGAGCTTCAGGGATAGGCACATCCACACAACGTAAAAAAAAGGTATGCTTCAAAGAAACATAAAAATAATAAAGGAAAGAATAAAAGAACATACTACTATAGGTGTATAGTAGTACATGGGCAAAAAATGGATACTCACACAAAGTGATTCAAAGAAAAGTATAAGTACAACATCAGAGATGCTCAAAAGAGCTCGTTGTTGCAAAAAAATTGCATACATGAGCAAAGTGCATGGTAATAGTCGAATGTAAAGTAACGCAAACACACAAAACTGCAAAAGTAATGGTGGTATAAGTTTGCACTGCAACATAATGACTAACGTTGTCTCATGTGAAGCCACAGAGGCAACGTAACCAGCGAAAGAAGAAGAAAGCGCAACAAAGTAAAAATCATGATAAAATGCATTATCACGAGAAAGGAAGCAATAATACAAACATTCAAAGAAGTTTTATATCATTCCGACCAGAAGAAAGAAGATACTTACCACTTACCACCACCACAGATAGACCAGAGGATACGCAATCACCAGATATAGACCAGAGAAAAAGCATGCACCAGACACAGTACACCAGAGAAGACCATATTAGCAACAGCAGCAGCAACACCAGCACCATGGAAAAACCAGAGAACAAACGACACCAGAGACCAGACAAAGACCAAACAACAAGCAACACCAGCAGAGACCAGACAAAGACCAAGAAGCAGACAGCAGAGACAGCAGAAAAGGAATGGCAGCAGCACCCACGTCAAACAGGCAAAAAAAAATTATCAAAACCTAACAAACAAATTCAGTTAGTACTGATTCTGCGTCTTCCAGTGCTCGTTTATCGAATGGTACCTACTATATCCTTCTTCAAAGAAGCAGTGTCAAGTTCTTTTAGCAATACAAGGCAGTGTGATCAGAAGTTGGAGTGTTATTATCATTCGAACAGTTTCAAAACCAACATGGTTTGATACTGAACGCGTTTTGCAAAAGGAAAAAAAAAAACGGGATGAAAAAAATGAGAGGGCGCCCTATCCGACGTCACGGCTAGTAAATTTGGCCTCAGTCTTCTGCCACAGCAGCTGTCGCTGCGGCACTCAAATTTGGGTTTGTGCAGTTGTCATTTTTGTGTTCAAATTTGGCTTGATCTGACATCCTTTAAACGTTTTTGCTAAATTTGACTATGAAAATTGTCATTGTTATACTTTACTTTCTATTGCGTTTATAAAGAGTCATTAAAGGCGCATCGAATGATGCTGGTTACATTTAGTTTTTAGACTGAAAATAATGAGCAATTTTCAAAAATATGAAAACAGGTTTTCTGTGAATATTGTTAAGCACAAAGAATAAAAGGATTATTATTTGTAGCTTATAAAAAATGTTCAATATTATAAAAACAAGAAAAGACTTATTTGAATAAGATCAGACACAAAAACTAAAGATTTATTGATGAAGACAAGAGTTATTCTATTTATACTAAGTTCTGAATGCCAAAGTAGCAATTTATCTTGTACAACGCTTATCACATCTGGTGAACCTCAGTATTTAGATAGCTGAGATGCACTTCACTTATCATAGCTTGTCCATGTTGTTGCACAACACAGACATATCTACCCATCAAGAATACCTTAATCTTTATAGACAGTTGTAGCCCTTCTGGCACAACATTGCCCCCCCAGATTCAGGTACTTCTTGTGGACATTTCGTAATCCCAGATTACAAAACATCATGACAATATAGCACATAAAGCACTTTCCAATAAATAATTACCAAATGACACTGCATCCGAGATCAGTCAGTAAAAACCTTGTGTAAAAACCTTTCATAGGACAAAAATGTAAGGAAAAGACTTGATCCCATCATGCTAGTAGCCATTTAAGACCTGTTTGATCTACCACTCTGACCAATTTCGCGAGTAGTAGTAGTTCGCCAGTTAACTGTTTGAGGAGCTAACCTACGTTTACCAGCAGCCTTTGCACCTTCTCTTCGAGCCCAATACAACTCAATGTGTTTGGCCGAATCAAAGTTTTTCACAGGCTCCCAAGTATCTTCACTAGGATCATCGAACCCTTTCCATTTTACCTTATACTCATAGTTACCAGGAGATCCTCTATGATCAATCACAGCTTGAATTTCGTAATGCTCTGCAGAGAATTCATCAATTGTGATTGGCTGAGGATTCGCAGCGACTTGGTACTTGATATGATGGGTAGGCACATCTCGACTAAGGAGTGCACCCGTCTTGTCAGCCAGCACATAGGAACCTTTATCGGTTATACTATGAATCAAATAAGGTCCTTCATACCGTTCATCTAACTTATTTTGACGATGAACATTTTTAATCATAACCTTACTACCAATAGGATAGGGTTCGGCAATGACCTTATGTTTCTTCGCAAAGTTAGCATGATCAGCATTTTGTGTATCCACAATACGCTTAGAAATAGCCGGGATAAGAACATCTTGTACAAAACGGTATCGTTTGTCAATGAGTCTATTATCAGCTTTCTCCAAACGTTTGGAATAGTCCACCTTTGAATAATCAGCCAGACCATTTGGTTGACGATTAAACAAAAGTGTATACGGACGAGATTTATGTAACCGAGCATACTTGACATTGATGCAGTAATTCACCCACGGAATGAAGTGCTCCCATTGATCCCTCTTACCTTTTAACAACTTGATAGTCGTTAACTTACATATTTTGATAAATGACTCAGAAACCGAGTTACCCAATGGATTGTACCCTAATGACAGGCGATGGTCTATCCCACTGATGTCCATCATAGCACGGACCACCTCATTTATCCATTCCAGGCCTCTGTCTGAAGTCAACTTGATTGGCCATCCAAAAAGTGAGAAAACTTGAAGCATTTCCCTGGCAATTGTCGTAGCCTTCTTGTCTGGAATGCATCTTATCACAGTAAATCTCGTAAAGTAATCAGTAAGGACAAACAGAAAGTTGCTGCCGAAAGAGCTAGTAACACCCATATCACCGAGATCCATGCACCAATGATCCAAAGGTTGGGCTGCATTGACACTACGGAAAGGATGATATCCCTCTCTAGCGATATTGTACCTGTTACACTCGTCACAATCAGCTAATATTCTTTCTATGTCTTTCCGAATGTTCACCCAGTGAAACCCTTCATGATGAATTGCAGTTTCAACATGTTTGATCCCAAAATGTCCAACCAGATGCTGAGCAATGATCATATTGTCTCTTTCATTAGCAGGAGGAGTGACATAGTCAGCAAACCTAAGCGTACGCAATATGAATTCCTTTTGCTTTTGCGAGACAGCTGTGGTGGTGCCATCTTTGATAAGAGTAGCGTTTACCGCAGTGCGTGCATAGTTGCTAGAAGAATTAGATCGTAACGCCTTAGTTGTCTTGACCAAAGTACGTTTCATTGGAGGCGAAGGTGTGACAACCTTGAGTTTGTTTTTGGAACCCTTTTTCTTTCTCTTTACACTTTCACCACCATCAGCATAGTACCTGCCCCCCAGAAGATGTCATGCTGAAGCATCAGCATCCGAATCTTCGTAAAGTCGAGATAAAGCATCAGGAATTACGTTAAGGACACCGGGCAAATGCACAATATCGAAAGTATAAGAAAAAATGGTCTCCCACCATCCAAGCATGAGTGCATTGGGGACTTCCTGTGTATTCAAGTAGATCAGACTCTTATGGTCCGTATGTAAGGTAAACTCTCGCATATACAGAAAACGATGAAACTTAACCAAGGCATAGCAAATCCCTAGCAATTCCCTTTTCGTAGTACTGTAGTTACGCTCAGAAACAGACAATTTACGAGATACGAGACCTACATATCGAATTTCATCGTTGACCACTTGATATAAAGCCGCGCCAAGAGCAGTTAAACTAGCATCAGTAGCCAAGTGAAATCGAATCGAAAAATCAGGAGGTGACAGCACAAGTGCCATCGTAAGTGCATCCTTCAAGTCGGCAATCGCTTTTGTATGAGACTCATTCCAAACATCTGTTAGATCTTTGTACTGTTTCAAGCTATCAAGATCTCGAGTCAGACGAGAATAACATGGAATGGCAGCACGAAAGTACGACATTAAACCCAAGAAAGATGCCAATTGACGACCAGTGGTAATAGCCGGCCAATCTGCAATGTTGGTAAGTTTTCTACCGTCAGGCAGTAATTTACCATTAATAACGCTCCATCCCAAGAGATAAATACTACGCTGAGCGAAGACGACTTTCTCAGGATTGAGCACCAAATTAGCATCGGTTAAACGACGAATTACCTCAGCAACCAACGCATAGTGATCTTGTAGGCTCCCATTACTACTGCATAAGATGTCATCTACATAGCAGGAAACCGAGTGATCACCATCAGTAGGAAACGAAGTAGAACTAGAGCTTGTATTCAAATCAGAGAGCAGTGTTTGCAATGTGCGTACAACCACCGATCAGACATGGCGAATTCCATAAGCAGCCTTTTTATGGGTGTATTGGATATTCGTGAAGGGACAAGTAAATGAAACTTTATGAGCTTGCTCTGGATCCAAACCAAAACTAGTAAAGCAAGCATGGATATCGAGACAAGTATGAATCATTTTCGTACCAATGCTCTGATGGATATGAGAGATCAAAGGTAACTGTTGTTTGTCATCCACTTCCAAGATAGCATTCAACTTACGAACGTCACACACCACTCTAGGCTTAGACATTGTGTAATTACCATCAGCGTCCTTTTTCTTTACAACCAACAATGGATGATTGAAACGTGTATGACTAGCAGATCTTTCAACAACACCCTCATCAAGCCATATCTGAATTTGTTTGGCAACAGCATCACGATAAGCTTCAGGCAAAGGATATTGAGCTCGCCAAGCGACAGCACCTGGTTTAGTATCAAGCTTAATAATCGAATCCGGCAGATTACACTGAGTATTCTTCATATCAATGCGCGAATTCTCTTCTAACAACCCCTTTAGTGCAAGTAGAAACGGTTGTCTCTCTTCCTCACTACCAAAAGGATGTGCGTTTGGAGTAATACCATCATCAATAGGATCTGGTACACGAGGACCTGATTGAAAGCCATGTTGACTCACCAAGCCCGTAAGACCAATGCCAAGCTTGGACAAAATATCCATACCAAGCAACACAGGTACGTTTTCCTCAGAATAGAATGGAAATACTTCAAACAAATGGTTTTTATTTGATTTATTGTAGCTAATGTGCAAACGTACCGCACCTATTCTAGGCACAGTCGTTACTTCATGAGCCATTTGAACAAAGCTCTCATCATCATCATTAGCCTCAAATCCAGCAAGAGAGGTTCCTCCTAAGAATTGAAAGAACTTGTCAGTGACGCACGAAAACGTAGCACCCGTATCCACTAAGCCAAAGCAAATGACATTTTGAACCACAATAGGAACACAAATAGCATTGGTGGTCATAGTAGGTGGAGCACTAAATCTAGCATCGAACTTACATTGCTGAGCAAATATATTTTGTAGCGTATCGTCGTCCACAGACATGCTACTCATCTCTTTTTCAAGAAGAATAGACTGGGCACGATTCACCAGGTCAGTATCCTCAAAGATACCATGAGCTTCACTCATCACAGCATCTTGGTCAACATCAACATTGTCACTACCACCAGAAGAAGGAGCAAGGACAACATCATCCACCGATTGTTCAGCAGAGGAGAGAGCAGGGGAAGAAGCACCTTTCTCAGCTAACGCACGATCAACACGAGCAGAGAGAAAAGCAGCTTGGATTGCAGCATCCATCGAATGTTTGCCACCACGTTTCTTAGTCATGGCACGCAAAACTTTTTTACCACCATTGCCCTGATGGGTGTTACCACCACCAGTACGAATAGCAGTGTTGCAGTGATGCATCTGCCCCTTTGGTCGAGGACCGTTACATTTGGAGCAAGTCCCTTCAGCAACATGTTCAGCAAATGTTTTGCCAAAACGATTAGCACTAGAACGTGGAGAGTTGGACGAGGGACCATTGGATCTCGACGAAGAGCTACTTTGAAAAGCGTTTCCACTAGAAGAAGGTGCGTACCGAGACTTCTTTGCTTCGTTCGAAACAGGTATGTCAGCAGCGCGTTTTCTTCCATCAAAAACAGAGCCCAAAGATTCTTGACCCGTCTCAATAGCCATCATATCCATCTTGCGCACGAGAGAGGACACATAATCAATGTCATAAAATGACGATTCTGGTGCCTGACTCATAGCAACCATTAGCAACCTAGCGGTAACCTTGGGGAAAGCGTCAAAAAACACCATCGCTACGACACCCTTATCACTGATGTCAGCTCTATTTCTCAACGTCTTAAACCGCTCTACGAAACCATCAACGGATTCTTCGTTTCCTTTAGTACAACGAAGAAACTCCCTAATTCTTTCGAATCTGAGCTGTTCTTTTGGTGTACCAAAACGACCGATGATAGCTCCCTTCAAGGTAGCCCAAGACACAGTGGAGCCAGATGCTTTCACAAACTCATCAAGCCAATTGCGAAGATCGCCGGGAAGACAAGGAGGAAGCAAACGATACCAGTGTTCGTCAAGATCAAGCGTGCAACTGCTCAACTTATCGGAAAACCGGCGACAACACTCCTCAATGTTGGCAAAAACTTCCTTTTTTTCATCTTTGACACGTCCAAACCATTGAAACAAAGGAAGATCATCAGGTACAGTTGAACTATTAGCCACACCTTGACTAACCACTGTTACTTGGGAAGGACTCTGGTTAGGTGTGACCATAGAGAGAGCTTTCTCTATAGCCTCCAAGTTAGAGCACTTCTTTGACAGGGCAGCCTTCAAAGCGTCGACCTCTTCGTCCGACTTGTCCCCACTGTTCGCAACTTCAGCGATCAACCCATGAACCTCCTGACGAAGTCGCTCTACAGCTCCTCCGTATGAAAGCTCGCTTCCAACAGCTTGAACATCTGAACTCTTGTTCTGTTCTGCAGGAGACACAGTAGAATCATTCATAGTCATATTTCGGTTTAAATTAGATAGGTAGGTTAAAATCTGGAAGATTCTGATTTACACGATCTTAAAAAATGTTAAGCACAAAGAATAAAAGGATTATTATTTGTAGCTTATAAAAAATGTTCAATATTATAAAAACAAGAAAAGACTTATTTGAATAAGATCAGACACAAAAACTAAAGATTTATTGATGAAGACAAGAGTTATTCTATTTATACTAAGTTCTGAATGCCAAAGTAGCAATTTATCTTGTACAACGCTTATCACATCTGGTGAACCTCAGTATTTAGATAGCTGAGATGCACTTCACTTATCATAGCTTGTCCATGTTGTTGCACAACACAGACATATCTACCCATCAAGAATACCTTAATCTTTATAGACAGTTGTAGCCCTTCTGGCACAACAAATATGTCAGAATTTAGCATATACAAGCCTCATAGAAAGGGTTTCCATTGTTGCATTCCATCTTTACGATTAATTTGATCTGATATGTATCATAAGAAAAGTCTTCATTTCTGAGGTGAAAAACGCGATCGTTTGGTTTTCAAGAATTTTCCCTTGCTAATACACATGAAAAATATGCGAATTTTCATGGATTTGCAATGACCCAAAGAGATTTGAGATAAAGCATCAGGAAGTAAAGCGTGGCCAAAAGGAGGCGTGTGGTACTAATCCAAGCCCTCAAAACGCTTTGTGGCATGAGTTATTCGTGCTTGAAAATGACTAGATTTGAACAGAATTCGACCTAAAACGAAGGGGGGGGGGTAGTCGGTTGCATTGCTAGAAGAGTAAGTCAATTACGCTTGCGGAATACATCCACTATGATCTGAATTCCGACAGTTCATCCAGTTACCAGATTTAGTTACAAATTATATGTGCACTGGATTAGATGTACGATATCGATTTATACTATAAGAAGATATGGACTTCAGATACGCTAGTACTATAAGATTCATACTATATAAGATATAGGCTATAGATGGCACCACGGACATGGATGGCACTATAGACTTATACTTGTATTCCGACATTGACTACGGATGTTTACCATATCTGGATAGGCACCAAGATTAATGCAATATGAGCTTGTTGCTTCAGATGTGCACTTCATGATCCACGCTATAAGGCACATGCTTATATCCGTGATACTAGCTACAGATACTTTATGTACTACAGACTTGTACTATATATGAGACATGCTATAGACATGCCATATATCCAGATACATGCTAAAGATGTATGCTTAGCGATATACACTCAGATATGTACTATTGATATAGACTAAGAAGACTGTACCTATCGGATACATGCTACTAGATCGATATTAATTATCCTTATAGAAAGGATAGATCAGGGTACTTTGGATGAGAGTTTAATTATTCATCCAGATAGAGCTAAATCATGATTAGCTTGCTGGAGTTGTCTTTTAGCATGATTAGACATTAGTTGATCTGAGTTGACTTATTTGTTAATCTAATTAATAGAACTTTATCCATTGTTATAGTATATAAGAAGGATCATCTACCTGGCCAGTAGAGAGACTTAAGTTTACTTTACACCTGTCAGTTTGATAATAAAACATACCTTTATCTGTTTAGGATATAGATCATCTCTGAGAGGCAAATGTATTAGGCGTTGTATATTACATAAGAGGATCTGAGAATGAGCTGAGATGCATAGTAGAAGTGTGAGGTCTTTATTCAAGCAGCACGAAGGAACATGAGTGGTGCCATCAAATGGCTAATCTATATCCTGGTTCCTAGAGAGTGGTAGCCTATGGCCTTTCGTCCCTGGAAGTGGGTTTCAATTCCGACAAATGTTCTTCTGTCAAAGCTATTAGGAAGAACATTCTATCCTGGATCATCTTTGTTGTTTATCCTTGACTGGTGGTTCATGAGTTCTGATGCAGCACATCCTCGTTACTGGTTCAAGGCTTATAAAATTATCCCGCATTCAAGATCAAGGTCCTATTGCTGCGGCACTGTCAAATAACTATAAATACCTTTGATATCTACACTAGTTTTTTTGATCCCGATTCAACCTTGGAATAACATAATAAATATATTCAGTTCTAATTGTATTTACTCTGTCTATATTTCGTTATTCTAAACATTATCAAGTTGACTTTACTGTTTTTTTATTCTTTTTTTTCCGTGAATTTTAGTCTATCAAGCCTCAAATTCCGCACATACGATGGTATGATGACTTTTATAGGTTAATCCTTAAGGTTTTATAAATCCTCTGCCTGTAGGTTATAGATATAAGGTTTTGAGCGAATTCATGACGGGAACATACATCGTTAATAAATTGATATTAATTATCCTTGTACAAAGGATAGATCAGGATAATTCGGAGGATAAGAGTCTAAATACTTATCCAGACAAAGCTAAATCTTAGTGTGCTAGAGTTGTCTTTTAGCAGGATTTGTTATTAATTGGTCTGAGTTGACTTATTTGTCCACTTTAATTAGTAGAACCTCTATCCATTGTTAAATTATATTATAAGAAGGATCATCTACCTGGACAGTAATAGAGATTCTTTAGCTTTATTTTACGCCTGTCAATTTGATAAAAATATACTTTTATCACGTTGACTCTATTATATCTTTATTGTTTTTCTCCGTAAATTTTAGATTTATAAAAGCCTGAAATTTTATAATTAGATTCAATTCGCATAATATTATTGACGCTCAAGGGATGAAATTACCGTATTCACGCATTTCAAAAAGGAAGATCTAAGGCTCAGGATTAGCATGAAAGCGTTAGTCGCTTAGGTGTTAACTTTCGTACAATGTAAAACGTCTAGGCCATAAAACAGAATTGTAATTTACTTATTTCTTCGGCAACAAAACCTAGTACGCCTTATTTTTAGGCCAAATTCTGTCCAAATTTAACCATTTTGAAGCAAGAATAACTCAGGCTACAGAGCGTTGTAGATGCTTGGAATAGGGCCGAACGTCTCTTCCTGACCACGCTTTACTTACTAATGCTCATTTCAAATTTTTTTGGGTCATTGCAAATCCATGAAAATCCTTATGTTTTTCATGTGTACTACTAGTAAAGGAAAATTCTTGAAAATCAAACGATCGCGTTTTTCACCTCAGAAATGAAGACTTTTCTTATGATACATATCAGATCAAATTAATCGTAAAGATGGAATGCAACAATGGAAACCCTTTCTATGAGGCTTGTATATGCTAAATTCTGACATATTCACAGAAAACCTGTTTTCATATTTTTGAAAATTGCTCATTATTTTCAGTCTAAAAACTAAATGTAACCAGCATCATTCGATGCGCCTTTAATGACTCTTTATAAACGCAATAGAAAGTAAAGTATAACAGTGACAATTTTCATAGTCAAATTTAGCAAAAACGTTTAAAGGATGTCAGATCAAGCCAAATTTGAACACAAAAATGACAACTGCACAAACCCAAATTTGAGTGCCGCAGCGACAGCTGCTGTGGCAGAAGACTGAGGCCAAATTTACTAGCCGTGACGTCGGATAGGGCGCCCTCTCATTTTTTTCATCCCGTTTTTTTTTTTCCTTTTGCAAAACGCGTTCAGTATCAAACCATGTTGGTTTTGAAACTGTTCGAATGATAATAACACTCCAACTTCTGATCACACTGCCTTGTATTGCTAAAAGAACTTGACACTGCTTCTTTGAAGAAGGATATAGTAGGTACCATTCGATAAACGAGCACTGGAAGACGCAGAATCAGTACTAACTGAATTTGTTTGTTAGGTTTTGATAATTTTTTTTTGCCTGTTTGACGTGGGTGCTGCTGCCATTCCTTTTCTGCTGTCTCTGCTGTCTGCTTCTTGGTCTTTGTCTGGTCTCTGCTGGTGTTGCTTGTTGTTTGGTCTTTGTCTGGTCTCTGGTGTCGTTTGTTCTCTGGTTTTTCCATGGTGCTGGTGTTGCTGCTGCTGTTGCTAATATGGTCTTCTCTGGTGTACTGTGTCTGGTGCATGCTTTTTCTCTGGTCTATATCTGGTGATTGCGTATCCTCTGGTCTATCTGTGGTGGCGGTAAGTGGTAAGTATCTTCTTTCTTCTGGTCGGAATGATATAAAACTTCTTTGAATGTTTGTATTATTGCTTCCTTTCTCGTGATAATGCATTTTATCATGATTTTTACTTTGTTGCGCTTTCTTCTTCTTTCGCTGGTTACGTTGCCTCTGTGGCTTCACATGAGACAACGTTAGTCATTATGTTGCAGTGCAAACTTATACCACCATTGCTTTTGCAGTTTTGTGTGTTTGCGTTACTTTACATTCGACTATTACCATGCACTTTGCTCATGTATGCAATTTTGTTGCAACAACGAGCTCTTTTGAGCATCTCTGATGTTGTACTTATACTTTTCTTTGAATCACTTTGTGTGAGTATCCATTTTTTGCCCATGTACTACCATACACCTATAGTAGTATGTTCTTTTATTCTTTCCTTTATTATTTTTATGTTTCTTTGAAGCATACCTTTTTTACGTTGTGTGGATGTGCCTATCCCTGAAGCTCAACAAGACTCTATCCGAGGCTAGGAGGTAGATAGGCTGTCTCCACTTGGTTATCACTACTTACTTTAGTGATGATTGAGAGTCTCAACGCCAGAATCTAAAGCTAGGTGGTGTAAGTAAGGCATGCTCTAGCACCTGGGGGAAGTTTGATGATAGCAGCGGCTATATTGCTATTATAGCGGCGCTTAAAATTTTGCCTCACATCAAAACAGGGGGAAACCCTCGCAAATTTTTTTTTAGGTCAGCGGAGTTTTCAAGCAATCTGATTGGCTCAGAGGTTGAAACGATGATGGGCTACAACTAGTTGATTTCCTATTGATCTGTCATGTATTATAATTTTGTATTTGTAATAAAAAGAGTATCAAAAAAGATCTAATTTATGTTTTCCTTTATTCAAAAGTAAGATAAGATGCAATTATTTGATCTAGCATTCTTTAAACAAGTAGGGAAAAGTATAAAATATAATAGACATCACAGTATTACACACTACGTATCAGTCCTCCCCATACCAAATGTCTTGCCAAACATGTGTCGTTTACCATTAATTTCCAACAGGTCTCAATTCAATGGATTGCTATTTCTTACCTCGTTTCAAAGATTTTGCATGTGCCGATATATTTCCTTTTAATCGATGATGGCAATACTTTTAAGGTAACCAGATCTACCCAGGGATTGGTGATTCGTACTAGCCAGCTTCTCACCATTTACTTTTTATTGAATTATTTCGGCTTGACTCATGTCATAATTGAACTAGTCATTAATTCTATTCCTACTTTTGCAAATTTAGATGATTATCTATACCATTGCTGTATGTAAGCAGTCTTAGGCCACTTACAACGAACATCATTTTATGCCAAAGCCCCAAATTCACATCCTTCTCTTCATAGTGACAATAGCGACCAACGTATTCAACGTGAACTACTGCAGGCATCCAGTGTTTATAGAGAAAAAAGTGGAAGTTACCCTCGTAATCAGGTATCATCATAGTATAATGAGTTTGGAATTGATGAAACTTTAAAGGGCATGTACCGAGAGATGCTCGTCCAGTAATCTATTGGATTAATGCCAGAAATCTACAGACATAACATCAAGATCAAGATTTGAACTAATTTGACGTTTTTAACTAGTACATTTTCGCTGCTGAACTATTCCAATGACACCATTGCTCTTAATTGTTCGCACGGTATGAACTCACTAACTCATGTTGTGATCTATAGGTACCTGTGGATCATCTCCCACCTTGAAAAAAAAAAATTCACACAGTGATCAGTTTGCATTTGACACGCTATAAAATTTCAAACATGCTACTTTAATCCTCCGTTGAATCACAAAACAAGTGCCAGAACTACATGCATTTTCCTTGACAAATACAACTGCAATGTAAGGCTATAAATTGCGAGAAAGAAGGTGGCGATCAGTTTTGTCAGCTTTACCGATTTGTCCCAATTTGATCTCCTCTTTCAAACTAAAGAACAAGGTTGTTCCCTCGGGAAGTACTCCATTTGTTACACACAGACACATCTCTAGACAACCCCACATTTTTCAGCAACTCCTTTTAGAAAAAAGAGAATGCTAATAGGAAAGAAATATATATGGTAAATTTATTAATACAAAAAAAGGTAAGAGATGAGATAAGAAAAGAAAAAAAAAGAGATTGAGATGCTTAATTACAGAGAGAGAGAGAGAGAGAGAGCGAGAGTAGAGAGAGTGGACATGAAACACACAGCTAGTCAGTCCAAATAGGCATTTGGATGTTATTGCTACTATTTGATGAGGGATTGCTATTGCTGTACTGCCTTTGAGTTTGTGGTGGTCGGTCTTGCGTTAATGGCACTGGCATAAAATCATTTTGTTGTTGTGATTGCTGTTGAAGTGGAGGCGATGAGAATATGGGCGCAGCGTCTGCTGGATTAGCACCAGGAATGGAATTTTGTCCCTTTTGATTACTAAAGTAACTGTTCCACTCATCGATATCAAAGGACATGGGTACTCCCCAGAACGCCGTGCTATTTGGATCAAACGAGCCATCATCAAACTGCTGCTGCTGCTGTTGTTGTTGTTGCATGGGCTGTTGTTGCTGTTGATGTTGCTGCTGTTGCTGTAAGCCGGAATGTTGGATTGATGATTGGGGTAGTTCGGGTGATAGATCAACGCTGGGCGATTTGTTGCTGCTGATGCTGCCACTGCCCATGTAGTATTTTTCTTCTATGCGTTGAAAGTCATTAGGCGTTGACAGGACCTCAGGCTCAGGAGAATTAGGCACCGCAATGGAAGCTGGAGGAGCAGATGCTGCTTGTTGCTTGTTCAACATGGATCTCGTATAACTTTCATCTACGCATTCCAGATCAATGTCTCTCAGGCCAGCGAGAGCCCCCAGAATGTTGCAGTGGCGGGCAGATGTAATCCAAGTCTTTTCCACTTCGTCCATGGCCCGCATGATCTTGTTGATGCTGATCTTGGCCTCAAATGCAAACATTGAGTCAGACGAGGCGGCATTGTAGATAAAGATAATACCAGCAGTAAACATGAAAAAGAGCGTGTAGTTGTTGACATTCTTCAAGCGGCCCTCAGCCATCAGGGATTCCGTAATGTCCAAAATCTTGTTGGCTGCAAAGGTGCAGATGGAAGCAGATGGGAAAACAGAAGGCGCTACAGTCTGAGCTGGGCCGGGAATGAAAGGTCTATGCATCAGAATAAGTGTTGTGTAGAACAGCATGTGTAATTGGCACAATTCAAGTGATGGGGCGGGTGCACGCTCATTCAGTCTTGTATTGGGTGGTCGATACTGCAAACTAGGCGGCAGCTTGGACATCCACTTGTTGAGCTTTTTATCCAGTGACGAGACGATGCTGTCTGGCGTAGACATGACCGATAGCTGCTTTCTGCCCTTGACCATGTAAAGCTCTCGAATTACATCGCCTAATATCTCGCAAATCTTGATAAGATAGTGAAAGTTTTCCATGATTCTGGGCGTGCGATCCATGTCGTCTTGGTCGTTTTCGGATGGGTAGGGTGTGTCGTAGTCTCTTTCGTCAATCATGGGCGATCTGCCGTGCATGGCGCACGATAATCTATCTAGTACAAAGCAGCAATAGAATGCACGCTTTCTGTCTTCTTTCTCGGTGTCTGTCAGATCCCAACTGTCACAGTTTCTATGAAGACCTAGATTCTGAGACATGCGGATAGCCTGTGTAATAAAAACAAATGTTTGCGTGAGTCATGATTATTAATACGCATTTCAAAACAACATTTTACCATGCCACTGTAGAGCCATCCACGAGTCGTTTTCAACGCGCCGTTCTGATGGCTGCTCATCAGTAAGAGCGACTGCACGGTGTACACTCTGAAGCTATCCCACTCCAAGTCAAGCAGCATACGAGCTCTCTCAAAAAAGACATCGCCCGCTGTTTCAGGTTTGGAAGCAATAGATCGCACTCGCTCATCAGGTGATACACGAGAAGCAACGGCGTATATAGCGTTCAGTAGAATGTGTGGAGGCGAGGGTTTGCTGTCATCGTTCATTGATTCCATGAATGATTTCTTGTGCAAGATGGGTAATAGTGGGTAGAAATAGCTGAAATACAGTTCTAGCAAATGGTCAGACAGATCTTTGGGTGGTAGTTCAAAGGGGTCGACAACAAAGGGCAGTGTAGGAGAAGGCGCATCATGTCCAAGTTGCTTGTACTCTCTCGAGTTGAACTGAAAGGCTCTGTTCTGAAAGTTCTTGCTGCTTTTCAGCATGTAAAAACCAGAGGATTTGCCGTAATAACGAAGCTGACCGCTTTCATCGATAGACAGGTTGCCAATGTTGTTTGATTCATCAGAGTCGTTGCCATCTTTGATTGATAGTTGCTGCTGGTGGCGCTGTGTAGAGTGATCGTCCTCATGCTTTACCATAGGCTCTGTTGATGTCAATGGCCCACATTCAGCTTCGTAGCCGGATAGCGTCTCTCTTCGCATGGGGCGAGGTCTGACCAACTCGCCATAAGCAGTTTCTAAAGGGGCATTCAGTTCTGCAATGATGGCCTGCGAGCGAGGATCATCTTCTTGCACAATGCTACCTAGCAATGCCTCTAGTCTATGCAATCTGCCTTCAATCGCCTCAATGTAGCCTTTTGGAGGTCCTCTCTATGAATTGAAATGAAGTTTAGCACATGCCAGCACAGTTGATGATAGCCAGTTACTTTTTTAGTGGATTCTTTATAGTGACATTGCAATCCCAGTGTGCTGCAATTGTTGCAATAGGGCGATGAGCCATCACATTTCACTTTCTTTCGTCTACATTGTTCGCTGAATAAAATAGCATGGTTAGAACAAACTCACTTTTAAATATCTGTGTTGTGTGCTTACCATGCCTTGCTAACACGTTGTCGTTTATGTTCTGTTTGTTCTGTCATTCTAATCTCTTACTCTAAGAAATGTAGGATCATACGAAAAAGGGGAGAAGGAGAAAGAGGAGATAAGCTTAAAAAGTAGGGGGGGGGGATCTCCAGAAGCTGAAAAAGAAGAAGAAGAGGAAGAGAAGGGGGGAATACGGGAGATGGGTCTTGAAGTCCAGTTTGAACCTCATCAAGCCCACACTCTTTGAATTTCACGTCATGAATTCCCCAATAGGAAATGTGGGGTATTCATATGTGGGATGTTCTATGGTGCCACTGCACATAGTTGGCCGTAGCGACGGACTAGTCAATCATGTTGCGACATTTAGAATTCACTGCGAAGAATTCTCGGTTTCCGAGGTATCAAAGTTTGGCATCATGTTGCCGTAGTTATTGTAGGGACCATTTAGGGGTTTTGATCATCCAGTGCATTATGTTTTCTTGATTTAAGCATGTTGTAAATGTGTTCTCTGCTTAGCTTGTTGGCAAAAAAAAATGTGCTCTTTTGCTTGTTATAAAGTAGCATTACAAGTGTCAAAAACTAAACACAGTCATACGATTATACCATTTTATTCGAGAGAGATCGCCTTGACCGCTTGCCATTGGTTTCTTAAACTATCGATTGCAATGAAACATCAGATTTAAATCGTTTGTTCTATTCTAGCGCAGATTGATTACATTCCATGGACCGAATATATTTTTAATAGATAATCAAGGTAGGTTAGACAAAACTTGGAAGTGATATTTCATCTAAGAAAAAGCCTATATGACACTATTGTATGCTATGCCAAATCTGCCATAGTAACATTAAGAGACAGAAGCATTTTCCATGTCAAATGTCAAAGAGAGCAGAACGAAAAATTCATCCCGCGATCCATGTCTCCACTTGTTGGTTTCCTCAGTTACGAGAAATAGCCTTAACCGGACAGAGTAGGGTTCACTACGTTTATCCACGTAATGTAACGTTGACATGGAACATTTCATACAATTAAAAATTGCCACTGATGACTCATGATTAACAATTTCAGTCAATCCATCGAATTGACCTTTTTTGATGGCATTCTAGCCTTTTCTTTCCTTCTTTCCTGTTCCTGAATATCATGGTTGAAGGCGCAGATTCTCTTTTCCGCTGCATTTATGGATGTGATCATACAACTGACGGACACAATCTTTAGTAGAGACTCTGAGAGAGGGTTGGCATATTGCAGTCATGTACTACAGATGGATTACCTGTCAACCTTTTTGAATATGTAACATTTAGACTGTGTGGGACCCGAACAGCAAGAGCTCATGATGAGGTAAATCATCCTGTCAAACATGCCCATTCATAAATAGTGCGAAAAAATACCACGCTTTTCATTTGTCTTGATTAGCATTGTTAGATTAATGCAATGAACACTAGGGATGTGCTTTATGAAAAAGGGCATATCATTTTATCCTCTTCTACAGGCATTGAACATCTTGCCTCTGACAATCGATGATTGTCTTGGAATTAAGGTTGGCTATTGTGTTGCTATAGATTAAAAGGAGATCGATTACCTAAGCATCAAAGTTTTTTGTTTAGAAGCTGAATGTGTAAGATATTTGCTACACTGATTGGAAACAGAAAGATAAGCTGCACCTAATGTCTGACACAAAGAAACAAAAGCAAGACAATAACTCGAAATGTCTATAATAGATGGCTCTGCTTTAGGCATTGTGTCTATCTTATAATCTGATGAACTGAACAAATGCCATGCTCATCAGGATAACTGTCATTTGTAAACGTATGACGTTTCAATGCTATTTGATCAACTGTGAGCAATCAACGATAGATCTACTTTTGCATAGATGCCTCTCATGCGTGAAAATCCACTGCATGTGATATAGGATTTATTAAAGAACGAGAGAAACGACGATAGGAGATCAAGTAGATTTACATCAGTTGTTGCTTAAAAGTGTAGAGATTGCGTGTAAGTATTAGGTGTATATATATATATATAAAAAGAAGCGAGGGGTTACATGGATCGTCTACTAGTGTCATTCATGGTAGGTACATGAGCAGCGGAAGACACTGTTCTTTTGGGTGTTGGCGCTTGTTGTTTGACACCCACAACACCACCTCCCATGGAAACACTTTGCTGCGGATTACTAGCAGTCGTTTTTCTTCTCATGAGGTTTGAGAATGTACCATTCGCCTTCTTCTTTTTGGACACCATGGCAGGGCTTGCGTCTTTTGTTTGAACATGTAGTCGTTGTGCATGGCCCACAATACAGCTGATCAGGTCATTGTACGTCTCTGCATCCATCTTGAGTTGCTCTTTTTGATCCAACAGGTTGTCAAGGTAATCGGCTGCCTGTTTCTGCAGTCGGTTTAGTTCAATCACCATGGCGTTTAGTTTGACATCAGGGAATACTCGAATAGTTTCTAACATGGGTATCAATAGACGAACATCAGCTTCACATGGAACAGCTATTACCTTCTGTTAATTCACAATATGCTCTAGCAATATCAATGTCTAGCTCCATTTCTTGCTCTGCCTCCTTTTTAGCTTCTTTAGCGCCTTCATCCATTTTTGCAGTAACTACTCTTAGTCCGCCGGTGGCCGATGCAGATCGAGTGTGTGTTTGTGCTGCATCCGGCGAGGAAGGCGCTGATCCTGGTGTCACGGATCGCTTCCCGTCCACCATGGCCGTCTGCCTCTTCTTGGTGGTCGCATGCGATGTCGCTGTATGTCCAGTAGGCGAGTGCATGGCTGTTGGTGATTTCTCTTCAAAATTAAAGGTGACGCCCAAGGCATTCAAATAAGCTTTGTTGGTTTCTGATCTTGTCCATTGAAACTGGCCCACTGAGCCTGTCATTGGATTATAGAACACTGTATCACGGGAAAGTTTGCTCCATAAATCACGACTAGAAACCGTACACACACAAACAAACACTCAGAACGTAATTCATGTATCAGCTCTGAAATTTGATTTCTTTTTACCTGCAAGGTGTATTCAAGATGTCTGTGGCATTTTCGTCTTGGTCCAAGGGCGAGGACACAAAGTCTGCTTCTTCTTCTTCTTCTTGCTGTTCATCTATGTTCTTGTTGCCATCCGATGCGTCTCCCCACATGCGATCCAAATAACCATCTATAAACCCACGAATATCATTCGGCCTGTTTTCTAATACATCAACCTATACAAAGATCGAGGCATGAGCACAGTCTCCATGAACAACGCATAAGGATTGCTTACATATAGCTCGGCTTCTGTGGGTGTTTTAGGCTCTTCTTCCTCTTTCTCCTCTCCATTCATAGACTCTATCGTCTCTTCTGCTTGTTCAAAATCATCAAAGTCTCCAAAGTCATCATCGTCATTGTCTGCAGCATCCACAAATCCATCGTCAAATTCGCCAAACTCATCAAAATCGGGATCGTTGGTTTGAGATGGTTCATCTGCATCATTCATAGAAAAGTCGTCATTATCTGCTGTCTCCGAGCCAAGTGCAGTTGTGTCTTCAAAATCTGGCAGTGGAGCCTCATCGTTTGCTTTGGCAGCTTCGACTTTCTCGTCCTGCTTTACTGGTGTATCCTGCGTAGATGCTTTGTCTACATGTAGTTGATTGTTGGTAGGTGCAATTTCCTCTTGTGGTTGCTCAAATGATGAACGATTCGACATGCTAAAAATCAGTGTAGAGCTTGACTGCAAAGACAAAATTACGAGGCAGGAAAAAGGGAAGAGATGTGCTATGAAGGGCAATTCAATTTATTAAAAGAGACCAGTGTTTTAATCGCTGTTTCAATGTGACTCATTAAGCCAATGCTCATTGTTGCATATTTAACAAGCACATCCAGGATCTTGCTCTTGTCTTCCACTAGGTATTTGGATGGTATCAGGAAAATCACTAACAAAAGGGATGGTTCAGCATCAAAAACAGGTAACTGAGTCGACTACTTACATATCTACATCGGTCTCTTGAGATAGAGCATTCTTTGCAATGGTTTGAAATGCCTGCTCAACGTTAATGGCCTCCTTTGCAGAAGTTTCAAAATAACTAGATCACAACAGATGAGACGCCGTAGATCAACGTGTCTCGCAGGATCACTTACGGGACATTGCCCTTTGACTGGCACCAAGCCATGGCACGCTTCTGAGATACCATTCTTCTGCTCTCTTCAACATCAATCTTATTACCTAACAATACAAATGGGAAACGATCGGGATCTCTGGGTGATGCTTGGACTAGAAATTCATCTCTCCATTGATCTGCAAACGATAAGCAGTTGTGTTAGGCACAGATATGGGCAGCTTATGTAGCCAGTACCTAATGACTCGAAACTTCTGATGTTGTTGACATCGTATGCAAGCACACAGCAGTCAGCACCTCGATAGAACGCAACACCTAATGACTGGAAACGTTCCTGGCCTGCTGTATCCCAAATCTAGCAAATGTGTTTGTGTGTTTAAAATGCAGCCCTCTTTCTATAGCATCAGCGAGATGATGGTGTCTGTTGTTTTGTCTTTTCCAAACACCAACACGCTTTTTTTTTTTTTTTTTTTTTTTTTTTTTTTTTTTTTTTTTATATATATACCTGCATAGTGACCAAGCGATTATCAACCAAGACTTCTTTGGTCAAGAAATCGGCACCGATAGTAGCCTTATATTGATTGGAGAACTTTTTGTTGACGTACTGATTCATCAACGATGTCTTGCCAACACTGTTATTGAGAGTGCTTGAGTGTGTGTGCTCATGATGATGATCAGAGCAAAGCCGCTCCACTTACCCACTGTCACCGAGAATAATAACCTTTGCTATGCGTTAGTTTCGGTTAAGTAGACGAAATGCCCATACCCTCTACCTTTAAAAGCACTTTCTTACGTCCGGATGCCATGATATTAAAAATAAAAATGAAAAGATAAAGAAGAAGGAAGAAAAACTGTGAAAAAGGAAAAGATGACCAAATAGGCCTACCAACTCCTATTTTGTCGCACAATCAGGTGAACTTTGTATACTCACAAGCCGCTCAATAACAAATGTGTCGAAATGCCGAATCTGAGTAGTTGTATTACAGGTTACTATATTCATGCATGTCGCATTTGATGCGCTTTTGATAGATTGCTATTGCTGTAGCTAAAGGCAAATGCGTATATATTGTTGGAAACTTGATCTCACATCAAATCAAAGTGCCAGAGTACCTTTAAACAAACACACTTTATTCGCTTACAACTATGATCAAAACGTCTATTCCTCATCATCGCTGCTGTCCGTATCGCTATATTCCCCGTTCTCTGTCTTTTTCATTGCTCTCTCAAACTCTTCTGCGAATTCTGCAATGGATTTGCCAGACGACAGGTCAATCACGTCTTTAGGAATCATGTTGGTGGCAAATTTGGGTGCGTTACATGCCAGTGAATTGGCTTCTGCTTGTGATTCGACAAGTCTAATATGAGGCTGATCTTTATCCACATCAACTGTTGGAGAGAATGAGCATGAAGCGTATCGACAACACACATCACATTCACTTACATGACATTAGCTCATTCCAACTGTATAGCAGAGCATCGGTGGTTGGACTGAAAGGGTTGAAATCGACAAGGTACACCTTACTATTGCTACGCTGGATATATACATCAAAGACATCTAGCATTCAAAAAGACTGTCAGTCATTCTTGCTTCAAAATCTCCATGGAGCTCCATTTACAGTGTGTGCTTTCAAAGCCCTCACGAACAACATCCTCAAAAAATTCGTAAATGGATTGCTCGATATCCTGCTGTATCTCCAGTAAGAAAGGGTAAAAGTTCATGTCCCTTTGAGTGATGCCAATGATTTCCTTGTTCTTTACAAAGCATCTGAATTCCATGGAGGGCTGCAAGTCGTACCACTTTCTTAGCACTAGGTTGAACTGGGTCTTTTGATCGTCTCTATCTTGGATATCTATGCAATGCTCATAGGCATGGTTCAAGTCATGGTTGATAAAGTCTGATGACTTGAGTAGCAGAAATACGTCGAATGGCGATGTGCATTTCAATGATTGCGTAGCTGAGATCCAGGCTGCATCTCTGGGCGACGTCCAATTCAGTTTGGGGAACACAGCTCCTTCAAATTCGTATATAGCTTCTCTGATTTCTTTTTCGACTTCAGGAAAGTGTGGTATCTAAGTGCACACGTCTTAAGATGGCATGTCATGTTGTGCGTTGCTTGATCTTTACCTTGTTGTCATCATGAGCATTGGGAAACTCGGTGATTTCTTCGTCAGAGTCGATTTCCTCGATGCTAGCGGCTATAGGTTGACTATGCAATGCATGAGCTTCATACACTTGAGTCGTTGTAAGACTTACCCATCTTCTGGCAGATAAATGCCCTCAGCGTTTAAATAATCCACAAACGCCTGGCTCAGAGGGAGGATCTTTGACTTGAATGTGTGCGATTTGAAATGTGGATACCAAGCATCAAATGAACAATTGTCCACATCTTGGCAGCGAATGTCTATGAATTGCATCTTTTGCGATTCGATATCTTCAGTGTTGGTTGAAGCCATAGTTTATTTTATAACAAAGCAAAGTAAGATAAAAAAAAAAAAAAAAAAAAAAAGAGAGTGATTGCATTGCTATCCTTCAAAACTTTTTTTTATATAACATTCACACTTTAGAGATCCGCGAAATTAGTAGGTACGGTGCCAGTGGGTTCGCCTTCAGGTGTCTATAGACAGCGTTGGATGACAAATTGCATACATGTTAGTCATTGTGGATCATTTGAATGACAAATACAAGTGTGCACTTACAACATAGGCATTGGATAAACCACCATCAACGCGGAAATCAGTGCCTGTAACAAAGGAACTCTCATCGGATGCCAAGAAGAGTGCACCATAGGCTTGCTCAATGGCCTCACCAAATCTGCCCTGAGGCACATGAACCAAGCGACGCTGCTTCTTTTCCTCTGTGTTTAAGAAATCCATCAGCAAGGGAGTACGGATAGGACCAGGACAGAGTGAGTTGAATCGAATGTTCTCACGCGCATGCACCATAGCAAGTTCTCGACTATAGGAAAAATACAAGTCAGTGCTGGCGCTATATTTCCCAGCTTGTTTAGTTACTCACGTCATGGCCAACACTGCGCCCTTGGATGCGGTATCTGTATAGTGAATGTATTTTCAGCGTATGGAGACTAGAAATTAGAGTTTGAAACACTTACAGGCTAATTGAGGGGTGGCAGCACCCATCAATGCAACGAAACTAGCTGTATTGATAATAGATCCACCTCCACTCTTACGCATGGCGATGATAGCATGTTTGCAGCCAAACCAAACGCCCTTCACGTTAATGTCCATGGTCAGGTTCCAGATGCGTTCTTCTGTATTGAGGGCATTGTCGTCCTCTGGGTGCATGATGCCTGCATTGTTGAACATGATGTCGAGTTTGCCTTGATAAACAGCATGAGACTTTCTGCAGCATTTGAGCGTCGCCCATTACCTACCATATGCCTCCACTGCCTTTTCTACCAGGGCCTTGACCTGATCCTCTTTGGAGACGTCTGCCTTGAATGGAATAGCGACACCACTGCCGACGAGTTCAGAGATCTTGGTAACCGTGTTTTGGACGCCCTTTTCATTCACATCAGCACATACTACTTTGGCACCTTCTTTGGCAAACAAGACTGCAGTTTCAAAACCAATACCACTGCACTACACGGTCAGTATGCCAGTTGCCGGCAGAGATTCCTCACTTACCCAGCAGCACCTGTCACAATAGCCACCTTACCAGAGAGTCTTTGTCCTGTCATTATTAAAATACGTATAGAGATATAAAGAAAAAAGAAGAAAAAGAGAGATAGAAATCAGGGTTTCATTTTAGGCTTTATATAAGCCTGTTTCGATACGTGTGTGTGTGTGTGTGTGTGTGTGAGAAAAATGGACGTATTCCGGCGATACATCAAGTCGTAAGTTTGATGTTTATTTGGCAGACAATCATCGATTTATTTTAGCATTGGTGACAAACTCTGATGGTAGCACCGTTTTAGACACACATGTGCCTTATCTTGTTTGATTTGGGCTGTTTAGACGCTTTTCTCGGGTTCCACAAAGGGATAGCGTTACACTACTAGAAACAAACTTATTTTGCATGAGAAAAAGCATGGTACGTTTTATTAGCCATTATCAGCCTACACATAGGCGACCTTGTCAATGCCCAAACTACATCTGACCTGCATCAATGCCACCAGCTCCTTGATGGCCTCTTCCAGGATGACCACATTATTCAACAGCATGGAGAGGGTAATTTCAGTGCTCTTATCAAGGCGTTTGGGACGTGATGGATCGGCTGTCTTGGGCGCAAACGTGTGCTCGTCTTCGTCATTGAGATCCAGAATGGGCTCCTCCTTGTCATTAACAAAATTGGAAGGGAATAAAGGCTGGATACGCATCGTTGATGTTTTTCTCACGTGCATGGTCAGGGGAGACATGGGGTTGTTGAGTATGACATTCATGTTGACAGATGGAACAGGTGGCGGTTGTGCGGAGATGCGAGGGCTTGAGCCCAGTGCTGTCGACGCGGACGAAGAGGGACTCAATACAGGCGTGTAAGGGTCTGTGGAGAGCGATGGTCGCAAGATGGACGGTCTTCTGTTCAAGATACTGGTATTCAATTGCTGTGCTCGATGACTATTCATAGAGGTAGAAGTGCTACTGGATGGTGATACAATTCGTTTATCGAGGAAAGACACTTCTCCAGCAATAAGGGCATTGCGACGCTCCTCCAATAGCTTATCAAATGTCTGGATCTCTGATCTGTAGTAATCCACTTGCTGTGTCAAGGTGCGCAACAGTGTGAAGAAGGGTGGGTAGGACTTGAAGTAGGTGGGGATTGTCTTTTTGCTGGATTCTCTCTCTGCGCCAAAGTCAACGGAGCGATCATCATCGTCGTCGTCATCGTCCACTGGTGTGCTTGTCTCAAAACTAGCGTAAATGTCTTGTCGGCGTACCTTGGTTTGACTGACAGCTGGCTGGCCATCTGAATTCAAGACCAAGACATCATCTCGGTTGGTGCGATCGCTTTCACTGAATGCGATCCAGCCTTCGAGGCTACGATATGGACACAGAGCCAAGGCAGAGATAACACCCGTTAATGCTAAATTGAGTTCCGAAGATTGAGTAAAGAAATGGCTCAGTAAGCTCAGCAAGATTTGCATGAGGGGATCAGTCGATCTGACTCGATGTCGTACAAGTGAGCAAGGCTTGATGCTGTCTTGTCTGCTCTGTCTGGCTCTCTTTTCATTCTCGTCTTCCACGTCTCTCGTATCACGCTGACCGTATTTGAAGCTTCTTCTACGCTTGGCTTTTGGTGGCTCTGCTCTTCCACGCACGCGATCGTCAGCTGCATCGCCAACAGGTCTTGAATTCTGATAGCACCAGTCATTATCAAGGGTCATCTCGACATCACGCAGGTAATCTTCATATCCGCAAGCAAGCACATCCTCAGCATGCGCAGCATCGATAGCAATAATGAGCGAAAAGTAGAGCTCAACTTCGCGCAGATGGTGGGATATGATGATGGCGTTTTTGGTGGTATCGGGCGTGATGGACAGCAATCCAAGAGAGTAATGGCAGTGCTGTGTTATCAAGGTCTTGAGCAGTTTGAGCGTGGCAATAACGGTGGTTTGGGAGTTGGATTTAAGGCGACTAAAGATGAGATCCTTCAGTGTAAAATGAGTGGACGATCGGTTGGGCGAGGCTGTATTCTCATTGTTGCCAATGTCCAGTTTCTTGATGCCTGTCAGAATACCGCTGGCGGCCTCTTCGTCGTCCATTAGATAGCCCACCACCACCTTGGACAGGTCATCTTGTTGCAGTGTTTGCAGTATCAAATCAATGTAGCTAATGACAGCAACGGACGATCCATCCATGTCGGAGCACTCTAAAATAGATGGATACAGGATATTTTCCAAGAATATAGTGCGTACGCTGTTCAAGAGCGATATACAGATGGCGGGATTGGGGCAACGAGTGAGTACATCCTGACAAAACTCGAGCAACTTGAGGAATGAGTCCAATTGATACTTGAATTCTGGTGAATTGGAATATTCTGCACCAATGCCCACAGGAAATCGCATGCTGCTATTGCCGTCTTCCAAGTTGTCTTGTCCTAGTAGATAGGATGTTGGATTCGAGTAGATTTGCTCGATTTCATCTCTGACAATCAATTTCCTGGGTAGTTGAGAATACAAAGCACCGAGTCCAGCGGCCATGATTGTTGCAAAATCAGATTCCAGTATAAAATCGCCCAATTGACCGTCTGCCATCTCCATCAAGAACAGCAATCCAGTGCGTGCATAGTCGCCCGATCTTCCTTCACGATGCACAAAACGCAATAGATACGTAAACAGCAGGAACTCGTATTCGTGTGGTTCAGCTGCTGCTGTACTCGTTGCCTCGGATAGCATGGAAGACGGCAGTGCTGCTGTTGTTGTTGCTGTTGGGTGATCGGCGGCTGTGTTCTTCTGCGGTGTTGTCAGCCAGTGTTTGTCGTGGAAAAAGACATTCAACAAGGCCGGGAAACCATGGATCTTGGAGCAGATGGTGTACATCAAATCCACTAAACTGTCGCTGTAAAGCTCGCTTTGTCGATCATCCAAAACACAGAACCGTAAAAGCTTGATGGTGGGTTTGTGGACTGCATTGTGCACTAAAAACCGGTCGTCCAGTAGCTCAATCAAGTTGTTGATCATTTGAATGGCTTCACCACGAATACCAACTGGATAATCTGCTTTCTCGGCTGTCGTCACAAGGTATTGCAGCACTCCATGCTTCAAAAAGTACTCCATGCATAGGCCAGTTGTATTGTCTTCCTGTCTTGCTTCTTCATCTACAAGTAAATCTACCATTTGCCGTAATTTGGAAGGGATCTCGGTTTGCTGGACATGTATATTGGCTTTTCGATCATCCATGACAAAGATATTCTACAGGATGCTACCTGTCAATGCTTCTGAAACTTGACCAGAGGTGTACCTCTACTTACATGGACGTACTCCCAATACTTGTGGAATTTAGCAAGTTGCATAGCACTGGTAGGTGGTGCCTTGGGAGGTGCTATACGCTTTTTGAATTTGGCAAAGTAATCCATCTTCGGCGTTGAGTAATCAAAAGAAGGGGCACCTGGGGTATCAAAGCGGGATGAAAACAAGAAGGTAAAAGGATGAGCTAAACGTGTGCTTTACGAGAGAAAGAAGAAGGTATAAAGGACCTGGAAAAACTCGTGATACAATTTATAAGAGTGAGGATTTCAACAAGATGAAACTGTCTTTTAAATTGCTAAATTAATTGAAGGAACCAGCAAAATGTATTGCCATCCAGCTATAGAGGCTTTCCATTCCTGCAGCATTCTTGAATTTATGCTGAAATCTGCATATTAAATGTAGCATATCGCTTTCAGCATCCAAGTGTCTGTAAACCATTCAAAAAGGGAAGCGATCATAGTCCCATCTCAATAAAAAGATGACTCAAGATCAAAGCATCCAGGCCTTTTGATTTGTGTTTAGAACTCTCTTCAAGCTAGATTTTTATTCGGAATCACGCTTGAATACTGTCATTAGTATAGCACTGCGGACCAGATGTTGGTAGGAGCTGCCATATCAAATGTGATTTCTGACATGCTTCAGGCATCGCACTCGTATACGTCAGATTTCGACTTTTTGGCCTTTCGTCATCAAGTGAGAGCCTATATAAACGACCTGTAACTGTGTATCTGACTTTGTTATGAGCACCAGGTCTGTATCAATGGGATCCATTTGTAAACGAGCAGAGAACATGCCAACATGACCTCTGGATGCTCTAAAATATGCAAATCACAGCGAAATTAGAATGCATTTGAGCAGTAATTTCTCGTGTTACAAGCCGTTTGAGACTATCAGAATAGCATCAAACCATTGCTCTCGTCTAGCACTTACTTCCTGATACCTTTGCTCAACTTTTTTGGGAATCGTCAAAATTTGACCAAAAAAACATGAGGGATAACCTCATGGATTTTGACGAAAATCAAACGATCGCGTGTTTGGCCACAAAAATGAAGACTTCTACTATGGCATATATTGACTCAAAATGTTTGTATCGATCCAAAGCAATCCCTGAAACTTTGTTTGTAAGAACTTGATAGGTAGGATTCTGACATTTTCGACAAAAACGTTAGTTCATATTTTCTAATTTTGCTCTTTAAATTTATTCAAAACACTTTTTATGAGTAACAACATCGGATGCAGCTTGAAAAGTACTTCCAGGATGTATTAGAAAGCATAGGGCAATCATCAACATTTACATAGTCAATCTAGCAACATAAGTGAAGGAAGTTGATTTTTGATCAAATCTGTCCAATCTGGAGTATATCTCAACCGGGGGGTTAAACGTCTATGGATTGATGGCAATAGCGATGCCATCCTTACCATGAACGTAATAGACATTTTCGAGGCTCATAGAAAAAGGGTTGCGAATGAAAAAGCTCTCTACTTTTGCCTTGCTACTTTTTTTTTTTTGCGTATCTTAATATCCGATAGATATAATCGTTGCAACGTGCCCACTTCAATGCGAATTTTGAGGCTAGATGCTTTATTCAAAACAGCGTGTGCTATTTGCAACGTGAACCCTAGATTTACAGGTCGTGCAAGCGCTCTGTACTGAAAGTGTCGTTGTTAGGTTTCAACATTCACGCATATCAAATTACATTGGTGCCTAGTGTAACTTTTGGTGTGTATCAAGCGAGATTTTCCTTAGTCAAGCTCATTCGCACGACATTTTAAAGTTTATGCTTCAAATCACTCAACTATTCTTTTCACTCACATATATTATATATAAGCAACTTCTCTGTCTTTCTTTTTTTTTTTTTTTCTCTCCCTTTCCCTTCTAAAACTTGCACATTTACTATGACAAATACCAAAGACAGAATCCAATCAATTGCAAATCATTTGGATCCTACCAACTCGACCAAGGATGAAGCTCTTGAGAAATCAGAGTGGAAAGTAAATGCAATGGCATGGCTTTTTAATGGGTATCGTCAACTCACACCCTTGATAGAATGAAATTCTCGAAATCAGACGTCGTCAAAAACAGAATCGCACAGCTGATACCAACGACAGAGGATACATCCGGCAGAAAACAACTGGCAAATTATGGGTGCGTGAACGTATTGATGCCTTCCTCGACCATGACAGTTTCCTTGAAGTGGGAAGTGTTGCTGGCAATACAAAATACAACAAAGATGGCAGCGTCGAAAGTTATACAGCTGCCAATTTCGTTGCCGGCAAAGGCAAAGTCGAGAATAGAGATGTGATTGTGGCTGCTGATGATTTTGCTATTCGTGGTGGTCATGCAGATGGTGCCGTGTGGGGCAAATCGGTAAGGCACACGAATGATTTCCATCAACGCAGCTCATATTGAGACTTGATCCATGCATTTTAGTTGTACGCAGAGCAATTGGCTCGTAAATTAAAGATCCCAATGGTAATTCAAGCTACAGATCGCTCAATAGTCAGCCCTATACTGACATTCATGCTTATGTTTTAGGTCCGTTTGATTGACGGCAGTTCCGGAGGTGGATCTGTTACTCTTATGCTGGAGAAAGGGGCTACTTACTTACCACCTTTATTTGGCATGCATGATATGATTGGCAGTTTGTCTGAAATCCCTGTGTGTGCAGCTGCTTTGGGACCTGCAGTAGGCCTGGGAGCTGCTCGAGCAACATTGACTCATTTTTCGGTTGTTGCAAACGACATTGGCTCTTTATTTGCTGCTGGGCCGCCCATTGTAGCCAACGCTACTTTTGAGACAGTATCCAAAGAGTCGCTTGGTGGCGCCTTGATCCATACAGCCAATGGCACAATTGACAATCTGGCATCCAATGAACAAGATTGTTTCAATCAAATCCGTCGATTTTTGAGCTACATGCCTACCAACAACTTTGAACTACCACCATACGTAGCCACTGATGACTCTTGTAATCGTAGAGATGATGAATTGCTGTCTATTATACCCAAGCGTCGTCAAAGAATGTACCAGGTTCGAGATATCCTTACACGTGTTGTTGATCATAATTCGTGGTTCGAAATTGGGTCTCGTTGGGGAGATGGTGCTGTCTGTGGTTTAGCCAGAATGCATGGCCATGTTGTTGGTATCATCACATTCGACTGTACGTTGAAGGGAAGTGTTATTTCTGCTTCTAGCTGCCATAAGTTCCGTAGACACATTGATTTGTGTGATACATTCGGTATTCCCATTCTCAATTTTGCAGATTACGCTGGTTTTGCTGTGGGTACATTGGCTGAAAAGGAAGCGTAAGTAGATTTGGAGTCAATTTCTGATTGTGCAACTTGCTAATGTGTTTATATCAAGCACTATTCGCTATGGTTCCACACTCACAGCTGCTCTGTATCAATGCGATGTACCTTATTTCAGCGTTGTTTTACGTAAAGTATTTGGTGTAGCAGGTGCCGCTTTTGTAGACAACCGAGTTCCTAATATGCGAATTGCATGGCCCAGTGGTGATTGGGGCAGTCTACCCTTAGAAGGTGGCATTTATGTAAGACCATGTCTATATTCGATTTCAAACAAGCAACTGACTGTACATACCATAGGCTGCCTATCGTCGTGAACTGGATGAGGCAGGGGATAAACGCAATGAACTGTACGAAAAGATCATGGCTCAATTTGAAGCCGTCAGATCGCCTTTACGTACAGCCGAGTTGTTTGATATGCCTGAAATCATCGATCCTCGAGATACAAGACCAGTGTTATGTCAATGGGTGAAAATGATGTACGATCATGTGTTGCCACAAAGATTGGAGAGAACCAAGATTCAAGGACCTCGTATTTTGTATCGCCCATAGATATGCTTATTTTTTGATTCATAAACAAGACATCTTCTTGGTGACCATTTGAGCAACGTAACATTATATTCAATGGCAGTAAAACGACATCTATATTAGCTTTTTTAGCCTGTGTCTTTGAAGAAATTGTTTCTTGTTCAACACGATGCGTTAACATGTAGACTTCCAATGCAATCTAATTAAAGCAATACACCATGAACTGTCATGCTGATGCATGTTCTGCATCCGTGGTGCCAGCAGTGATATGTGAACAACTCGATCGCTGGCTTTGCCATTGATGTGCTACCACGTGTCAAGTTTGATATACATCAAAAAGGGAAACTCAATACGAGCCATTCAAACAGCTTCCTGGTTTTCGTTTTGTGGGCAATGTCTTGCAATGTGCTATACCATGATAAAATTCCAGGTTTAATGCAATCAGCATCTAACATTGCACTTGGTTACCATAGCAACAATCAAGCTGTTTTTTTAATTTGTTTCAACAACAAATCTTGAACCGATATTGTATCAATCGGATGCAATGATGCGTTGTATCCAAGGAGATTGCTGAGGCCATTTGAGAGACATTAGACAACGAGGCTACATACCATTTCTTTAGCGGGGAATCACGATTTGAAGTATGACAAAAACAACTGATGACGCTGTGTGGTTGGTCATCCCTTTTTTCCTTTTTTTCAGTACATCTTAACTGATTCTGGTCTATTTTCCCCTTTCTATTTCTTATTGTTCGTTTCCTCCTATTTTTTTTTTCTGTACCATACCTTTTTTTTTTTGTTTGAAAAAAGGAACCTTTAAAGAAAATACAAAGAGAAAACGGTGTAGATATAATTTACCATGGCAACCTCCGAATTGAAATCAAACAGGGCAATCAATAACAGCAGCAACAGCACTAGTAACAATAATCATAGTAGCAGTAGTAGCAGTAGTAGCAAGTGTAGCAGCAGTAAAGAGGTAAATGCCAATGCAAATGCTCATGGTGGATGTACAGAGGATTCTGCGCCTGAACCCCACATACCTATTGCACCCACATCGCCAAATTATCCACCTTATGGTGCTACTACTGCTGCATACATGGACCCAAATCAAAATTATGATCCTTCCGCTGATCCTGCTGTCAATTACACAACGTATGTTTATCCTTTAAGCCCACAATTCTCTGTTCAGTACTATCATGATTTCTCGAACGGCTATCAAAGCTATCCTGGTTCTCCATCATTGCATCCTCAATCGCCTCCTATCAATCCTACTAGTCCACCTTTTAGCCCCAACTTTCAATATCAACAAGGTATAGCTCTCTCACCACCAACTCATGCTTACATGCTGCCACCTCACTCTGCTCAGCCTTTCCCTCCTCTTCATATCTCTTCACCTGTGTTAAGCGGCACCAGCTCGATTCCTGGCTCTCCTCCTCAACACTACTTGCCGGGACCTTATATTATCCAAACCTCTCCAGATAATAGAAGCAACCACAATAAAAAGCATCATCATCAACATCAACCACAACATCAGCATCATCCACATCAGCAACACATGCAACATCAACATCATCAGCATCAATTACATCAGCAGCAACAGCAACAATTGCAGCAACAATTGGAGGCTGAAGTGAACTCATATCACACGCATAACATTTATGTTCGTGGATTGTCTTCATCAACTACAGATGAATCATTTTTGGAAATGTGCCAAGTGTAAGTGCTTTTCTTAATTTGGAATGTATCAAAACAACCATTTAAAACCCTTTTGCTTAGATATGGCAGCATTGCTTCTTCCAAAGCAATTATTGACCAAAAATCAGGTGAATGTAAGGGCTATGGATTTGCCATGTTCAATAATGAACAAGAATGTGAGGAAGCGATCGAGGGCTTGAACAAAGCCGGTCTTCAGGCGTCTTTTGCTCGAGTTGGACAGGTAAAGTCAGATGTATGAGAGACACACATTTATATATGAGCTGAAACGTGCTTTATAATAGGAATCCTTCAGCTCCAAACTTCGCCATCTTCAGGATGAGACCTCGACCAACATTTACATTTCTAATTTACCCTTGGATACATCGGAACAGGTAAATTCAGACAGGCGTGATCGAAGGTTACTTTACTCATTATAATGCAGAAACTGGAGGAACTGTTCCACCCTTATCAGACCATTTCCAACCGCATTTTGCGCGATCCGCAATCTGGTATGAGCAGAGGTGTAGGTTTTGCCAGATTGACCGACAGAGAGGCTGCTTCGGCCATCATCGAGAGATTCAATGGACACACGATTGAGGGATCATCGGCACCACTTCAAGTGCGTTTTGCTGACTCTCCTGCTCAAAAGAAGTTGAAGAATCAGACAGCCAAACGAAAGATGGTCAGACCTCGTGAGTTCCCACCCATGGCAGCATTCGCCATGAGACCTATGATGCCTATTACTCCAGAAACCATGCTGGGCATTGCGCCTGCTGTTTCGACTTCCACATCTCTTCATCATCTTCCTCAATATCACCCCTCACAGTAAGTGTGCAGAATCTACAGAAATGGCATTTGAGTCTAAGTTTGGATTTAGATTTGCAGCACACATTGTACCGCAGCACCAACAGCAGCAGAGACATCCTGTCAACCATTATCCTCCAAAGCAGGATGAGGATGATAATCTGGCACAAGACTTTGAGAGTAAAATCAACATCTCAGAATCTCCTGCTGTTACAGCTACAACAGACTGATACACTCTATGATTTTTTTTTTTTTTTTTAATAATAATAAAACTTTTTTCTTTCTTGCTAATCAACTTATTTATTCTCGATAAACGAGTTTTTATACTTTGCAGGAGCATTGTCTTCATCGAAATCTTCTTGGGCCCAGAAGGGCAATTCTGTTTCGTATTCCCAGCCATTGCAAGAGTACTTCCAAGCATGCAAAAATATGCAAAGCTGGTCATAGTTTTTACCAAAAACAAGAGATGCACTGCATTCTTGACATCTTGTATCATCTAATTCTTCTATGGATCCATCAGCAAGTGTTGTGGGTGCTATTGCTGCTGCTGAATCAGGGTCATCCCATTCCTCCATAGGAGAGTATTCAAAGAGTTTGTCTACCAAGAGTCGGGCGTCCTTTTCAACCATTCTTTCGCCGGGTCGCATCCATGGTGACCAAGATGTGCCATTGCCATACAACGGATCATTGGAAATCGGATATCCCAGATATCTGAGATGAACTCGAATTTGATGTGTGCGACCTGTCAAAGGTTTACATAGGACCACACTCGTCTTGCCGTTGAAACTGAGACGTTCAAACTTGGTGATGGAAGCCTTTCCCTCATCATGCACGTAGTTGATGGACATTTTGTGCGAAATACATTTGATGGGTGCCTCGCACGTAATTTCACTACTATAGCTTTGTGACTATAAGCTCGATAGAAGCACTTTCTCGCACTTACTCTGGAAATTTGCCATCCACACGACACACATACTGCTTTCTGATAAGACCAGCAGACATTTCTCGTTCGATTTTCTGTGCACGAGCTGAATTTTTAGCGATTAGCATGAGTCCCGAAGTAGGTAGATCAAGTCGATTGGCGGCTACACACAAGACACAGATGAGAATATGTTATATAATGGAATCCCCATAGCCACTTACGATAAAGCTTGGGTATATTGCGCTCCTTTTTTAAAACATGCACAATTGTGTTGTGTCTATAGCGTCCTGCTGGATGAACTGGCATGCCTCCAGGTTTATCAACAACGAAGAGATCTTGATCCTCATAAACAATCTTGATGGGCTGATCTGTACAAGGCGGTTCGTGTCTATGAATCTTGTGTCCTATCACATCGCCGTTTTTGAGAACTGCATCCACTGTAACATGGTTGCCGTTGATTGTAAGTAGCCCTCTTTCAATTGCATAGCGCTACATCATCAGCATGTCAGTACATCAGATCGAGCAGAGCTGCAGACACTTACATAGTAATCTTCGCTACGATCTCTAAATTCGGACGCAAAAACATCCAACAATGTACGGCCCAACCAACGACCCTTTGCAAATGATTTGTACTCGAAATAATAGGGCTTCACTTTGCGCATTTCTATACACTGCTTGTCAGTAAGATTGTAAGTCAAGCGTTGTTGTGTCGTCAGGTACCATCTTCAAAGAAATATACAGCAGTGTGCATATCATCCACCTCTCTAAAATCATTGCTCTTTCTTCTACGAAGTCGTTTCTCGGGTGGGATCTCTTTTTGCTTTGCAGCAAGCTTTGCAGCGACATAGTGAGGGTTTTGCTCTGCCATTCGTCTCTTTCTGGCTGCTCTCTCTTTGCTCGTCTCCTTCTTTTCCGGCTGTCAGTTGTGAATTAATGAGCCGTGCTAATGGATTAGCTGTCAAGGTTTACCTGTTCAGGGGCCTCTTCTTGAGTCGTTTCTGCGACAAGCCCTTCAAGCCTTTGTTGGTCTAAATGTTCCTTTAAATTCATATGAAAAGAAGAAAACAGTTGAAACAGAAAAATGAAAAAGGAAATAAATCAGCAATTTTTTTGTAGGAGACATGTCAATCAGGGCTAAAAAAGCCACACAATTCAGCTGCTCTCACAAGCACATTACAAGCACAAAACAAGATGAACGAACATGGTGTTATTTGCATAACGAGTGATTTATTTTAACGATGGATACAAAAAAGTAAATTGACGAACGATAAAATAAATGGATTGTATATGTAAAAAGGCAATTTAGAAAACAAGAGCGGCACCCTTGGTCTTCTTATCACCACCCAATTCGAAGTGCTTACATCTCTTGATGGCGAGTTGCATCTTGTACTTACAGGCTACATCAAAAAGTCGCATCAATACCAAAATCCATTATATAAAGCACTTGCTAGTTACTTACCAGTACACTCAAGACGGAGGACAATCTTCTTGGTAGTCTTGGCCTTCTTGTGGAAAACGGGCTTGGTTTGACCACCATAACCGGATTGCTTACGGTCGTAACGTCTCTTACCTTGAGCGAAGAGAGAAGCCTTACCGGCCTTGTATTGAGTGACCTTGTGAGGAGTGTGCTTTCTGCACTTGGAACCCTTACAGTAGGTGTTACGGGTCTTGGGAATGTTGACCTAATGATATAGCAATGCGATTAATACAACCAGATCTTGTTGAAAATTGCATCCAATCCCCAATAGAAAAAAAATCAATCCATCCACTAGATAATCTACATCCATCTCTCCCTCAATAGCAATCCATTCATTGTATCATTCCATCTATCTATCTAGTCCATCTTCCCCAACATTGCCGTGTATAGTGATTTTCAGATGCTACATACCATTGCGAAAGGAGAGAGGGGGTACTACATGGTTTACACGATTTGCGAGTATTATTAAACCTCGAAAAAATCGTCTGGGCTGCCCCGAGTGATCCATTTGTTTAAACTCAATTTTTTTTTTTCGACATTTGTTCGCGACCAAATCAACCAGCATCCGGATGGTGATTGGATTGAACCAGACATCTCGTAAGCTGGCCGTGTCTGTTTGTTACTGATGGGTAATACGCATGGTGCTGTTTTGTATAGAACTTAACTGAGCTTCAGCGAATCCGGAAAGCGTAATAGTCGTTTGTATCGACATGTATGTCTTCGTTAGATGGGCATTGCGAATAGCTTATTTACGTTTCTGAGCAACTGGTCAAGTAGACGAAAACCCTATCAATTTAAATAGCATTACTCGCAGTGCTTACTACGTATATATTTGACATGTGCATAGGTGTGATGATGGGTGCGAATAGAATTTAGAATGGTACACTTTTAGATTATGTCGACGTTATATGAAATGAACATCATGCTCACCGAGTCAATCTTCTTCACATAAAGCTATGGATTGGAGTAAACTGGATAATTTTACATGAATCAGTTCAAAATGTTCTCTTCACTAATGATTACTAACTTATCGACCTTGATGAATAAACATGCCCCCTTTAACCAGAACGATATGAAACTAATCTTTGACATGTAACATCACTCGGCCACAAACGTCAAAGTTAATCAAGCTCGTTTTTTTTTCAAATAACCTTTCGTAGCCCTCTCTAAGCAAACAAGGTTGGCAATCCATGTAGCATGTACAATTTGAAGAAGGGCGATAATTTGGCGTTTGCCATCTTCATGAGCAATTTGCAACAATCTAAACGATGTATTGATACACAAAATGCACGGCAATAACATGACTAACAATCTATGGTATGCTGTGGTACGTTTCAATTCGAAATCTTCTTTTCAAATGCTCCCAACAACATTCATTACCTGTGGAAGAGGGATAGGAGAGGTGGCAAATGCGTTTGAGAGCCAAAATCGATTTAGAGTCCGCTCAGTATTTCCTTCCTCATTTGCTAATCTTTGATCGAAACGCAACTTCCTCGACTTATTTTATCAAATTCGACTATAAACTGGAATGGTCATTCCAAACCCCTTTATGTTTTCTTGGAGTACTTTTCAGAGCGCATCTAACGGTGTTACTCATAAGAAGTGTTTTGAATAAATTTAAAGAGCAAAATTAGAAAACATGAACTAACGTTTTTGTCGAAAATGTCAGAATCCTACCAATCAAGCTCTTACAAACAAAGTTTCAGGGATTGCTTTGGATCGATACAAACATTTTGAGTCAATATATGCCATAGTAGAAGTCTTCATTTTTGTGGCCAAACACGCGATCGTTTGATTTTCGTCAAAATCCATGAGGGATACCTCATGCTTTTTTGGTCAATTTTTGACGATCCCAAAAAAGTTGAGCAAAGGTATCAGGAAGTAAGTGCTAGACGAGAGCAATGGTTTGATGCTATTCTGATAGTCTCAAACGGCTTGTAACACGAGAAATTACTGCTCAAATGCGTTCTAATTTCGCTGTGATTTGCATATAATCGAGCAGCATCAGGCAATTTCAGTTTAATGTAGGCCCGTACATGAATCGCTCTCATTTATATTGATATTGAGCACCGTAGAATAGTCAAGCCCATCGTTTTAGCTCGTTCCTGGGTGTTTTTTTCTACATACAAAGGGGAAGTTATATAGTAAATTCAATATAGAGGAATAAATAATGGTATATTAAATGCACAATACACATGTCAAGAACTTGCCGAAAGAAAGGCGTGCGTAATATGACCTTTGTCTATTGCGTTGAGTTACGAGAATTCGTTTCAACTCTTGTATACATCACAGTTAAGAACACAATCTCATTTCTAAGTGGCTTGACTGTATCTGTCGTTTGAAGCCGTCGCAAGCAGCATATTAAAACTTCCTTTTGAAAGGATCTTAACAGCTACTGCGCATTTTAATGAGCTAAGGAAACAAACAGCTTGTATACTACTAAAAGCTGGCTTGTAGAAAAGAGATATCGTGTATCTGCCTTCAAAGCCTCTACAAATACGTCAACAAGCATGCTTTTTTAGGTCTGATCATGTTGATACTATACACATCTGTCAGTTTGTCCCCAATATTCGGATTCTCACATAATGAATCACATTTCCTGCAACGTATCGATCAAAGTAGCAACTGAATTACGTCGTCTCATAATTTGATGGAATCTACACTAGCTACTTCGCTGTGTACTGCACATAAGGATAGGACTTTCACAGCCATGTACTACTATGTAGTTTAGTACTCTAGAGTAGCAACAGAATTTATCTTCTCATTCGTTCATCATCATGTTCAATATAAAACTCCTTAACGTTCTACAGCATAAGACTGAGTATATTGAATTCCAACCAAACACATGACAAAGGAATTTGTCATTTGACATCTGTCATAGATGTGTACAAATTTCTCTATTGTTCTTTTTTGAGGCTGATTATCAATCCTTTTCATTTTAATTTATGAGAGACAGCATAACGAATATAGTTGATAGAGTGTAGAGAAAGGAGCTTGCTCCGCTTCAACATCGATAGTAGTACATTCTTAAAGGGAGCGTCCAAGATTCGTCATTTCTAAAGCTCTTTCGAACAAAAAGGAACTCTTGAGTCAGATGTATGTATCGAGCAATGCCCTGGCACAGCACGATTGGTCTCGTTGTATAAGTTTGGCGCTTGGAAATCTGTTTGAAATTGGAACATTTCGACATTTGCAATTCTTCGTAAACCCGCTGCTACTAAATTGTTATCTTTCAGCCGATCAAAATGTTGCCAACAAGAGATACTTGACACACTATCGAACCCATCAACTCGCATTAGAAGAGTGATTTCATCTTGAAGATTAAAATAGACACCATAGACGATTGGGTCTACTGATTATCTGTGTATGCATATGTATTACCCAGATAGGCTTCTCGTCCCCCAACTCATCACCCCTGAGGACACCTATTGTAACAGGTCATATGAGGAGAATTAGACATTGGCGTGTCATTGGCTCAAATTTGTCAAAATGATGCCATCATGATGTTTGATGCACTACTGTGATTTGTAAAAGAGAACACTTGACGTGTGGATAGAAGCGTATATATGTCTCATAAAAGGACATACTTCTAGATCGAATCCTGGATGTATAGAAGCAGTATTAGAAAAGGTACATGCAATCTTGGCAAGAATGTCAAAAAAAAGCCAAGAATTACTAAAATGCATATGGTAAACATTGGCTAAACAGATTATCAACACTAGTGAAACTGTCTTCTTTTTGTAACACTTGCTTGAATTATTTAAACGAAAGTTACTACCAATGAAATTATAATTCAGTTTCTCTTGGTGTGTTGGGAATAAGATGTATGAAAATTCAGATCATAAAGACATGCATAATTTTTGTACAATCACATTACCTAGTTTGGTTCACATTTGATGGTGCACGGCCAAGTCGACCTTTTTAGAAAATACAGGTGGTATTTTTTATTAATCCATGTACGAATTGCTGTGTAAATTTGATTCAAAAACCATGACAAACTATTTCAGTCCAAACAAGTACATTGCACACTCAAACCAATAACAAAAATTACCCCTGTTTTTTTTTTGATCTGATTTGATTTGATCTGCTTTGAATGATTTGATCCCAAGAAAAAGTTTTTTTTTGGCACATATAGAATAGGCATTTGATACTGAAAGACATTTGGCTTCTATCCGTTGGAGCAGTGTAGTGATAGATAACTCGTCATTTGAAAGAAGTACATGCAATCTAACTTTTCTTACTGTATCTCCGTGGATGTCGCTTTCATCCCCCGTAAATTTGACCTTTCCATCTAACTGTTTGTATTGCGCGGACTTACTAGTGCGAGCGATTAATAGAGTTATAATGATGAAAATGAGGTAGTCGTTGTACGATAGGTGATGTGCAATATAGAAGCTCTAACGATGAATAAAGCAATTTTATATTCCATATAGTGTTCTTGCATTTTTCTCTGTCTTTCGACTCGTTGAAAAAAAACTAGATACCCTGTATAAATTGCGTGTCTAGATGAGTGTATACACAATCGAACAAGCGAAAGAATACAGAAGAACAATATTATATTTAGATGTGGTTCCCCAAAATGGTATGTTTTAGAAGGTGAACGGACACCTAATTCAATATAAAATCAACATGATAGAGACCAACTTCTCGAGATCGTCAACTAGTTAACAAATCGATGATTTGAACAAAGTTATACTAAATAAATGTGATGAAACGGGGGAGAAGATTAATATTTAGCTTGTGGGTAACACAGTGGGTTAAAGGCGAAATATTTTACACATATAACAGAAGTTCGGAAAAAGGTAGGGGTCAACAAATGAATACTACATATGGGGGATAAGTGGACATCTTTAGCAAACGAAGTGAAGATCAGAGAACATACAACACTTGGCCGATTCCGATAACCTGCTAAGCGTATGGGGACTATCTGGAATAGTAAAGTAAAAATGAGGATTTGATTGTTGGTTTTTTGGGGGGTATCACTGTGTGTATAGCCATATAACAAAAAGGTACGACGGTACAACAACAACAAACAGTGCATGCAAATATGCTGCCCGTAATTACCAGCTCGAGAAATGTATATATTTTTGATAGCAAGTAGATAGCCACTTTAGCAAAGTACATAGAAGATGTCGTTTTCTAGAAGAATCAATCATCACACTAACAATAGGTGGGATGAGACATGGTTTCATTTGTCTATATTTATAAAAACCACGAAAATCCCTACTACAATCACAATCGCTGCAAATGTGTTTAGCTCAAAAATGTCAAATTATGAGTTACCCAGTTTCTGATCAAGCAGTGCAAGAAAACTTCGATCGATCAAAATTTCTACGATTGGATCAGTTTACACGACAGCAAATGCTTTATATAAGTTTAAACATGTTTTTGTGTTTTATTTCATAGAAGAGTTGAGAATATGTATATATAAAAAAATCAAGGAAAAGCAAATAAATATTTATAATAGTAACAACAAGTATGGGGTTTTTGCGCTTGTAAAGTAATATGTACATTTGACAAAATGAACTTGTACTATATACACAAACTCACACACAAAGATGAATGTCATATTCCAAACGTAACAAACATAACATGTGTGAGTATATCTTGTGTAGACGTACAACTCATTTTAGATTAGAGATGGTGTTCTCATGACTCAAGACAAGTAGAAATCATGACCCTGATGACCGCCGCTTTGATGGCGTTGATGGGGCTGTTGTGGATGGTTGAAATGATGATAGTTTATGTTTGCAGTAGGATAATTAGCGTAAACTAGACAACATGATTAGACATTGCAGTGATATATCTATTGACATACATGTACTTACGACTTGTGATTGAGGCTGATGTGGTTGCGGCTGTTGTTTCAGATGGTATATAGTAAGGTGCAAGTAACATGGGATGAATATTATCAGCATATAAATCGTACAACATGTTGGTATTGGATGGCGCTGAAGGAGATGTCATATCAAAGTAGTTGTGGGTATTATTAGCTTGGTTATTAGTAGTAGAAGGGTATGTTGTGAGTAGGGATGATTGTAGATGACCATCATCAATAGGTGACCAGGGGGAGTCGATGAGAGAGGCAGCAGGTGTATTTAGCAAAGAGGCAGCACTAACAGTGACATTATACACGGGTAAGTTTTGAGTTTGGTTACTCACAGGGATGGTAGTTGTTGGGCTGGAGACAGTGGTAGCGCTAGTAGCAGTAGCCATAACCGTAGCAGTAATAGGAGTAGCAGTAACAGGCAATGTCTTTGTTTGCTTGACCATCTTCTTCTTCTTTTGTTGATGCCCTACAGATGTGGCAACGACAACAGGATGATGCTTATTGTTGCCTCGCATAGCCTCAGGGGTAGGTGGAGGAGATAGTTGTGGGTCAGAGACAGCATTAGCTTTTCGTTTGCGAGAAATCTTCACTTGTTCTTCTTCTTCTTCCTTGGCTATTAAAGTAGATGTTTTGCTAGCATTGTCGTTGTTATTGTCAGTAGTCTTCTTGGGAGATGGGGTAGTGGAGGAAAGATCAGATTCAGTAGATGTGGAGTCCTGATCAGCTATTTGCTTCTTTAATTGATTGCTGGATGCTTCTGCTTGTTTTCTAAGCTTCTCGTTCTCTAGACGTAACTTTTGGATCTCTGAGGTATATGTTGTCTCTCTCTTTAGACTAGATGAAACTGCGTAGATGTTTAGTCGATATTGATCATCCATGCCTTTAAATGATTTGCCTTACCAAATTCGAGAGATTTTGCTACAATCATTGTCTTGCTGGGTCGACGAACAGTTTGAAGTGATGGAAGAGCATGTGCAAGCTGTTGAAATTTGACATTGAGATGTTCACGGCGTTGTCGTTCCAAGGCGTTATGTGCAGATCTTCTGTCATTGTGAGCAGATACGTCACTGTTTGTTTGGTGTAAAAGTGTGAGTTATTCATGCGTAAACAATGGTTTGATTTTTTTTTTCATCCACGTACCTTTCATCTAATGTCATATTGGCAGATAGAGTCATACCTTTTGATTTGTTTAAATGGGTTAGTATACAAAATCACAAAACAAACGTTGTGTTTGATTTACCGAAAAATCCATTGTTTGGATTTCTCAAGGATTGACCATTAGTGGTGATTCTGAACTTTTCCGAGGGCATGATGGTATACAGATCAAGGTAAAGGGGAGAGTATATATTGAATAGCGACAAGGTAAAACAAGGGAAAAAACAAGAAAGAAGTGGGGTAGATGTTATAAATTTTGCAATCTTTTTATATGTTTTTGATGGGGGGGGGACCGTGGATGTGGGGGGAGGTGAGGGGGAAAGGGGGGGGGAGAAGATGAGGAGACATAAGGGGGGGGGGTCTTCTTTAAAGTTTATAATAACACACAGGAAATGCGAGGTGGGGGGGGATCTTAACGAGCACGAAGAAGAAAGGAAATTACAATACATTGTAAGTGTCCCGATGTAAAATATCTCGTAACACAACAGTTATTATAAAATCTTGAAGGAATAATTAGTGATCAACAAAAAAGTTATTTCTTGATGCACTCTTATTTTAGACATCTTGAAATATTCCTTCCAAATTGAAGTAATACGCCCGGATTTACAGTATTATTTCTCAAATACGGCGTTTTTATATTATCACAATTGCTATTCCTGGAAGCAGGGCGAAAATATCATATTTAGATCCACAGCTTGACATTACATTGGTCTACTCTAACGCCACTGTTGTTGTATCTATATAAAAATACATGGCATAGCATCTGTATCCTAGAGATGATAGCCCATGCCATATTTTTGTATTGTTTTGACTAGTATATATTTGTATAAAAAAATGTATGCATTACTACCATGTTACTACATACATGCATTACATGTAGAGTATACCAAGCGTAGTAGTCATGGCAACAGCAGCAACAACAACAACAACAACAACAACACACGTCTAATGTAATGTATCTCTTTATCAACTAATTTTACATGGAAATCTTGCATTTTATTTTATTAATTTATATATTAATGGAAGAAAAAGAACGAGTGCTCTACAATTTCATCTTTTATATATATGAATTTCGCAGCGATCGATCTCTTTTTTCATAGTTTGCCTGTGGAGAACAATACAATGAAATAGCGTTAAACTTTTTTTTTGTGTACCCATAAGCTAGCAGAATGACAAAATTTAGGCAAAATTAAGCGTGAATTATAATCGTTTTTAGTTATCAAAATGCTATCATAGAGTTTGCATCATGAGGTATTTAAGGAGACAGATAGTCTATGAAATCAGACAAGGGGTCGAGGTTTGGGGCGTTCATGCTGATGCCTTTTTTTTTTCTTACGGTATATTCTTTATCATAACATCCAGCCTCTTTATTATCTTTAGATACTTTCTTTGTATGTGACATGAAAGGAGTGATGATGATTGTACTCTTACACATATTTTTCACCCCCAAAATCACCTACATTTAATGACAGATTTCTCTTGCTAGTAACACATTGCGCAACCCATGCATCTCGCTGTCGTTATACAAAGATAATATTCAACGATTTGTAATAGTATAAAAAGAACAAGTTATTGTGCGTATAATATACTTTGAAACCTTGATTTAACTACATGAAACCAATAACTAGAAGCCAATATATAAATACATAAACTATATCATCTCAACAGGTGTGTTCGTGTGAATAAATTGCACAGTTTACCCCCTTTTTTAATTCTTATTAAATTACACAAAACATATGTTTTTGGTTAAAAATCTAGGTGCGCGGACGCAGTGGTTGATTTTTTATTCATCAGGAAAACCTCCAAATCCTAGATTGGTACCAACCATCTCTCTTTCCCAGAATTGTAACATGTATTGATCCACATGTCCCACATTCAGTTGCATATTATCGTCATCGTCATCTTCATCACCATCATCGTCTTGTTCTTGCTCTTCTTGCTGCTGCACTGGTGCTGCTGTCGTTAGATCTGATGGGGCTGCTTCTTCCATGACAACATCGCGGTCTTCTTCCTCTTCCTCGGCTTCAGCCTCAGTATCGTTACAAACACTGGTTTGTCTTGTGGGCGTAGCACTCATCGTGGGTGTGAATGGCGATGCTGGCCCAGATGGAGTGTCACTCATCATTTGACGATTCTCATCAAACTCGTTCTCATCCATGTTCAATTCCTTTCCAGCAGCAATAGCAGCAGCGGCATCTGACTCATCTTCTGCTTGTAACAGAGCCTGTTCATAATCAATCGCCTTGGTGTTACTACTGTTTTGTATGGCAGGCCCAGAACCAACCACCTCAGGTAAATCTTTCCACCACTCATTTTTGTTGAAGTAATCGTCGGTAAAATCACCTTCTTGGATGATCACATTGTCCAGCATTCTATCAAAGAAGGAGGATCAGTGAAAAAAAAAACATTACATCAGCTAATCCTTTAGCTTTACCTCTTCTGATTTGCCTTTTTAAAGATGTTTTCTTCGATCGTAAACTCAGTAACAAATCGATAGATATGGACATCTCTTGTTTGACCGATACGATGCGCTCTATCTTGACACTGCTTGTCCATGGAGGGGTTCCAGTCCGAATCGTAAAAGATGACTGTGTCAGCACCTGTCAAGTTGATACCAAGACCACCACTACGAGTCGACAGGATGAAGCACATAATACGCTTGTCATTATTAAAGTGCTCTGTCATGACTTGACGTTGTTCCACCTTGGTTGCACCATCTAGACGCAAATAACGATAACCATGCATATTCAAAAAGGTCTCTAAAACGTCCAAAACGCGAGTCATCTGTGTAAAGATTAATGCGCGATGACCACCAGCTGCCAAAGTGCGCAAGAGTTGATCTAGTTTCTGCAGCTTACCGCAATCGTACTGCAATAAACGTTTGTCTGGAAATGCGATTGACAGCCTAGACTCGATTGGATGAAAAATGTCATTCTCTACACTGGTTGCTGATCGTAGCAACTGCATTTGCGTGCTGTCGGAAAGCTGCTGTGGCCATGGCTGAACGGTTCTTCTGTCTACATTCATGACCACCTTGGGTGTAACAAAGCCAAACTGTTCCAATATATGCGCATTATTGTTGATTCTGTCCTTGTAGCTAGAAACAGCGTGATACACTGCCTCGCATTGATCGAGATACTGTTTGGGATTATGCGAAAACATGTACTTGATGGAAGGTGATAACAGGGCAAGTAAGTTGGCATCGTAGAGAGGTCTTTGAGCGCACCGAAAGTGATTTACATAGTGTATCATCTGCCATCGACTCACAGCATGTATGTGCATTTGCATTTCTCGATACTTTGCATATCTCTTGAGATCTTGGTAATGACTAGTGGATGTAATAGCACGCGATTCAGCTACTGAGATGCGCTTTTGATGATTGGCGATTTTCGTCATGATGTGCTTGGTGGCTTCTAGACGCAGTGTGTCATCGGCCACGGTTTGACTAAGCACCTTGTTTTGGTTTGCATCTGTAATGACGAGATTCAGAAACCCGAGATTCACCTGGTCGCGTGTCGTCTTGAGGGGCAGGCGTTTGCGAATCATTGTTTCCAAGCATTGGCCGTGAAACTGGACTTCATCATCCATGGCGAAACTAGTCAAAATGGGGCGTTCTTCAAACAGATCAGGGTGGTTGCATACTTTGCGCAACTGCATCAAGCAGTTGATGATGCTGAGAAAGTTACCGCTGGCCAGCGTCTCTCTTGTCTTGCCACGACCCATGAAATCATCGTACAGGTAGCGCTGACGCTTGGAAAGCCGGCAGTAGACAATATGCTCGTGCTTCTCTGGCATTTGCTTCTCAACATCGGCCTTGAGACGACGTAATAAGTAAGGGCGAAGCACAGTATGAAGCTTTTGAATAGCTGCGCGTGATTCCTCATCCATCCCTGGCTGCTGTTGCGCATTGTTGCTCTCAATCATGCGATCGACGGGATGCGAGAACCATTCTTGAAATTCCTTGAGGTTGGCAAACCCGATAGGCATATCCTGAGAGACGCCATTGGGCATCAAAAAGTACAAGAGCGACCATAGTTCCATTAGATTGTTTTGCAGTGGCGTACCTGTCAACAGCAGACGACGCCTCGAGTTAAAATTGAGCAGTACTTGCCAGCGTTGAGACCGAAAGTTTTTGATATGGTGGGCTTCGTCAAGAATAAGGTATTGCCACGCTTTGCGACGAAACATGTTTTGATCCTGGAGCACCAGTTGATATGAGGTGATACACACATGGAACGCATTGTCCTTGGACCATCCGATTCTCTTTTCCTTACGTTGCTTGGGTGAGCCATAGTAGGTCATAATCTTGAACCCGGGCAGCCATTTCTTAAACTCCATTTCCCAGTTGAGAATAACACTGGTAGGCACAACGACTAAATGAGGCCCCCACACCTGCTTCTCGCAAGCTAAATGCGCCAATAATGCAATGGTCTGAATCGTTTTACCAAGGCCCATTTCGTCAGCGAGGATACCGTTCAATCCGTTATTGTATAGACTGGCAAGCCAGTCGAGGCCAACATGCTGATATTCACGCAATGTGCCTCTCAAGAGGAAGGGAATAGGCGTATTGAAATTGCTGCTGTTTGTAGTAACTGCTGCAGCTTCCGTGGATTGGGTTGCTTGTTTGTTGTCTGTATCCTGATCGTCTGCTGACATTGCTTCGTCATTGAGTTGAGCTAGCGTGGACTCTTCTTTTTGCGTAGGTGATAATCTTCGACGCTTGGTAGCAGGCTCCTCATCTACTGATATACTGTCAGTCTCTACATCCAACGGGCGCTTGCTCGATTCATCTTCCTCTTCTTCCTCATCGTCAGCATCATTTCCGATGCTATAGTTGTACTTTTGAATCAACTGCTCCACAGTGAGATTGGCGTCATCATTCAGAGCATTTAGCTCCTCGTCATCATCTTCGCTCTGACCATCGTCTTCAATAGGAATGTCCTCTGCGTCTGATGCATCGGAGAATTCTGCGTCTTCTGCTGCAGCAACAGATGATGAAATTTCGCTTTGCAGGTCCCCATCGTCATCTTCCTCGTCAATCTGAGTGGCGTCAGTCTCAGAATTCGCTTGCTCGTTTTGCTGCATTGCGTGGTATTTTGCCATTAATTCCTCCACAGTCAAGTTTTGATCGTCCTCCAGCTCTCTTAATGCAGTCTCGTCATCTTCGCTCTCTTCTTGGTCCTCTTCAATCATGTGGTCTCTAATGTCTTCTTGGTTCTCTTCAGTTTCGCCCTGCCACATAGCGTCGTCGTCGTTGTCTGGCTCAGTGTGCTCTGCTGCTGCTTTTTGTTGCTGTCTCAATTCTTCATTACGCACATTCAACATTTGCTCAGAGTGCTCCAAGATCAGTTCCAAATGACGACGACCTTCCTCAGCTTGTTGCTCTTTTAACATTTCCTTTAATCTGGCTTCACATACACGTTCAACGACCTTCCACTTCTTCTTCACTTGGTTTGATGTCCATTTGGCCAGTCTGACAATACGCTTTTTTTCCTCCTTTTGGATACGCTCGTCTTGCGTGCGGATGTTGTCCCAGTAGCGTTCAACTGCCTTGGCACAGCGACGAGCAGCGTTGCGCTTGTACTTCTGATTCAGCTGAAAGTTGCGAGACACAGTAGCCATATCTGACAGTAAATTCTCGTGGTGTAAGGGTGGCGTATGTTTGTGTGCATTGTGTTGTTGAGGCCGTCTGTTGGCAATCTCCTTGAGATCCGGTGTGGACAAACCTCCTCTTGCTTTCAACGAATTAATTTTCTGACGCACAACAATTGCCTTCTCTACAAGAGCTTCACATGCCTCAGGTGTGATATCTTCATTTTCGTCAATGGAGATGTATGAATTCATATAGTCATCCAATGTGGCAAACTGTCGGTTTTGGCGGCGAAGACCTGTACCTGTGCTGATGGTATTGACAATCGGTGCTAAAGCTAAGCTGCTGCTGGCGTTGCTGCTACTGATGGCGGTGCTGACGTGAGGTGCATTATGAGTATTGGGTATAGTGTGTATTGATTCATAAATAGCGCTTTGAAGCAGATCAGTCAATGAAGGGTCTTGCGTAGAGGAAACAAACGGTTCCTTTGCTTTAATGAATTTCCACAAATCGTAATCTTCAATATACTAGCAACAACACATGGTCAGCACTGCATTCTGGTCTATGCCTACATCTACTCAATTTACCTGGTTGTAACGAACGTCGTTGATAAATGTATCTGGCTTATAATCAAGCATGTTCTGAAACAGCTCCAAATGGTACAACTCCTTGACAGATTTGTCGTGATTCTGCTGCAGTTTTTCCATTTGAGAAAGTCTTTGGGCTATCAAGTCATTCTTTTGCTGGTCGATGGATGAGGTGGGCTTTGGCATCAACTTGATCTTTGCATTTTTGTATAAGGGCATTGTTGGTACTCTCCTAGCAGGCTCTTGGCGTTTCCGCTTTAGTTGCTGCTGCTGCTGCTCAAGCCGTTTCGTGAGCTGCTTGTTCGTTAGTTTCGGCTTGGGTCCTGGCTTTCCTCTCGGTTTTGCATTCACTGACTTCGCTCCTACTGCTGCAGGCTTTGGTCCTGGCTTGGTTCTTGGTTTGGGTCCAGGTTTAGATCTAGCTTTCGGTGTCGCTGATGTGGCTGCAGAGGGCTTCGGACCAGGATTTGCTTTAGGTTTCGGCCCTAGTTTTCCTCTTGGTCTTACTGCTGCTACTGGTGTAGTCGATGGCGACGATGTAGATGTGGATGTGTCGCTGCTAGTTGTTCTGATTCTGCTTCGTCGACCTCCTTCGATGATATTGCATTTGTTCAAATCGCCATCTGTATCAAACAGTGATGTGGATTGCTTGGTTTTCAGTTTCTCTTCAATGAGTTTTGCTCTCTTTGACAGTTTTGGAGACGCATCAATCGCCGTTGTCTTCGCGTTTTGCTCTGTTCTCGTCGCTTCCTCCTTGTCCACTGTCGATTTTAGTTAGTTTATGCGTTGTAGAGTTTTTGTTTGTGTTATTGTACCTTGATCCACCATGAATTGACAGTATGATTGATGTCAGTACTTGAAAAAAAAAAAAAAAATGAAAAGAGCAGGAGAAAAAAAAAAGACTTTTTGCAAGTAACCTCTAGCTTGGTTTAATACAAAAACAGGAAACCCCTTTTTGAAACAACGCGTTGCTTGGTGATGCTCGTCTAGCATCTGCGGGCCCCAACTGTCAAATGCGAGCAGCCTCATTTACGCCGCTTAGCAACAGGCAGCAGTACGTCAATGTCGCAATGCAATGCCATGCCTAAATGAGTGGCTAAAGATATGAAGAATTTTATTTCATTTTTTTTTTCTTGGAATGACATTAGTAAAAGAATATGTAGAGGATAAGGTAATGAAGATGAAAACATAGTGTAATTGTTATTGAAGAGTTAAGGGTAGGAGGGAGTAATATAGAATGATTCAATTCATTGATTGCCATCAGATGTAAAATCGAAATTGAAGTTTGCAAAGTGGAGCCAGTCCGCTTGTTGGTTCATGTTGGGCGAAGATGGAATATCTGAAGACAAGAAATCATCAACAAATGATGGGTTATTGTCAGAAAAGAGCAGAGATGGAACGTCGTCATTGCACCAATCACTCGAATTGAAATCGCTGAAATCATTGTTCCAATCTTCATTGTCAGCAATGATGGAGGAGGGTGGCAAAGCAGGTGAGTCGACTGTGGTCATCACAGCAGACGTACTGGCGGTCTCCATAGCAAGTTCGTCAGAAAACAGACTCATGAAATTAAAGTGGTTCTTGATAGCTGCCTGTTCTTCTGCCGCTTCTTCTTCTTGCTCTTGTTGTGCCGAATTTTGGAATGCCTTGAAGAGATTTTTGCCTCTTTCTTGGGCGTGGCAGAGAGCTGACAAGGTGATGGTTTTGCCATTGTGGAGAACGTGCTGCTCTTCGTCCTCATCTGCTTCTTCTTCATCGTCGTCATCTTCGTCTTCATCGTCTCCATCTTGTAGTAGTGTAAATTGCACTGGCTTGGTGTCCATCAATGGAGCCAAGTCATGGTCGATGAGCGCAGTAGTCGCCATTGGCATCTCTGCTGCCGGCTCTGTTGCACCCTGAGTATTAGTGATGGGAAGGCTGCTTATGGCATCCGTGTTACATCTTGGGCAGCAATAATCATCTTCCTTTGTGATACCGCCTGAACATCGCAAATGAAGCCATTTGTTACATTTGGTGCATTCAATCATAGTGCCATTGTCATCAGCAGGCTTCTCACAGACGCATTCAATGATGGCATTGCTTTCAAATTTAACAATCTTTTTGCATTTCTGTTTGTGGTAGATGAAGCCGTTTCGAGTCTTGTAGACCTTATTGCAAGGTTCGCATGTGAATTGGCGAGTTTTCTTGGTGGGTGGCTCATTCTCTGTGGCATCAAGATCCTGCTGAAGCGATCTCTTTTTGCTAGTGCGCTGCTGCATATTTGGGAGTGGTGGTTTTCTGGGAGAGGCATGTGGAGATGCGAGTGGTTCGTGAGGATTGATACGGCGGCTTAGTAGTTTTAATTCCTCAGAAGACATGCGATTATGATGGTTGATCACAGTGTTTGCAGGCAAATGGTGGATAGCGCCAATGGTCTTGCCTCCCATGGTGGGTCGCTGAATGGTTCTTTCAATCTTTTCATTGCGAATGTTGGTAGTGAATGTTTGTGGAATGACTTTGATGGGTTGTTTTGTATGTGTGTAAGGATGGTGTACGGTTGGCTGATCGTAAGGAGATGAAACAAACACATGGCTGTTCCAATTCTCTTTGGATGCTTCTTTGGGTTTATTGGGTTGTATGGATTTGAGCTTCTTGAACTGTTGATGGCGATGAGGCGATGTTTGTTGATTATCAATTGACGAAAAGATCATGGCATTCCTAATAGCACAGTTTAACTTCATGTAACAAAAGCACATCATCTCATCCTTTACGTTTTTTGTGTATTGACCACACTAGCTGAGGGTGCTAAACCTTTGCTAATAGCTTCAGATTTCATCTTGTATGGCTCCCAAATGAAAGGATAAGGGGAGAGAGAACAAGAATAGCGAGATGAGAAACAAGATAAAGAAGACGAAAAAGAAGGAGGTGTTATCTAGGTGCGAAAAAGTACCATTTAGAAAACTTGCGCACTTGCCACTGACTGTTAAAAAACAGCACTATACTACTAAAGTTTTTTCCCTTGTGTCTAGAGTTATTTTTATCCATGGCGATGGTTTCGAACAGAACATTGGTACTGGAAGAGCCGTATAAAACGACGACTGGCTGGGTCCCTCCTTTTCCACAGTGCTTCCCTTTGAGGATCAAATGTAACAGCATACAAGTGTAGTATAAGCCCAAAGTATTATCATGATTGAACGCAGTTGCACAAATCATGGTATGACTACACACCAAATCTTCATTAACAGCGGCAAAAAGAGGATTAGCATTGTTATCGAGAATTGGTGGCACATTCAATAAAGCCTCCACCAAGATGCCACATGCTCACCAAATTGGATACATGTCGGTGGAGCGAGTTGTGTAAATACATGAATCATGAAATCAAGGTGATTAACGCCGCTGTATTATCTACATCTAGAGAATCGTTCATTGCACTCGATCTACCGAAAATATAACGGGTGCAACACTGCAATTCACTCTCCTGCTGCTGTGTTTTTGCAGTGAACCCATATCCTGGTGTTGAATCATGAAATAGGTTTGATGACTTTCAAAGTCTTGTCATACCCACGTTGAACAATAAGAAATCATAGGAATGATAACCTCCCCGTCTTTGCAAATTAGTCATTTGATGCTGGTGATGCTACTCAGACTTTAAAATTGGAGGAGGGGCGACATCTGCTATATTGACTGATGTACGCTCGATAGAAGAACGGCGCCTGGAACAAACAAACATACAATGACCAATGTATGACATTATCATGATTCTAACAAGCCATGTCCCTTGTTCAAGTCAAGTAATAGACTCCTTAAAAATGACTACGCATTTTTCGCGATTCTTGTTGCTCGGTGTATCCTTTATAAAAGCAAAATACGTCCCCAAGTGTCAATTCTATACCCAACAGAGCAAAGGAATGCTAAATGAGAGGGAACGTCGATTTGTGTATGCCTGTAAAACTAAATAATCTCAGGAATATAAACATCGTAATTGTGTATGATATCATTGCTTGAAGAATTTTGCGTCAACCAGATCATGACATATCAGGGTATATTAGATTCCTGAGATGTAGATTGCTGCCTGTCTTTCAAATGTAATGCACTGCAGTAGTGCATTTGTCTTGTGAAGAGATAAAATTCAAGAGTAGACTTAGACAAATGTATACAAAAGAATAGATATGGAATAAAAGATGGCCATACCTATACTAATTAGAAAAGATACACACAAAGTTTGTGTGTACCTGGCAAGTAGACAACTAACATACTTGGCAAAACAAAATATAAACATCTGCTATCCCATCTATATTACAAGTTTAATGCAAAGCTATATAACCTTTCACACAAGAATATTCCACATTATTGTCGAGTAAGAGAAGACAAAGTCCAGTACACTAGGGTTCGATTTTGTAACCTCATGATTTATACTTTGGCTTTTCTTTAACCATTGAGCTAAAGCTTCAAGCTGGATTATATAATCCCATAATCATAACATAATAAATTTATAGTCTCTAGACACTTTCACAACCCTAATATGAAAACTGAACTGCCAGGCATTTGTCAGGTATGGCTCATATATGATCAGAGATTTTATATTAAATTACTATCAATAATCAAGTTTCATCTAACATTTTAACTATCATTAATTTTGCAATAATATTAGCCAAAGTCCCGCGGCAGCGCGAGCCACCTGAACGTAGGTTGGTTTCCACCAAACCGAAGCATAGGACAGGAAACCAACCGAAGAGTCGAAATACTGATCGTAACGCAATAAATCTATGCTATGGTCCCTAAACACTTTCAAAGCCTTAAAAAGAAAAGAAGTTGGCCTAGCAAGTATTTTGATAGACTGGCGTTAGTAAAAATGAAATGCAAGGAAAATAGCATGACTAAAAGTAATACTATATAATTTGCCATCTACTTTCCATTCGTTTCAAAAGCATCTATTTAATGTATTGCCTTCATGATGAAAACGGCATCGAGTTTGTCAGCCAACCCCACCAGCCAAAATAATTCAAACCCAAACTCATAGTCTGTTCTAGATTGGCCAAATCCTAATAATTTTCGACTCGATCGAACTATTTTGCCAGATTCGACTATATAAAATATGATGATCATCTTATGCGTCTTTAAGCTTTCTTGGAGTGCTTTTCAAGGAGATTTCAATGGTACCGAGTAAGATAGAGGTTTTGAATAAACTTATTGAGCAACTTACGAAACTATGAAAAGAGGTTTCTGACCAAAATGTCGAAATTTTACATATCAAAGTCCCACAAAGATGGTTTCAGAGGCTACGTTGGATCGATAGAAACATTTTGATTCAAGATATACCATAGTAAAAGTCTTCATTTTCAAGGTGAAAGATGCGATCGTTTGAATTTTTGACGAAAGCCATGAGGGATACCTCATGCTTTTTGGTCGAATTTTGTCCACGTTTTTTTGGTCCCCAAAAAGTTGAGCAATAGTGGCAATGAGTAGCTGCCAGATGAGAGCAATTGTTTGGCGCTATTCTGACAATCTAAAACAGCCTTGAACGCGAGAAAACGCAGCTCAAATGCACTCAAGTTTTGCTGTATTAAGCACACTCTTGAATAAAAAGGGATAATATCTGTATGATACTTACCCATATATGAAGTAGCTACGTGTATATGGATGTAGAGCATCACATAAGAATCAAATCCACAGATAATATGAAGGGTTTTTATGTGTAAGTGGAGGGTCAAAATAAAGGTAATAGTACTTTAATAAGATACGCAAAGGCAGATGGTAACGCGAGCTGCCGCTGTGCAGGTCGGTTCTCATCGAAGCGAAGAAAATGTAGAGAGCCATCCAAAGCATAAACACTCGTTACGTATAAAAACGTAGATTACGCGACCATCAAAAGTCATCTATTGCGACGAGGCTGAAACGATTTGTAGATCAGTAGAATTAGGGCGTTTTTGTAGTCTAAAGCAGTTATCCAAAAGAATATAATAGTCATTGGTAGTGCTCTAATCGTTTCAATTAGCAAGAAGCAGCTTACACCTAAATAATATCGCAAGTCTATATTAAATTTGTACAAAATTAAAGTGTGCGGTATATGGTACAACATATGTAAGTGATGCTATATAGCATCCTGTCCACAGATAAGCTTGTCTTTCATATATTTTGAAGGTCTTCTAAGGGGAGTATGTACTGAATCTGCACCGTTTCATCTATAGTAGCGTCAATAGTTTATGCCCGAGAAATACCTATTCCTTAAGACTTTACTTGGCGCTGTAGTCCCAGCTTCATGGTTCTACGGCGCTCAATAGGCCAGAACTGTGAAATACGTCCACGTTGCTCTGTATCCCGATAGCTCATCCAATTACTAGGATTAGATACAAACTATGCGTGGACTGGATTAGATGAGGGACGATACAGATTTATACTATAAGACATAATAATACGCTTATTTCCGTGATACTAGCTACAGATATATTGTTCACTACAGACTAGTGCTATGAATGATATGCCATAGACAGGCATAAAACATGTTGTAAATATGTCATCATATATCCAGATATATACGGAATAGAAATCAGAGATGTGAGTGCTTGCTACAGGGCTGCAAAGCAAGATAAGACTTGGCGCTTTTCATTACAAGGTTTACCACCACCTTTCCTATTATTGATTCGTAATAAAGGAGTTCTATATGGCAAAAATAACGTTCCTATTGACCAAACTACCAAAATGGCGATATTTTAAAATATGAATAGCCTAACCGTCATATTGCCTTGAACGAGGATCCATAGGATTCCGAAATCTATCGACCTTAAAATTGCGCGTTTCTTGATAGTAAACACCCCTTCAAACTTATATAAAACTTGTAGAGAATTCAAAGGAAAATACAATGGTATTTCTTTCAACTCTCTGGTGTACAATATTCACCTGATATTTAATGAGATAAATTTTGCGATCAAAACATTTTGTCAAGCATTACTAAACATTGTAGACCAAAAAATTTCCAATCGAATGAGCTATTGCTTAAAGCTCTGGCATGACTCTATCTGACCAAAAAAAAGGTCACCTAATTTTTTCGCTTGCTATATCACAGGCAGATGTTGAAGAAAAATCGTTGATTTTGCATGATACTGTTTTTTGACCATATCTCGACAAATACTCACTGAATTCGCACAAAACAAAGACCATTCGATAGCTGTACGTTATATCCATTATAATATAAGGATCTCAAGTACTAAGTGTACGTTCCCTTCATAAATTTGCTCAAAATCATATATTTTATGAGCTACAAGCAGGGGATATTCAACTTTTTTTTTATTTATCTATAAAAACCATACCATCGTATAGAGAATTGAAAAAGAAACAAAAGTTATTAAGTTTGAAGCTCTCGTTCACTTAGTAAAATTCAGAGATATGGCCCTTTGAAAATCGGTCATTTGGAACATTTTCCGTCATTACTCATTGGCATCACTTTCCATAACCTCACATCAAACATGTCCTAGTCAAAAAATGTACCTTCTACAACTTTCACTACACATACATCTCACATTCATATCGTAATTTAAAAATTTTACTAGCAGCATCTATTCAAAATGAACTATTTTCTAAAATCTCCTTTTTCTCAACAACCATGCTACCTACACAAATTTCAATTGCACCATCGTTTAGAGGGCAAGAGCGAAATTTCAAATTGACCAAAACCCCGATTTTCGAGATTTTAAATCTTCTAATTGGGTTTATATTCTTGGAGTTTTTCGTTGCCCTAAGTTCCATGAATGGTACCCAGTCATGAATGGTACGTCAATGAAGAGCTTAAAAAAGCCAGCCTTGATCTAAAACGAAAGAAAGAAAGGAGAAGCATATGCTACCAATGTTAGCCTTACTACGGCTTAGTCATTTTCACACTCTATGAGTTTGAAGAAGAGGTGAAATAGATTAGATTTGAATCAGAAAATACCCAAATGTAAATGTCCTCTTTCTTAAGCCAAGCTACTTTTCAAGATAAGTATCCACAATAAAGTAATAGTAGCTGCATACCAACAGCAAGAGTGACATACTCTAAAAATAAGAGGGCAAAGGCCATACTCAACACCAACTAATTATCATGTCAATGAGATAATGAATGATGGTAAAAGGAAAGCAATCTATCTATCATCTTTGTGACATATTTTCACGGAATGTTGAAATAATTCTTTTCAGAAATCGATTATTTGGAAAAAGAGTAATTCAGCAGATAATGAACATCGGTTATTACATTGGAAATCAAGAGAGTTTAAATATTACTAGAACTGGGTGAACTGATATGAGGATATGTATTAGATGGAATGATCTGGGTGATTGGATGGAAACCCAGTCTATCACTTTGAACATACCATAAGTGGGTCCGTAACGGAATTCATTTTCATGTCAAAGCTAATGATCTAATGTGATCTGTGCTTGAAGTGGGTGTTTCCTCACATTTGGAGATCCCGTTTAGAAAGGATACTCTACAATGTCGATTAATTCAATAGGAACTTGATATACGTGTGTTCAAATAATTGCAAGGAGAGAAATCAATCTCTAATTAAAAATAAAATCGAATGAAGATGCAATTTTGGCAACCAGCATGGTACAAAGTCTAGAATGCAAAATGTATCTCTAATAGAGGTATCAAGTTGATAATATTATGATATACTTGAAAGTTGCAAAGCGGCAATAACGGCCTTAAAATGAAGCAATTGTCAGATGTTGAGATCAACAACAACAACAACAACAACACCATATCGCTTTTAGCTTAACTACCAGCACGAATATCTGATGGTGTTACTACTCCACAATATTAACAAACTAATGTGTTTCGGCGATGTTTAGATCAAAAATCACTATCCTGACTTCTTACAAGCACTAAATTATCTGAGGAACATCCTATTTCTCGTCAAGCTCACAGTGCCATTGTGTACAATAGCTCCATGTAAATGAGCCAAGCAAGAAGGGGGGGTTTTTTTTTAGACGTTGTGGCCATTTTGTCCAATAAAGATTTTTGGTCTTGTTGTGTATGAGATCAAGGTTTGAATCGTTCGTCGGTAATTGGCTTGGTATAATAATCTGCGTATTTTTGTGTCAGTAGAAAAAAGGTTCTATGGCAAATTGTGGAGCAAAAAGACTAATACAACAATATGGAATCATTTGATTCCATGTACGACGCTATCACAACAATTTGTAAATTCGATTGTTTTTTATAGTATCTATACAATGTGCAACCATTCCACTGGTAAATTGAAGCCCTTTTTCCATGGATTGTTGACCTAAATTAGTAATTCTCATCAGACAGTTTCACCTTTGAGAAAAAATAAGGCGTATTGCTAATTAACAAATATAACATTAAACAAGGTACATTCCAAGGCGGGTTAACTTTAAAGAAATAGTACATAAAGTATTTTATTCAGAAAAAAAAAATCATTAAAGAAAAGCATGAAAGTAGAAGAATGAATTTTATACAAGCTCTCTCAAAAAAAGAGAGTAAATCAAATGGGTGTGGGGTAGCATGGGGGGATCATATGGTTTGTAGTTCATAAATGTGAAGCATATCATGTATTTAAAAGCTATAAAACATATCAGTGTTGTAGACAATACCATCACCACGGACAAATAAAAGAGGAATCTTGTGATGTTGAGTGTCGTTATCGAAGAACGATGTAGGACTATCCATTAATTCCTGGAGGTCAGGGATAGAACAAGAAATCGATTCCCGAGACTTGTAATCTGTACGAGGTGCCTTTACATCACCAAACCACACGGATAAGTCGCGTGCAAAGTTCTCTCCTGTCAAGTGCAGCATTTGCTGAATGTTGGCGTTATGAACAAGCTGGTTGCCGGTGACAGACAAGATGGGGAATGGTGTAATAGGGCTGGCAGAGACTGTGTTGTTGGCGAAAGGCGAGTTCAAATCAACAATGGCTGGTGGTGTATAGAATTTGTAAGTTGCACAATCTGTGCCAACAATCGTCCATACTGAAACGTCGGAAACATCCTCTGTCCAGCAAGCGCCATTTGTGTGATAAATACCACTGTCTGAGCTGACGCTGCCACGACGATCAGAGGAAAGACTGCTACGACGACCAGCGCCTGTATTCTCGTGCTTCACCAGTAAACCATCGTTGAGCGAGTTGACACGACGACGGTTGCTTGGATTATTCTTCATGATGGGCATAGACATGGGCTTTCCAGATACATCGCACGACACTCTTCTCTTTCTAGTCATCTTTCCTCCACCCGTCTCCAATGGCTGTTGTGGTTGCTGCTGTTGAAGTTGCTGGTGTTGATTCATCATGTTGTAGCCATCAAATGTGGACTCGGCAGACCAAGAAGACGACAGCAGTGAGGATTCGATGGGCATGTTGTTGTGGCTATTCAATGCAGAGGTGGAGGTGGAAGCTGGAGGCGCAGGAGGAATAGGACGAGGGGCAACAAAGCTTCTTTCAGTGGTTGTCTTATGCATACCAACGACGTTGTCCAAACAGGCGAGATAGGTCACAGCTTGACTTGTCTGAGGCAAGGTCCACTCGGTAGTCGACAAGTGCTGAGGCAACTGGTAGTGTCTGTAATTGGCCTTGTTGTTGTGTGCAATGGATGGATCTTGGACGATTTGGAAAGCAATTTTATGAAGTTGAGAAACGGGGTCACCCAAGGCTTCATCACCACATTCACCACCAGTAGGGCCAGAGAGATCATCAAGACGATTTCCACCCATGATCATGCTGCCTTTATCCACCTTTCTAATCACCATAACAGGGCTTACTAAACCTGTGCTCACACACTGCAAGACAACAGTCTGGTTGTAGTGTAATGCAATGGGGGTTTGTCCAGGCGTTGTCTGCATGGCAATTGCTGGAGGAGGAGGGAAATGAGGGTTGTCAGGGTGATGTGTGAGTTGCTGTGGTTGTTGTTGCTGACTATCAGGCGAGCGAGTGGTGTCTACAATCCAAATGACAAATGGATCCCAAGAAGCGGTTCTAGCGACAAAGCAGGTGCCAGCGTTGTTACTGCTGCCATTGCTGTTAGTGGAGACACCCAAGTACTTGGTTGACACGGTTTGAGAGCGAATACGATTAAACAGAGAAATAGTTGTTCCATGATGGATGCATACTAAAATAAGTTGTTGTTATTGTTGGTTACACTAGTAACTAAAAGGCGTTTTTGTTTGTTTAAGCACTTACGTTCCATGTTCTTTACGCTTTGTCTCTTCTTTGATGGCTTGGAGATAACCTTGATGCCCTTGGAGACAAACGAGCCAAGATGAACACCGTTTCCAAGGCTGATCTTAACAAACACCTCGACTCGCTTTCGCTTCTCGTCTGCATCGTTGATATGCAACTGTTTAGATACACAGTTTCCTGTCACGCCTGCTGTATCACCAGGCATAATAGAGTTAGCATCAATTACAGTGTTGTTGCTGTTATGCCATTCAATCACTCCGTTCTGGCTCGTCTTTTCACCCGAAATTTGGACCACCAGGCTGGGAGGTAGAGGTTTTGTAGATAATGAGGTCGCAGAGCTGTTTGTATGCCATGATGCGCCAGAAAGCACGGTGGATGGTGGTGGACACAAGAATCTCTTTTCAGTACCATAGCTCTTTTGTGCTACTTTACTTGTGAGGATAATCACTTTTCGTTCATCTTCAAGGGTACCAAGATACTTTTGAATCAAAGGCTTCATGATAGACGCATTATTGTTGCCTTGGATGATGCGGGAGTTGATGGTGCTATTGCGAAGTAAGTTGGTATCAATGTCCTCATCCTCTTCCTCTGGGATGGAGGGGTGTTGCTGCTGATATAAAGAGGTCATGGAAGCAGAGGGAGGCGATGGTGTAGATATCATATGCACAGAGGGCGATGAAGGCGATGTAGATGATGTGTTTGTGGATGTTGTCGATGATTTTCTCTTTACCACATTGCTATTTGCGGCAGGAGTTGTTGTAGGTTGATTTAAAAGCCAGTTTGTAAGGTTATGAACATCGTCACCTGTGCTGATAACAGATGGTGTGATTGTTGATGTGGTTCCTGTTGCTGTCGTTGCTGCTGCTGCTGCTGCTGCTGCTGCAGTGACTTGTGGAGCCGAAGTAGACATCATAAAGTCATGGATCATATCATCAGAGAAGTGGTGATTCGAATCAAACATAATATCGTCATCCTGCTTTAGTGCATCCAGAAAGCTAGGAGAAAAGAAGGCGGGCGTGGTGGGTGAAGCAGTGGAGATGGAAGCACGGTGCATATCGATAGGCTGAGTAGGTGTGTCCAAGCGCAGAGACATGGCACGACGATGAGGCATGACATCAATGTTGTTGTTATTCTGCTGAATGGTAGAAGCACCAGAGCTAGAAGAAGACCAAGATGAAGGCAGAGAGGCGCCCAGAAGCTGCTCTAAATCATGGTAGCCGTGTGGTTTATTGAATGAATGAAAGTGCATTTCGCCCACCGTGACAGAGTGTCTTCTGCTGCCAGCATTAACCTGATCAGGATGTTCATGCGGAGCAGTGCTGAATACGGACTCCATGTTGAAATCATGATGCTGCTGAGGATGATGATGATGAGACAATGGTTGTTGCGGTGAATTTGGCGATGAGTAAACAAAATCAGACCAATTTTCTTGCTTTCTTTTGCGTGTGGTTGTGTTATCCGTTGCCATGATAAAGTTGGGATGGAGTAAGAGAAAAGAAAAGAAAAAGGGGATCTTCCAAGAGTCCGTTTTTTTTATACCATCCAGGAATAAACCCCACATTTAAAATTGATATAAACCAATCATATATATCTTGTTGTACCATCTGAAACGCTCTTTCTTAACTGGTTGTATCGCTTATATATATGAGTGTTGGTTACACATCTCAATATGCGGGGCGCAAAGGTTGGTTGCTGTTTGTACAAATAGTAAACAAATGCCTTTCCTCTCTCTCACTCTCTCTCTTTGTCAGTTGTTGAGGAGACCCCCGTAGAGTGTGTATTTACCATCCAATGTCCTATCCCCCCCCCGCCTCGCCACATCTTTCTCTAAAATACCTTAACTGAACAATAGCATAAAAACCTGACCAATTAGTATTTAGGCTATTTTGGTTACAAATTTGTGAAAATGCACCAGTCTGAGGTCGTAACCCTTATTGGAAAACCTGGAAAAATAATGGCTCAAGTTTGCATGATTTTGACTGAAAAAGGACAGTAACATCCACCTTGTTTGATTAGTCAATTAGACGATGATCCCCTCTCGTTTTGCAGCTCCTCTTACATTTGGGAGGTCATATTGTTGAAATCTTATTTTGTGGTCTTAGTATCCGCAGTAGGAAATAATGGAAGACCAATGCCTGTCCATATTAAAGGCCTTGGGTGCCTTTGACTACGCTGCTGCCAACAAACTCATCCTCAAAGCCAGCAGGATCTACCAGCCTCTAGGCAGCATCTTCACCAAGCTATTCAGCTGCGAAGCCTCATTCACTCAACTGCAATTTTTGCGTTCAAGATGGTTTGTGATGCGAAAAGACACCTCTTTGGAGGTTGTTTATGCAAACATTGCCAGCGAATTGCCCAAAGAGATACTCAACATTGTGTCTGCAACAACTCTCTCGAATCAGGACAAGAACAGTACCATTGTCATCATGGATGCCTTGACGAAATTCTGCCACATTAGACGCGATATGATCAACTTGTATCAGTTGATTCTCGCCCAGTCCATCAAAGGAGAATTTGATGAGATCCTAGTCGAAATGGAGTCCATACAAAAGAAGACCATGGAGCTGAATCTTCAAAAAGATCTTGCCCTGCTTGGACTCGGCGTGGAAAAGGAAGTGAGCATTTTGACGTGCCTCATTAGAGCCAGGACAGCCATCACCAATTACGCCTTCCAAGATGCTTGCATTGCTCTGTATCAAACAAAACAAGACTTGACTGACTGGAAACGACTCTGCCAAGAACAAGATTACCCCGAGAAATCATCTAGCAGACCAGATGAGATCAAGGAAACATCAACATGGCGATTTCCTTTATTTGGAGGGGGGCAATCAGAGGTTTGTCACTTTCTAAAGCCCTATGGAAAAAATTGGAAACTCAATGGAAGCATTCATAGTCTAAAATACACCATAAACAAGGAGATGTTTGGCCAAACACAATTCGATGGCATGCAAGAGTACTTGGAAATCTAACTGCAAAAATGACATTGTTCTTCAATACCATATTATTAGAAAAAGAAAGTGTTGTGAGTGATGAGAATCCTGAGAAATCGCTGTGGAAGGGACTGACGATTGATTACTATGAGCAGTGAGTGTGCCAATAACACAGGCCCCATAGAGGGAAGTACTAACATGCATACATTTCATACAGGATATGTACGTTTAAAAAGAAATTCGGTGCTCACAGCGTCAGTTTGGTGTATGAAGTAACAGCAGATACACCGTTTTATCCACAGGGATACGTGTGTCCAGGTACAACTTACGAGGCACCGCAAGGCATACATTCATTTCCATTCATCTACTGTCACCCAAAGGTATGTGAAAGAGTTTATATAGGATATCATGCGTTAAGCAAGGGTTATAGGAACCACCCAACAAGCATCTTCCCAACATCATCTCCATCATCCAAGGCAGCAAGCACAAGCTGAACGATCCCAAGACTGGCCCTATTTACTTTTTCGACAGCACCATTGGCAGCACATACTATCTAATGCGTATCGACAAACATGCAGTGATGGTGATTATATATCTAGATAAACATGCGCATCGAGAACCAGCGACTATGGAATTCCTGACAAATATAGTCACCTCATTAAGAGGGAGCACTGTCATTGAAGAATTGATCAGAATAGATTGATTCGTGAACCATTGTGAGAATGTTGTTGTTTGTAATTGTAAAAATATGCCCTATATAACATGTTGATTTCTGTCTGTTTTCTGTAAATATACATATTCAGTTGTCCAAGTGTCTATATACAATATGCGTATCTCACTAGCCATTGCCTTTTCTGCCTTGTTGGTACCTGCTGCCTTGGCTGGCCCTTTTGTTCCAGTGCAACATCAAGATGTATCTACTCCACAGCAAGATGCATCTACAGGCGTTGTTTCATATATTAGGAATGCAATGCAGATGTCAAGTTTTCAGCGCAAGGTTATTGAAAAAGGGTAAACTATAACACTAATTGAAGTGCCTTGCCCATTTTAATTGCTGTGTGTATAGACATTGATGCATTTGGAGATCCAATGCAAGATGCGAGCAGCAGTAGTGCTATCCAGAGTGTGTCTTGTTAATGCATCAAGATGGCCCCAATTACATCTACGAGCAAGTTGATCCAGCATCCATGGTGGTATATAAAATCTCACACACGCCAGAACCAAGCTTTGTGTATCCTATTCAACCGCCACCACCTGCCTCATCTTCTGAGCCAGCGCAAACCACACCATCAGGACAAAACAAAGTGCAAATATCTGATGATCACTATTATTTCTCGCAAACGGATAGCTACACTATCCCAGATTTAGCTTCTCTCGTTCCTGATAGTCCTTTTATTAGAAATGGGCCAGAAATTCCAAACAAAGCACCACCAAAGATTGGATTACCCGTTGAATCTAGTTTTTCAGTTTAGTTTTGTATAAAAAAAAAATAAAATCGATTCAATTTGCTATTTCAAGACATCCGAGATGGCCATTTTCAGATCATTCCTGATGATTTCCAAAATATTAGATCTATATAAACAATCCGATCTCAACATTTCCCATGTATGATCCATAAGGGAATGTGTTTGCTCTTATAAGGTTGACATGGGAAATAGGTTTGTAGAAATCTTATGTGTGGCATGTATTCATCAGCATGTTTTTAAGGACTTCAACCTAGCAGTTAGTCACCAACATTGGAAAGTGATATTCATTGCAGATTTCAGGCCAAGCACATCTAATGTATTCAATGATATATACATTGGATTAAGGTAACTTTCTACATGTGGCCAGCAGTAATCGAGTTTACATCATGGCATGATAAATTTTTGGCACTTTCGAAGCCTTAAAAAGGTTTGAGTTTACAAGTATTTCGGTGGACTGGCGTTATTAGATGTAAGAATTCAATGAAATGCCTAGCAATTATCCTATTTAATTTGGTCCCTACTTTCCATCAGCGCTTAAAAGCATCTATTACTGTATTGCTTTCATGATGGACAGGGCATTAAGTTTGCCAGTCAGCCAGCCCCACCAGCCGCCAAAACTAATTTCAACTCAGACTCTTAGTCTACTCCAGATTGGCCAGATTTTCAAAGTTTTTCGACTTGATCGATCTATTTTATGATATTCGTTTTTTTTTTGTAGGGGAGTCGAGCTCCAGGTTTTATTTAAAGTCCTTTAAATGTCATACTGAGGGATAGAAAAGACTGTATTTTATGATATTCGACTATAAAAATTGTAACGATCATCAAATGTTTCCTAATACGCCCGTGGTGGTAGGGCGAAGTGGTCAAGCATCCAACATGCCATCTGGATGATCCCGGTTCAAATCTCAGTGAATGCATTTTGGTGACTATTTTGACGTAGCACTGATGTCCTCGTTTGGTGTTTTGTGCTCTTATCCAGTATCTATATTTTGACGATTCGCATGATTGTATTGGCTCTAGGTGTCGCACCTGATTAGTAGTAGATTTCTTTCCCAACTTGGTTCATTATATTGTATATCTTATTCCCCTTCATTGCAGACATTGGGTCCACCAACAGTCTTTTCTATCCCTCAGTATGACATTTAAAGGACTTTAAATAAAACCTGGAGCTCGTCTCCCCTACAAAAAAATGTTTCCTAATACATTCTTAGAGTACTTTTCAAGGCGCATCCAATGTTACCAAGTAAGATCAATGTTTTGAATAAACTTATTGAGCAATTTGGTAAAATATGAAATGAGGTTTTTGGCCAAAATAGCCATATTTTGCATATGAAAGCCTTATAAAAGCGGTTTCAGAGGTTGCTTTGGATAGAAAGAAACATTTTGAATTAATGCATACCATAGTAAAAGTCTTCATTTTCAAGGTGAAAAATTCGATCGTTTGGTTTTCGTAAAAAACCATGAGGTACTTTTTTTTTTAAATTGTTTTTATTGATTGCTCCGTGTAAGTAGGTCCCTAGGGCACTACCAAGAGGCAGGCGCAATTGATATAGTATTCAATTATATTTAGGATAAAGCGATAGATGACATGAACAGATGATAGATGACAATTGTGATTAGAGAATTACAATTGTTTGTGAATTTCAGTTTGGGCATGTAGTTGAAGGAGCTCGTTCTTGATCTGCTGGACCACCTCGATCCATGTAAATGGAGTCGAGTGAAAGATCATACGAACTTGAGCTCGCCAAATGTTGCCAAGTGTTACCAGTACGACCATGTGAGCAGTGGTGTACGATTTGGAAACATATTTGATGTTTTCAAAGTCAAGAGAGGAACAGGCTTGGATAATATCACCAATCGAAACGGTTGGCCACAAGAATTCAAAGATGATAGCTTTCCAGATGGATACCTTACTGGAACAGAGGAAAAGCAAGTGTACAGCATTTTCTTCGTTACCACAGATCGGGCAGAGAGGTGACTCAGCTACCTCAAAGTAGTGTAGCAGGCGTTTGGTCGGGATGGTGTGGGTGAGGAAGCGATAGATGACATTACGGTGGACAAGGTTCAGGGACAGAGACCAGAAGAAATTCCAGTTGGACCTGGCGATGCTGGAGGTGTGAGCCTCGATGCTTGCTGTGCGGAATGTTCTGGTTGAAATCTGTCGAGTGAGGCCATGCTGGCTGCTGAAGTCATAGGAGTCAATGAACGGTTTGAAGGAGATGTCGGTTGTGCGGTTGGTGCCACCCTGAGGGGTTGTAGCATGAGGTTAAAGTACGGTTGGATATGTACTTTGTTCTCGTTGATTTGCTTCAGGATTTTCTTGCAAGCGCGTCGAATGTCAGCTGGGATAGTTGGTGCTTTTCGTGCTTCGAGTTGCAGAGGTTGGTAAGGATTGGGTTGATAGAGATCCTTTACTTGCAACTGAGTGGCCCTAATACCATGAGGTACCCCTCAGCTTTTTGGTCGCTTTTTGGCCATAATTTTTTTTGGCTCAAAAAGTTGAGCAAAGATGTCAGGAAGTTACTGCTATTCAAGTACAATTGTTTGGCGTTATTCCAATGGCTCAAGATGGCCTACATGTCAAGTTATGAAGGCTTGAAAGCTGTCAAATTTAATTATGTTTTTGCTGTATAGTTTTTATTTACACGGCATGAATCACATCTTTGGTAGCTAGAAGGGCAGTTCTGCAGCCTGTGCAATTTCTAATTCGAGTAGGAGTCATATTGATTTCGGTAGGGCTAATTTCATGCAAATTTTGATGCGTTATGTTATTGATAAGCTTACTAATAATGAAAATGAGAAGCCAAAATTACTGCTTGATTACTATTGTACTAATGTTTTCACTGATCTCATTTTCCAAGTTGTCAATGGCAGTGTTTTCCTTGGACGTGCAATTGATTTACAATGAACTCTGAGATTTGAAATCACGTTCCATGTGTATTGCTTGCTTCTTGCAGTTGCTTCTCATATTTCACAAACTAACGACAGTGTTCTTTGTCGCTTGACCAGCTCCTCTTCCTCCACATCATCGCGGTCAGACACACGATCTCTTAATTTCATTTCAACGCTACATAAATAAATGAAACTTGTTTCAATTTGTTGCCGCCTTACAAGATCCTATTATTCATTACCATGTGATCTTCAAAGCTTTTTCAAAAACATCGACATAGCATACCTTGTTGCGTGTATCGAATACGGATTTTTTGGACGTGATTGAGCATCAATTTCTCTTTAAAGCTACTTGATTTTCTTCTCTTCCAAAGTAAACAATGACAGGTTTACCACGCATAACATATGGAAGTATGGAATGCGATGAAGCAGTTCATCCAGGTAAGCCAGTTCATTGTTAGGTGCGAAGGCTATCTCAGCTGCATTTCGCAGGAATTTGCAAGGTTGGCGATCTTCGCAGGAGATCAAAAGACAACCCAAGAGATCGGAAAGTTGCCTTGAACTTGTTGCCATGCAAAGTTTGTCTGAAAGGATAGAATAAAGTCGTAAATGCACCTGACTACAACATCGCTCAAGCATAGGAGAGTCATATTAGAATGAATAGCGGAGGAAGGTCTCAGTATACTACACGGTTTACAGTTGATTGTATACCTTGGCTCTATTACAGTCAATGTTTACTTCGCATCAACACTGACATTATTAGTCACGTACAGTTGTTTCCATTTTCATATCTCTTTTTTTTGGATTTTTCATTATTACAACGCAAGTTCTTAATTTTCTTCGTTGTTTATTACGCTAATTGTAAATTTACTATGTAGCTTTCAAATAATACGCAATAGCTTTCAAGCTCCTCAGCAATTTTCATTATATCGTGTACTAACCATTCTTTTTAGGCAGAAGAATGTTTGGCATTAAGCCTTCGTACTACCCTAGGGGGGGCTCATTGCCCACGTTCTTCATTCTTTCAGGTACCTTTGGAAGTTGTTTCTTTGGGATGTAGCTTAAAGAAGGGAAAGCTAAGAGAGAGCAGCCAAATATCCTTAAGATGTCGATTTCGGCATCTTGTTATTCTTTTTTGGAATTAATATTACTTTCACTTTCTTGTTGGCTAATCCTGTTAGTATTAAAATCAGAGCAATTTCGAGAAGCTAAGAAAAGCATAAGCATTGACGTTTCAAAGTAAATGATGAAATTAGATATACATATTTTGTATGTTGATTGAGCCCGGTATTTTCATTGTCTTTTCTTAAAAGAGCCTTTGTCAAACAGAGAGCTAGGAACAGTATTCTTGACTCAAAACCTGATTGATATTGTGCCAGAAAATGTGGTCCACTAAATCGATTTGCAAACGCTATGTTCCACTCATTATGCATACTCAAAAATGTCCCAGCATTGAAATTATGGTTTTATATATAAATTGAGCTTTATTCAAGAGCGTATGTATATAACTAACTTGATTTCTATCAGTTCAAAAGGTTCGAAGCTACCAGGAAAAGAAAGATGTTATACGCAATTTTCTAGTAGATCAGACAAACACAAACTTACTATGTTACAAATGGTATCTATAGAGTGCGATAGTCTCTCATCTTCAACGACAAAAGAAAATCTCACTTGTCTCGTGCTGTCAATGATGAAGGCTGATCTTTGAGCTAATCCAGTCTCGGAATTTATCATGTTGAAATGTCGAGATACTGAGCGAGTTTTATCTGATACTACGAAGGCTTAGTGGATGAAATCGATAATCATGCTAGATGACAGTATACCTAGAGGAAATGATGGTATAAACCCCAATGAGGGATGGCTGAGAAAGGCCTTATGAACCATTTCTGTGTCTGTTGACATGGCTAGAGGCAATGTGTTGAGTGATGCCAATCTTTCGAAATTATTGCTGTCATTATGCAATTAAGTAAATAAGTGTGAGTGACGAGCATGCACAAAAACTTACTGTATCAAAGCGAGATCTTTACAAGCTGTTGGTGTGCTAAGGCCAATTGAAAACATTAGACTCCATGTCCTCCGATCAAACAACTCGGCATGACTCACAAATCACATCCATAGAAAAACAAGACAATTGCTTTAAATCTCAAGAATAAATTTGATAACTGTAATCGTGAAATTTCATTGTGTAAGACGGCAGAACAATTGAAGTCTGGTGCAACCATGTTTTGTCGATTGAATTGCTGTGTCACTGGGTTCATCATAAGCAGAGATGTCGCTGTAGATGTTGAGTTTGCTTTCAATGTATTGTCTACTCCATCTTCCACCCGACGTCTTTTTCTGTTGGACACTTCACAATCAAGGGGTGCTGCTGTGAAGCTGTTTTCTGTCATCAACATGGTCATTGTTATATTCGAAGCTATGAGATGCTTATTGTAAGAAAAAGAAGAGGATCATCAGGAAAATTTTCTTTCTCCCTCCTTTTCGATATTTTTGTGACGGTGCAGGAGGTGTGTTTTTTCCATGAAAGCATCAAGATATGGCAGATGTCAACAATGTGAACCACAAACAAACATGCACAGTTGTATATTCGTTGTCTTGAATTGGGTCGCTTTAGCAATTGCATGTTAATAGCATCTGAAAAAATGTGATTTATCTGATTTCAGGTACCGTTACCATGGCAACATTTCCAGTGCTTGAGACTTTTGTAATCCAACATGTGAATCCAAGATCATTGTAGATCTTGTTGTGGCATTGCCATCGTCTTGAGTGTAAATCGAATGTATAAATCCAAAGTGTCCTTTAAAAGCTTCAAGAACATCTCATTCTTAAGTGTAATGATGCATCCAATGTTCGCATTAATTTTTGGTGACTGAATTTCTTTCATATCTCTGCTTAGTGGCGTTTTTTTTTATTCGCCAATTACCTTGATTTGAATTGAGGAAAAGGTTTTTGCTTTGATTTATCCATTTGACACATTTATAAAAGATGGTTTTGCAAGTAACAACTGCCAATAACGTCAAAGTCTACACAGTTTCTGGAGGATTAGGCTCTCGATCTATTCCTGATTGGCTTGTACGTCAAAAGAAGAAGGCATTGAAAAAAGATTTTGGTAAAATGTGGCATCGATACATTTGACATGTCGCAGTAGTAACTAACTGGATGCCCTACCGTAGATTTCCGTACAAGAGTGGAACTCATTCAAGATTTTGAATTTCCCGAAGCATCCAACAAGATAAAGACGACTCGTGATGGAAAATATGTTGTAGCAACCGGCACATATAAACCTCAAATGAGAGTTTTTGAATTTGCAGATATGTCAATGAAGTTTGAGCGCCATACTGATGCCGAAACACTCAATTTCGAGGTATGTTGTGTATTGCATCTTATGTCTACTGCATGTATACTTATTCAGGACATGGTAGATCTTATCCGAAGATTGGACAAAGCAAGCACTTTTACAAAACGATCGTTCAGTAGAGCTTCATTCACAAGGTGGTATTCATTACCGTACTCGTATTCCCAAGTTTGGTCGTGATCTTGCCTATCACTTCCCATCTTGCGATCTCATGGTCACTGCATCCGGATCTGAAGTATATCGACTCAATTTAGATCAAGGTCGATTTTTGAACTCTATTCAAACTGATTCAGAGGAAGGTGTCAATTGTGTGGAAATCAATCCAGCCCATCAGTTATTTGGCATGGGTACAGCTAAAGGCACAGTGGAATTATGGGATCCTAGATCCAAGTCGAGAGTGGGTCTTTTATCCAACCTGGAAGTGCCTGCTGCATATGGCAGAGACGATAACACAGCTTTGGAAGTATCAGCACTCAAATTCCGTAATGATGGTTTAACCATGGGTGTGGGTACTACTACAGGTCATACTTTGTTGTATGATTTGCGTTCCAGTGTGCCTACCATTGTCAAGGATCACCAATATGGCTTCCCTATCAAGACCATTCATTTTCACAAGGGCGTTGCTGGTGCTAATGATTCAGAAACGGGCGGTGATAAGGTCATTGTTGCAGATTGTAAGATTGTCAAGATTTGGGACCGTGCTAGTGGCAAGCATTTCACATCTATTGAGCCTGAAACGGATATCAACGATGTTACTACTGTGGAAGACAGCGGGTTGATTTTTACTGCAAATGAAGGTATTCAAATGGGCTCTTATTTCATCCCTCAATTGGGTCCTGCTCCTCGCTGGGCTTCTTTCCTCGAAAACCTTACAGAAGAAATGGAAGAAAACCCGAACCGCGACATTTACGACGAATACAAGTTTGTTACTCGCAAAGAACTTACAGCACTTGGTTTGGAGCATCTCATGGGTACCAATGTCCTCAAGGCCTATATGCATGGTTTCTTTGTCGATTTGCGTTTGTATGAAAAGGCTAGACTTATTGCTAATCCCTTTGCCTACGATGATTATCGCGAGCGTGCTGTCAAGGACAAGATTGAAAAGGAGCGTGGTTCTCGTATCCGTGCTGTCAAACAATTGCCCAGTGTCAACAAAGCACTTGCCAAGCAACTCATGGCTGAACAGAATGGCAGTAAGAAGGCCAAGGGCGGTGAGGTCTTGGGTGATAGCCGTTTCGCAGATTTGTTCGAAGATCCTGATTTCCAAGTGGACGAGAAATCCAAAGAGTTTCAATTGTTGCATCCTTCTACTGTAAGTATTTTTTATGCTGGTCAATTGCTTTCAGTCCACTCACATGTGTCCTCTTCCAGAAACAAAGCAGACATGTCAGATCTGATGATGAAGAAGAGGAATCAGATCAAGAAATGGGTGCAGTACACGATATGGACATGGAAGATGATGACGAAGAGATGGATCAAGATGATGACAGCGACCGTATGTCCGGTGGATCTGACAGCGAAGATGACATTGTGTCCAAGATTCGTAAAGAAAGAGGATTAGAAGTGCGTGACAAGAAGCAAGCATCAACTTCCATTCGATCAGGATCAAGAAACACCAGCACCAAGAAGCGTGGACCTGATATGCGTATGGGTACAGTGGGAGGCAGAATGACAAGCAAGAGTGAGAGCAAAAAATCCTTCGGATCCAGATTACAATCTCAAGAGAATCGCCGCAAGAATGATGGCCATAATATGTCACGTACAGCCTTGGGAGGTATGGAGATGTCCTTTACACCTCAGTCATCAAAGAGCAAAGGTGGAAACAAGGATAATAACAAGCACAAGAATAAGCGTCGTGCATAAATCAATTATACATATACTATTATACATTATCTCATTTTTATTAGACTCTTTTGCTTTTTCTTTCTATTATATATCATTCCCTCTTATTGTACAGTTTTTTTCACTTGACTATCAGATTTAATAAATCAATACATTTTCTGTCCATTGAAGTTAAGCTCGAGTTTTTTGTGTAAAGGCGCCAACTCTGATTCAGAATGGGTATTCCAAGATCTCAGCTAGATATGCGGGGAAGAGAGTATTCCAGGCATTTGCGTGCTTGTCAGTATAAAATACGAGTGCTTGAACAAAGGCAGAGAACTATCCCACGTAGCGGTTGTTCGCCTATCATGGAAATATTGCACAAATATTAGCTTTTTAGCTCTACTACTGCATGGGGAACTCTTTAAAAACACGATACAATTATAAATCCAGCACTTTCAGGGTGCCTCCCGTCTGTATCAAAAGAAAAATCCAAACATGGTCATATAGCATAACAGCACTGCTTCCTACCATTCCAAAATTACCAAATCATAGCAAAATTTGCACACATTTGAGCACTGATTTCTCATGCTAGAAGCCACTCTGAGCTGCCAGAATAGCACCAAGCAGTTGCTCTCGCCTAGCACTTGCTTTCTGACGCCTTCGCTCAACTTTTTTGAGATCGTCAAAAATCGATCAAAAAGCACAAGGTACCCCTCATGACTTTCATCGAAAATAAGGTGATAGTATCTCGCCAATCTTGTTCAACCTGGCCATTGAGCCGTTCCTACTCTCCATAGCCAACAATGTGAACATCTCAGGATACAACCTGCAACACGTCAAGCTCCCGCACCAAATACAGAACCCATGGATATCTCCTGCTCCCATCAAGGTCCTCGCGTACGCCGATGATGTCCTGTCCTTTGTGAAGTCGCAAGCTGAATTAGTTGAGCTCCAGGATCGACTCAGAGTGTACAATCAAGCCTCCAATGCCAAGATCAATTACAGTAAATCCGTCGCCTTCCCGCTGCACGGTGGTAAGATGAAAAATACTGATGGCCAACAGGTCAAACGTTATGTCACTACTCAACTACGTATAAAATGGTACGAAAGTCACTCCACGAGTTATATCAAGTATCTTGGATACCCACTCTGATTTGCTAATCACCAACGCGATGTCTTCGTCTCAGAGCTACTGGGCAATATCAGGGTCATGACTAACATCTACGGGTCTAGAAAGGTCTCACTCTACGGCAAGGCCAACATCGCCAACACGCTCATCCTCTCCAAGCTGTGGCATGTTATCCGAGTTGTGTCGCTCCCTCAAGAGGTTTTGAAAAAGATCAAGTCCACCATTTACCAATTTGTGATGTCCGGTTTGTTCCCATCGCTCAAGGCAGACTCATTCTTTCTACCTCGTGATCAAGGCGGGTTAGGCCTGATCGACATTGGAGCACAACAAAAGTCGTTACAGTTTCGATACCTACGAGTCTTGCTACTCGGTAACCATGGTCGCCTACCTGGCTTCACATATCAACTGCTCACTCACGCACTTCGTCTCACAAACGACGTCGCTCATCATGCCCTGCCTCTCTTGTTTCCATCTGCTCGCTACAAGAATACGCTGAATGGTCTTTATCCATTTCTATCGATGTTCAATGCCATGGACATCTGCAGCCTTCACAGAGACTGGGATAGACACCCAACAATCACTACCATCATGAGTCTCCCCCCCAAAATCGCCGATCCACAACTTATCTACAACTCAATTATGCACTTCAAACTGAAGCATTATTATATCTACAATTATGACTTACACATCACCATATATGACCTCTTTGCCACCATTATGCGTACTATCTGGAGACACCATTACCAACAGTTTTACAACCTCATCCCTTTTAATGCCATCCAAGTCTGTCGCCACATCCGCACAGAACTGTTAAGATTGTCAAATCTTAGGCAACTCTCCCATTAGTTTATTATTCAAGATTTACATATGGCAAGCCACTTTGTCTCCATACACTTGTCCATCTCTTTGATGCATTTGTTTTATTTCTAATTACTATTCTAATAAAATAATATCATCCAAAAAAAAACTTTCATCGAAAATCAAACGATCGTGTTTTTGACCTCAAAAATGAAGGTTTTCACTATGATATACGAGCCTTTCAGCACTTCGGGTGGTTTTCTGACCTACGCTTTGCTTCGGTGGAAACCAACCTACGTTCAAACGGCTCGCGCTGCCGCGGGCCTTTGGCTAATATCCCAAAATTAATATAGCTAAAATGTTAGAAGAAGAACCCTGATTGTTGATTGATATATAATCACTAATCATATGAGTGTTTATGCTTCGGATGTTTCTCACCGAAGCATAGCGAAGGTAGCGAACCAACTTGCACAGCAACAGCTCGAGCTACCGGTTATCCTTGTGTATCTTATCATAATACTACTACGTTCAAGCTGACCCTCTACTTGCATATGAAAACCCTTTATAATATCTGTGGATCTGACTCTTATCTGATGCTCTACATCCATTTACACGTAGCTACTTCATATACGGGCAAGTAGCATACTGGTATTTCCACTTTTTAGTCCTTAGTATCCATAATACAGCAAAATTTGAATGCATTTGAGCTGTGTTTTCTCGCGTCCAAGGCCGTTTTAGATTGTCATAATAGAACCAAACACTTGCTCTCATCTGGCAGTTACTTTCTGACACCTTTGCTCGACTTTTTGGGGATCAAAAAAACATGAACAAAATTCGACCAAAAAGCATGAGGTACCCCTCATGGTTTTCATCGAAAGTCAAACGATCGCGTTTTTCACCTTGAAAATGGAGACTTTTACTATGATATATCTTGAATCAAAATGTTTCTATTGATCCAAAGCAACCTCTGAAATCATCTTTGTGGGACTTTGATATGTAAATTTTTGACATTTTGGGCAAAAACCTCATTTCATATTTTCTAAGATTGCTCAATAAATTTAGTTAAAACAACTACTTTACCTTGTACTATCGGATGCGCCTTGGAAATTACTCTTAGAATGCATTAGGAAGTGTGGGATGATCAGTAAAGTTCATATAGTCGAATCCTACAAAATAGCTCAATCGAGTCGAAAAAAAAATAGAATCTGGCCAATATGGAGCAATTTGGTAAATCGACGTTTGAATCAATTTTGGCTGTTAGCAGGCATTGTCTAATTATTATGAGAGTAAATGTTGCTTTTGAAAGCCCATGGGAATGAAATTGTGCATTAAATAATACTATTGCTCAACCCAGCTACGTAAGTCGCCTTTTTTTTTTGTATGGTTTTATACCTGGTAATGCCAGTCTGACTGGATTACCAACGAAATATTCGGTGAGCTTGATTTCCATATTTAGGCCTCTGAATGTGCCTACCAACGATAAGTTCAGGATACGCAATTTCTTCTACTAACATAATAAACAGCTAATAATACATACAGCCCGGGTTTCATTGATAGATGATGTATGTAACGAAAAGAAAAGCCCCCAATTTACGAGATTGACCTTGGGATTGTTTGTATAAATCAAAGCACAACAACATTGGAGATGGCCTGGATGCAGTAATGAATAATAGATGCAATCTCTTCCTACGAAATAAGCATTTCATGTAAAGTATAAGCACTGTTTGATTTTTCAGAGAGGCAAAGAAGCGACAAGAAACTCAAAGTGATGCTGCCAAAACTAGCGTAATATATGGACTTTTTCATATGCCTTTGTTCACACACGAGCAAACTTTCCATCAAAAAGGTCATACAATAAACGTATCTTTGATGTAGATGCGACTGATAAATTTCTCATCCTTCTTCTTAAAAATGAGAATATAGTTCACCTGCACATTGTAATAAGTAGAAACATCAGATAAAAAGGACTGGTTGGACCAGATATCAAGCTTTTATATGTGTATCACTTTCGTAGCCCAGAAAAGAGCAGCTGTCCAGCAGATAGATATAAGAGACTTATTTATCAATGCAATACAAAAAACTACGTATATAAGGGGATCAAGTTTCAAAGATGAGTCTCTCCACCTTCTTCATCTCATCTTTCTACAGGTGTACTTGCTTCACGCAGCTGCTATAATTGTCTCAGGAGCCGATAATCTTTTGCTTACTGATCTTTCTATACGCATGCGTACCCATAACCCCTGTAGACGAGTCTGGCTTGGAAGGTGATTTCGCGTCTGCTGCGTATACTGGATTTCATTTCATACTACATTCATACATTTGCAGGATGTCCGCAAATGCACACACGTACTCTCCAAGACGACCTCACTAATCAGTGGACGGACAAAGCATATATGAAAAGGTTCACTTGAAATCAACCTACCGCATATAAAATTTACTTAAATTCAGGAAGCATGATGATTAATGTGTATGTTTATTAAGCGTGTTTTACAATGTGTATGTATGCAATTTAAAAAAAATCAATTATTGTTGTGATATACAGATAGCATGAGTCTTTGCTGTTGATGAAAGCATCGATTAGACTTTGCCGTTTTGCTTAGCCATAGCTTTGAGACCATCTTCTAAGCTGTTGGTCTTGGCAAGCTTGTATCCAGAGAGATCAGGGAAAATGGCAGCAGGAAGACGCCCTTCATTGCAGGTTGAGAGAGTAGCTGCCTTGGTACGAGCTTTCTTGGATGAGCAAGTAGGGGCTGCCATACTAAAACAGATAAATGTAGCAATAATAGCAAGAATGAAGAATGCGCGAGCAGCCACTGTGTTATATTGAATAGTAGTAATGTTGATGGAGGATAAAAGTGAATATGTTGCCTTTTTATATGCAAACATGATCGCTCCCGTTTTTGCAAGTTTTTGGTCTGTGGCATTGGAGATGTGCAAATAAAGGTTTTGGATGGATTCAAGGCACGAATTTTGGGTAAATCATAACGACAACCATCTTTTGTTCCTGAGACTTGAATAATCCGTCTTGCTGTAGCACTCTGTCCTGTAGTGTTGTGGCTTCTATGTACGACATGTGTAGTAGAGTCAATTTTTAACCTCTGATTGTCAGCATATGGCAACTGTAACATATACCAATGAAGTACACACTATTCAATTCCATAGCACGTACATGAAAATGCTCAGTGAAGCATGGCCTGAACGATGCGGCTCCAAAAGCGCTTCTTTTCGAAAGGAGACAATATTTTACGGTGGTTGTTTGAAATAACTCATTGAACAAGCAGAAAAAAAAGTGCTTCAACCATGTTGTTAATTTACTGAATGTGGTAAACGGCATTCACGTTGATCTGTGGCGCTTCTATTCAAGCCATCGCTCTGATACATGTGCACTCCTTTATGCATTCCTCGGATTGCTTTACAGAAACAGGTGATGGTATAGCTAGCTGAATTGTTGAGGGAATCCACCCTCGGTTCGTCCTTTGTAACAGAGAATAGCTAAATATATAACTGTATTCTGGGTGTCAGATGCCACAGAATATGTTTTCAAACGATAATGGTACACATTTTATTATTGCATTTGGTGTTAGTCAACCAAACCAGCTTCTTTACATAAACTATAAAACAGAGAGCTGTGATTAGCTATCAGATTCTTGGGCGAGTTAAACTCTCCAACAGTGCCTTCATCCAATACAAGAATTCTAAGACAGTGGTCATTTCTTCTGCTTTTAACATGTGTGTATATAAGGTGCTTACCTATCGGAATCCATGACAGTATTGATTCTATGAGCAATGGTGAGAATGGTGCAGTTGACAAACTGTCTTCGAATGGTTTCTTGGACGATGGAATCAGTCTCAACATCAATCTATTGTCAAGTGCATGAGTATCCAGTACCAAATCATGTTATAGATACAATACGTACAGCAGCGGTTGCTTCATCTAAAATCAAAATTGTTGTTCTACGCAGCAATGCTCTTGCAAGACAGATGAGCTGTTCACATGTGTTAGTATGCAACCCCTGCAATTGAGAAGCGACTATATACCTGTCTTTGGCCTACTGAAAAGTTGTCTCCACCCTCCAAAACCACGCCGTTCAATTGCCCATCCATGGCAGCAACATGGTCATTCAAGTGAGCATTCTGCAATGCTTGCCATATCTGAATATCATCGTGCGCACCAAAGGGATCCAAATTCTCTCTCACTGTACCCGCAAACAACACCGGATCTTGAGGGATAATGGTCAATCGTGAACGCAAATCAAACAAGCGCAAGGAAGCAATATCCACACCATCAATAATGATGCTTCCCCTTGCTGCCTCAATGATACGGAACAAACTCAAGCTCAAGGAGCTCTTACCAGCGCCTGTACGTCCAACAATACCAATCTTCTCCTTTGGCTCCACAATAAACGACAAATTCTTGAGACAGAGGTCGAGACCGTCTCTGTAGCGTGTGGAATAGCCACGAAACTCAATCTTTCCTTTGGCTGGCCACATGGGATCCACACTGCGGGCAGATTCATACTTTTCACGTGGCAGATCAATGTACTCCTTGACACGCTCCACAGACACAATGTTGGTTTCAATATCGCAGTAGGAACGAATCACCCAACTGAGCGCTTGAGTGACACTGAGAGCATAAGAGACACTGAGGCCCACTAAGCCAGGATCAATGTAAGATCTGGGACCATACAAGACACCAAACACAGCAAAGATGGATGAGCCAAAGATGATGATGGACCCCAAGAACTCCAGTCTGACAGCAAGCCAACGATTGCATGTAATGGATGGAAAGTAGGCTCTTTGGTTGTTGTCTAACCGATACTGATTTTGAAAAATAAAGGCACGCTGTTGTTCGTAAGCTCTGATGGTAGAGACACCTTGGATAGTTTCCTGAAAGTGTGAGTAGATGGGGCTCTTACCCACAGAGTCTAAGCGCTTCAATTCGCGTGATGTGGCAAGATAGTAGCGCTGTACTGCCATGTACACAAAGGCCAGAGGAATGACCAGCAGCAAAAAGAAGGGCGTTGAGAAGGTGATAATGAGCACAGTAGCCACGACTTGTGCAAACACACGAATGTACATGTTAAAGTTGCGAGGCAGGACCTCATCAATAGTATGTTCGTCTTTGCTAAATCGATTGAGAATTCTTCCCAGGGGTGTAGTATCAAAGAAGGACATGGGCGACTTGACCACGGACTCCAGCATGCTGCTATGAAGGTATCGAGCAGAGCGAATAGCGCAAAACACCCACATGAACATGGTTTGTAAGAAGGCAAAGATGGTGGCTGACCAACCGATTAGTGCATAAATACCAAGGTACAGCCAAACGTTGTTGTTGGCGCCGTCCTGTGAGTTGTTGCTACTCCAATGTTTGAGCCAGATATTGGACCCAACCTGAGAGCCTTGAGAGGCACATTGGAATGCGAGCACAGCTACCACGCCACCTACTGAGCAAGCCTTTGCATACTGCTTGTAGACATCCCAATCTACTTTGCCCTTGGCGCTTTCTTCCACTGTCATCAATTGGCCCGTACGGAATATGTCTGTCTTGTTCTTGCTGCGTTGAGGTCGAAAGATGGACGAGGCCAGAGACCCGCGTCTCAAGGTGGTTTGGCTTAAAAGGCTACTGAGACTGATACGACGTTCACTTGATCTACGACGAAGCATGTCTTGATTGATGGAAGACTCTTCCTCACTGTTGCCGATACTTGCAGAGTGCTCTGCTTCCATGGCTTCCAAGGCAGTATCATCAATGCTTGCAGGAGTGCTGCTCAACACTACATCGGCACTATCATCTCGCACTTCTTCCCTGTGCAATTGACTACCATATTCGCTCACCAACTTGTGCAGTTCACCGCTCTGTTCAGCCATCAATTCTGCGTAGGTGCCTTGCACTTGAATTCTGCCATTCCGCATCATAATGACTTGATCAGCCTTGTCCAGGTAAGCAATAGCATGCGTAACCAAGAGTCTGGCTTTGTTCTTTAGCAAGCCATGAGGGCCTAATACATGATCAAACAAATGACGGCCGACATGGGCATCCACAGCACTGAGAGGGTCGTCCAGAATGTAAATGTCTGCTCTAGCGTACAGAGCACGAGCGAGAGACACACGCGCCTTTTGTCCACCAGACAGGTTGATGCCTCTCTCTCCAATTTCAGTTTGATCGCCATCCGACAGCATTTTCATATCCAATTTCAAAGAACACGCCTCCAGCACCTGCTCATAGAACACAGGATCCCAACGAAGACCAAATGTGATATTGTCTCGTAACGTAGCATTCATGATCCAAGGCTGTTGAGGCACGTAGGCAATGCTACCACGCAGAGTTACTTGACCACTGACCTTAGCTGTGTCGCCTAAAATAGAGCTGACTAGTGTTGATTTACCAGATCCCACACGACCCACAACAGCTGTCAATGTGCCCTTCTTAAGTGCGATATTGATATTATTGAGATCGTTCAAGTTCTCTTGTCTGTTCCACTTGAAGTTTGCGTTCTTGAGTTCCACCAGAGGGACACTGGGATTCCAATTGGGCATCTTTCTGAAATCTTGTCTGGTGATAGCACTAGAGTCAATCTCTTCGCTGGACAGATAGTCTTCAATACGGTATAGAGACACAGAGGCTTCGATGATGGATGTAATGACATTGGGAAAAATAGCCATTGGAAACTGAAGCAGGCCGAAAAGCGAGATGGCTACAAAGGCAATTTGACTAGTCAGTGGAGTTGCTGTTATCATGACATAGAATGCAAAAGTGAATATAGAAACAAAGAATGGAATTGATGTCCAAGTGAAGCTTTGTGCTGCTGAGAGCAAGCCAATTCTCTTGAGCATGGCTAGTTCGAGATCATTACGAATAAAGCTGACCTAGTATTCATAGAATGGCAATGATAGTATTAGTAGGGGTATCAAAAGTCTATTTAGATCACCCACTTTCTCTATAAACGGCAGCTCCCAGGCATACAACTTGATGACTTTGATGCCATTAAGGATTTCATTCTGTAGACTCACTCAATTAGTAATTTATTCCTTCTCACTTTCATGAGCACTGCCTTACCATCAGCTTTACTCTTGCGTCTTTGTTGTCCATTTGAGCCTTTTGGTATTTGCGCATTGTCTTTGCAATCAGCATATTCAAAGGAATGGCGAGGATCAGCACAGTGACACCTGCCCAAATACTAGGACCCATTGTTTTCCATAGCAAATACAGAGCAATAGTGATTTGAAATGGCCCACTCCATCCAATGTGAAAGTAAGTACACAAATCCATCAAACGCTGGGCATCAACGCTCATTCTGTTGACAATCTACATGCATAGCGTGTTTAGACACTAACTCAGGCTTTTAGTTCCCTAAGAAATGTATACATACCTCACCCACGGTAGATTGCTGTCGGCTGGCATTACTGAGAATCAAGGTCTTTTGATAGATGGCAGTGACCAAAGCTGCGCGCATCTTCATACCAGTAGTAAAGCACAGCTGAAAGTACTGATGCAGAAACATGGTTTGTGCAAATGCCGTCAAAAACATGCCAACTACAGAGCTATTTGTTAGTAATTGTAAGATTCTATTGGGCAAATCAATTGTTACCTGCAATAAAAACACCTCTGTATCCAGGCTCAGGGGCATCTGTCAAATAGCTGCCTACCCAGCCCATCAGCTCACGGAGCAACAAGGGCTGTGTGAATTGCAATATATCTTGAATAGCTTTCAGTGCCTACATCACTATTAGCTTCAGTTGTTTCTATAGATATTTCATCATCTTACGGCTGCAAAAAGAAACGGCCCTCCCAAGGTAAAGACAAGTGCTCGAAATAACGATGGCCTATACACACATGGAATCATTAAATCAAACTGCGGCTCCTCTGTTATAGCTGGCCTTACTTTTCTTTTTCCATTTCCCTCTTCCAATGCTTTTGAAATCGTTGTCCAACCACATGCGTTTCGTCTTCATACTTTAGATTCCTATGACAACACGCATCAGTCTCATATGACGACTAGAAGCTGAAGCATTGCTTGTACTACCAGAGATCTTCCATGACCAAGGGACTTTTGTAACCCAGTTGCATTAACGGTGTCATCCAGCTAAATGTCAATCTCCCAAAGATATTGGTCTTTTCTTCCGGGCACTCCATCTGTTTTTTTCTCTCATTCAGCTGTTATGTTTCTAGCTATTCACACACACACCAAGCACCTACCTCGTCATCCTGATCTTGTAGCATGATATACTGACTCTGCGGCCTAGGCACCAATTCCAATATAAAAATGATGATGGACAGTGCAAATCGGATCAAATACATGGCGAAATGATCTGGGTGATTGCTTGTTTTGCCATGACTGATGATCATGGTGCGCAGCTTGATACAGCCTGCGACTATCTCGAAGAGCCAGTAAAACAACAATACTCCAGATGATATCTTGTTCCGAGTGTATTCTAAATGATGCAAAACAATGACAAATACCTGCAAACAAGCGGTTCAGTGTACATGCCAGAGTCCTCCCGACTCGTAATATAACTCACCAATACCAGCACATTGAATCCCTGTGCTATAATCTGTGCGTTGTCAAAGAGGGATGGTGCCTCTTTTATCGAAAACACAAAGCTCGTGGCTGCCATGAGAAATAGAATAATCAAAGCACTCTAGGGGGCGGCCATGTTACACACTGCAAACCATACTCAAACGGAAATGCCTTACCATTTTCACAAAATACAGCCAATTTCTGGTCGCATCTTTGGATAGATGTGTGCGCTTCGATAGCATCCACACTCGGATGATACCTGCTACGAGAATATAGATGGAGGGTATCAACATGACCACACTGTGTTTGTGTCAGTAGAATGTGCAGAGGGTATGTACATGTGAAGGATGCCTACGTGTCCTCAAAGCAAGGTGTAAAGTCTGGTTGTCGTATCGATGAGAGCGGCCCCTATTCTCCCCCATGTTGCATTAGTAATGCAGTACACCACCACCTCGCAAATGACTTACCCATCCCTCAGGGTTATAGCACATGTTGTCTGAGCTTGGTATATGTTCAGGCTTGTCCTTGTGCCGACCTAGAATCCATTGATCATCCATTTCAAGCAAGCGAGTGAGAAAGAGATTACAAAAAAAAAAATAAAAATAAAAGGAAAAGGAAAAGATACGAAGCCTCGAAAAATGATGTTGTGTTTGTCAATATGAAACCACTTTTGGGCTTGCTGAAAAATGTTCCTCGGCGGATGATTGTGATCTTCAGCTTTAGAAAGCCGCTTCATGCTGAAATGTTACAGTTTAGCATATATGTGGTGTATTTAAAAGGTAATAAGCAAGGGGTATGGTGAGATGTATATAGTGTAGATATAGCATGTATGCTAATTTGTATACGGTAACAATGAGCTATGAGCAAAGGGTGCTTGTTGATGTAAATCATCCAGAGCCATATTCTTCGTCTTGCTCATTATCTTCTAAACGGATGAGCTGATTCAAGTTTGAATAACGGCTAGTAATATGCACTCTCATGTTATTGACGTAGGTTAATTCAATTGTGGTCACTGTTGTTGTCCTAGAATTGAATCTCTTCTGCTTTGCTTCCTCTCTTGTGTAGCTTTCTCTATCCTTGAGGTTGAAGCCATGTTGAGCTTTGAGTTTATCATCTCTTTGGTACCATGTTGTAGTATCAGCAGAAATAATCTCGAGGGCAGACTTGTTGCATACTGATCCGCGGCGGCCAATAACAGGTGTGAGATCAATAGATAGATACTGCAAATGGACATGGCCAAATTTCAAGGTGATGTTGCTATTGCCAGGTGTGACAGATGACAAGTTCGATTCCTTGAGTTCAACTTGACGACGATGTAGAAACCAAGCATAGATGCTTTGCGGCGTCACACACGAGACGCGGAACTCTTCCTTGAAAGAAAAATTGACGATGGACAATTCTTCCTGGCGTTTGAATCTGCAGAATGTTGATGTAACGGTATTGGCATCATCACTGAATCATCTCTGATGATGATTGAAACCTCTTCAGTGTATACCATCCATGGTTTCTATACCAAGAAGAGACAGCATAAGGCTCTATTATAGATCTAGTCAACCCCAGTACTAGTAAGTCTGGGTACCTGAGTTTTTCGAGTGGCTCACTCGTGTGCAGACATAGTATCTTGATCTGATACACAGGCTTTCTAAGGTGGACAGGTTGCAATTGAGACTTACATGTCAGCAGATCATTTGACGAAATAGATGCTATTATTCAGCTTGTCAGTGCTCACTTAGTTGATCAAATTGAGACTCATGGTAATGCTAAGTATCTCAAAGCCACTGCAAAGACAGCAATATTAATAAGCAAACGGATAGAGTTAAGCGGCGAACCAAGACATGTGTGCTGCGGCTACTGACGGATACGGATATCTACATTGAAAAACAGCAAATTGGCTCTAAAAGAAAACTATAAAAGGTGAAAATAAAGGATCTGATAAGATTTCTTTTTACTACAGATTTTATCGATCGTATAAATCAACTATTCATAAATGGCTAAAAAGGGAGTTAACACCAAAGTTGAAGCTGCAAACAATCGTAAGGCTGGTTCTAGAGCTGAAAAGGAGCAACAAAAAAGAGCTGAAATGGAGGCCAAAGAAGATGCCAAATGGGCTAAGGGTGCCAAGAAGTATGACAAGAAGGAACTTGAGGCTGAAAAAAAAGCTGCTGCTCTTGCAAAGAAGCTTGAAAAGCAAAAGCTCTTGGTAGGTACAAATTTCTGGATCCAGTTGCAATATACTCATTCAAAATACGATGTATAGGATGAAGAGGAGAAAGCACTCAACAAGCCTAAGGCTCCCAAGGCCAATTACACCAAGAAGTCTGTCTTTACTACGCAGAAGGTTCCTGCCAAGAAGTCTGCTGTACCTAACGCTTTGCATGAAGAGGACGAGCCCAAGAAGACCAGGCCTATTCTCTCTGAAAAGGACATTGAGAAGCATCCCGAACGTCGTTTCAAGAACGCATTAAAGGAATTTGAGGAAAGAGAGATCAAAAACTACAGAGCTCAATACCCTGGTCTTCGTTTGAGTCAACTCAAGGAAATCTTGTACAAGGAATTTCAAAAGTCTCCTGATAATCCTTTCAATCAAACCAATGTCTTTTCCTACAACACTACGCTAGATGAAGTCAACCGTAAGCTATATGGTGAACCTGAACCTACCAAGGAAGAAGAGCAAGAAGATGAAACGAGCGCTGATGAAGCCAACAAGGGTTCCGAACAAGCTGCCGCTACTGCTATTGCCAATGTCTCTGCCACAACTGGTTCTGCTCCCAAGTCAGTCTCCCAGAAGGCTGGCGCTTCCTATTGAAACCAAAGTTCTTGCTAATCAAGACCCCCTCCTTTACTTCATTCTTCTTTCTCCTCAAAGAGAAGAAGAGGAAGCTAAAGATGAGAAGAAGACCAAAGCCGCTGAAATTTCTTTTTGGTATGACCACCTCAACAGCTATTCCCTTGCCGGTTCAGACAAGTGGAAATTGTCCCTCTCGAGGCAGTACTATCCGAATGAATCTAGATTCATTTCGTATCAAAAAGGAGATGCCTGCTTCTTTGCCTCGGGGGATACCATTTGCTTTTCCTATTGTTCGTATCAAGCTTTAGTTTGTTGACTGAACTATGTGTTTAGCTCATTTTGTTTATAAGATGAATGTTGTCTTCCCTTGCGTTGGGTAGCTTAAAATAAAACTTTTTTTTTCATGTTACATTTTTGATCCAAGATCTGATAACATTTGCTTGCTGATTCTTAATCTTATCAGATCACCGAATGTGCCCGAGTCAAACAGAATTTGGATTTAGAAGATCAAGATGTTTCTTTTTATATCGCAATTGCGTATGGTGTTTATTCATCGTTCTCAAAAAAGTACCTTTAGCTCACAAGAGAACTTTACTGAATGTATTCGTATATGCTATATTAAATGTCGCGGTCTGCTGCATACCATCCTTACAAAACACTGTATCACGTATAGAAATTGATAGCTTGACCTGCTTTACCCTGTTGAATCAGTATGATGTCTGGATAGGTTTAGAAACTGACTCATTTACCAAATGCAAACTGCATGTGTGCAAATGCTTTTCGGAGATCTTAACCGCTGCACACAACGTTGTTATGCTGTAACAATTGCGTTTGTGGTGGGGTAAGTAATTTAATAATACAGGATAAAAAATACAGAAAATCAAGCCAAAGCATACGCGTCTATAAAAATGTGCACCAGGCTTACTATTTGTCCAATTAGCAAAGAAAAAACAAATAAACAACAAGAAGTAAGAATATAAAGACAAAAAGATAAAAGTACGATGTCTCGACTTACAAATGTATAAAACGGATTCAGAGGATCTTACAAAAAGGATAAGTCCAATAAAGTAACAAAGATAATGAACTAGGCAGCTATAACTATAAAAGTTTATGGTAAGGACAAGACGATGCTATACTATTTGATCTATTTTAATGTATCATTTCTAAACCGGATCTCCAAATGCGTAGAAACAAGCAGTTCAAGCACCGATCACTTCAAATCATAAACTTTGACATGAAACAGGATTCAGTTACGATCCATATCATGGCTTGTTCAGGATAATAGATTGGATCTATTATCCTATCACCCAAATCAACTCATCTAATACCTTATCCTCACATCAAATCCCTCAATTCGAATAGTATATAAACCCTCTTATTTTCAATGTAATAAACGATATTCTTTACCTTGTAATGAAATAGCCACCCAAATGCAACTTGATTGAAAGCCAAAATTCATCAAATAGCACTCATTCAAATTCATGCTATTTAGGCCTACTAATAAAATCGCTCAAATGTACATCAACAACCATTTAAACATACTAAAGTAAAGATGCACGCTTATATCGCACATCGTGTGAATGAATCACTCCTAATTACAGTGTATTCACTCACACCCATGATGGTCGTAATAAGAGATGTTATCTTTATCCAAATAAAATCAAACCAATAGCAAGTATATTCAAATAAGACAACTATGCCCTGTTTCCATAACTGCACAATATCCCAGATAAAGGATTCCATACTTCAATAACAAACATCACACTTTAAACCATCAAGGTTACATTAAATCATGCTATGACGATAGCTCACCCAAGCCCATCAAGGTTACTCAAATCGATCCTTATGGCCAATGCTCTTGCATTGATTACCACTTTAAATCAAACATCAACAACATTTGCCAGATATCGCAATAGCAGAAACTATTGCTCTCTATCATCACTAATCCTACAAGCTAGTTGCAAATGTATAAATACTCTTCTTTTTTTTTTTGCTCAATTCCAGGATCTTCAGTTCATTTTATACACAAATAAAATACAGTTGATTTCTATTGTATTTTACTATTGCTTTTTTTTTTGTGAAATCTATTCAAACCTGATTTCACTGCATACCTGATTAATTTCATACTCTTTTTTTATAAATATATTTCTGATAAATCATATTTAGATGTTTATACGAATTCGATATATATACTTTTGATTTTATCGTACTTCTACTTCAATACAACTTCATCCATTTAAACCATGTCACCAGATACTCCTCTTAGCCTTGATGTTAAAGTAGTAATAGCAATGAAAAGTGTCATTATTATGTGTGTGTGCAGATAGCTACTTGGTTATTTCTCCTCATACGAAATGCAGCTTTCCTATATTCCTACTATACCATATTTACTTGTATATTCCAACATTTTGTCCCACAGTGATATATATATATAGATAGATAGATACATATATAATATAATCTGAGATAAGGGTTTAGAATTTCACTACTACTACTACATGACTAATATCCCTGTAAAGTTTGTAGGTTTTTATTATAAAGAAGCTATGATTGTTGATAAATTGATGGATATTGAAATTGATAACGATTTTGAGTAATAGATATCTGTCAGGATATTCTTCATTCAGGTGATTCCTTGAGAAAAGTAGCAATGTTTTAAAAATCGTTGAAATGATACCTGTTGTGAGTAGATTGAGGCTGTGTTATTTTTAATCTGTAACTTTTGAAAATAGGGAGGATCTCGACATCTTGGCATTGAAGAGATTGATATTATTGTGGTTTCTGAGGCATTCGTGCATATACAACTAACTGAACTTGTAAACATAGATGTGAGGTGATACGACAACAAGCACCACCTATGTCGCTACAACACTGTTAAAGTGGCTCGAGGAGAAAATGAATGCAGCCTAAGATACGTGCTTGTATGCACCATTGTAAAAGCATGCTACTTTCAGATTTCTAGCATCAAAATTTAAAACTAGATTTTGGATGGCTCTAACATCGAAGCCGAAAATACGTTTGCACATCCAAAATGTTTGATATAAACTAAAAGGTAGCAACCCAAGAAATTGGAACATGTCTGAAATCAATGATAAACGACTCATGTTTGGCGGTGGTATATTTTTTTTTTATTACAAAAACTAAATTCTAATAAATGACAGATCAATAGGAAATCAACTGGTTATAACCCTTCGTTGTTTCAATCTCTGAGCCAATCATATTGCTTGAAAACTCCGCTGACTTAAAAAAAATTTGCGAGGGTTTCCCCCTGTTTTGATGTGAGGCAAAATTTTAAGCGCCGCTATAATAGCAATATAGCCGCTGCTATCATCAAACTTCCCCCAGGTGCTAGAGCATGCCTTACTTACACCACCTAGCTTTTGATTCTGGCGTTGAGACTCTCAATCATCACTAAAGTAAGTAGTGATAACAAGTGGAGGCGGCCTATCTACCTCCTAGCCTCGGATAAAGTCTTGTTGAGCTTCAGGGATAGGCACATCCACACAACGTAAAAAAAAAGGCATGCTTCAAAGAAACATAATAAGAATAAAGGAAAGAAGAAAAGGACATGCTACAATACTATAGGAGTATAGTAGTATGTAAGCAAGAAAGGAACACTCACGCTAAGCGAGTCAAAGAAAAGCGTAACAAACACAACATCAAAGATGTTCAGAACAGCTCGTTGCTGTTGCAAGAAACATGCATACATGAGCAAAGTGCATGGTAATAGTCGAATGTAAAGCAACACAAACACGCACAACTGCAAAAGCAACAGTGGTATTATAAGTTTGCCATAGAACATAATGACTAATAATGTTGTTTCATATGAAGCCACAGAGGCAACACAACCAACAAAAGAAAAGAAGAAAAAAACGCAACAAAACAAAAATCATGATAAAATGCATTATCACGAGAAAGGAAGCAACAGTACAAACGTTTAAAGAAGTTTTATATCATTGCGACCAGAAGAAAGAAGATACTTACCACTTACCACAACCACAAATAGACCAGAGAACGAGCATGAACCAAAGACAGTAGACCAGGAAAGACCAGACTCGCAACAGCAGCAGCAACACCAGCACCATGGAAAAACCAGAGAACAAACGACACCAGAGACCAGACAAAGACCAAACAACAAGCAACACCAGCAGAGACCAGACAAAGACCAAGAAGCAGACAGCAGAGGCAGCAGAAAAGGAATGGCAGCAGCACCCACGTCAAACAGGCAAAAAAATTACAAACAAATTCAATTAGTACTGATTCTACGTCTTCCAGTGCTCCTTTATCGAATGGTACCTACTATATCCCTCTTCAAAGAAGCAGTGTCAAGTTCTTTTAGCAATACAAGGCAGTGTGATCAGAAGTTGGAGTGATATTATCATTCGAACGGTTTCCAAACCAACATGGTTTGATACTAAACGCGTTTTGCAAAAGGAAAAAAAAACGGGGATATGGAAAAATGAGAGGGCGCTCTATCCGACGTCACGGCTAGTAAATTTGGCCTCAGTCTTCTGCCACAGCAGCTGTCGCTGCGGCAATCAACTTTGGATTTGTGCAGTTGTCATTTTTGTATTCAAATTTGACTTGATCTGATATCCTTTACACGTTTTTGCTAAATTTGACTATGAGATTGTCGTTGTTATACCTTACTTACTAATGCATTTAAAGAGAGTCATTAGAGGCGCATCAAATAATGATGGTTACATTCAACTTTCAGACCGAAAATAATGAGCAATTTGCAAAAATATGAAAACAGGTTTTCTGTGAATATGTCAAAATTTAGCATATACAAGCCTCATAGAAAGGGTTTCCACTGTTGCATTCCATCTTTACGATCAATTTGATCTGATATGTATCATAAGAAAAGTCTTCATTTTTGAGGTGAAAAACGCGATCGTTTGATTTTTTTTTCAAGAATTTTCCCTTGCTAATGCACATGAAAAATATGCGAATTTTCATGGATTTGCAATGATCCAAAAAAATTGAGATAAAGTGCCAGTAAGTAAAGCGTGGCCAAGAAGAGACATTTGGCCCTATTCTGAGAGTCCACAACGCTCTATAGCATCAGTTATTTGTGCTTCAAAATGGCCAAGTTTAGACAGAATTTGGCCAAAAATTAAGGAGTAGTATGTTGTACTGCCAAAGAAGTAAGTACATTACAGCTCTGTCTAATGTCCCTGATGTTCTACATTGTACGGAACTCAATCCCTAAGTTATCGATGCTTTTATTCTAACTCTGACGATCAGATCTTTTGAGATGCTCGAATAATACAGTGATTTTAATATTTGAGCGTTGGTGATACTACGCAAATTTGAATTTAACGACTAGCTTGAATCGACCGAGGTGCTTGTCAGATCAGCAGAACACTACTCTTAATAATGGTTGTCTATAACAGAGATGCCATATCTAGCCCTGAAACTATACTTGAAGTCTGTCCACAATGTTGAACACGCCTATTTAATGAGAAATGGCTGAAACCGGACTGGCTGAATCGGTGTCAGCACAGCAATGGGGGAAGAAGCAAATAACAAAATTTTCTATCAAAGTAGAGCGAATATACATTCATGATACCTACAAAAATCTGTAAGACAAGATTCGACACCAGGAGGCTACTGTAGCAGTGAAATCGGGTATAAATGGTTTCAGGGGCCTGCACTGCCGAAAAGGTCAGCTCCAGCCAAATTGTCCAAAATCAATCGTTCAAAACTAACGTTTGCTGCAGTGGCACATATAAAATTCTTTTTGTGTGCCAGCATGAGTCATACAACGCCCTGAATTTATTTCAAAGATTTGATCACTACATAAACGTTTCTGTGTTGTTATTAAGGAAAATGCGTTTTTGCCACCGTATAATCCAGTTTGGGGGGCTGAAAACCTGATTTTTGAAAGAAAGCATTGTAGGTGATGCTCAAATGTGGCCTTATTTTGTAGAGCAAATACTGTTTTAGTTGGCATTTGTACAGATAATAGTAGCGTCGAATCACCGTTCTCTTCGTATCATTTACGTTGTTGCACTTTACTACTAGCTAAATTATTTGACAACGAATGCAGCGACTGAAAATCCGTTCATTTGTTTAGCAGCCCCTCAAAGTGGGCATATAATTTTCCTGATAAGCATATAGCATCAGTATAGGGCGTGAAAAAGTTGCTCTCCCAGCTTAGTGAGTTGCGTGGCATAGCCTGAAACCTTTGCCAAACCACAGTAAAGCAAGCTATCAACAAACGGATTTGAATGCAACGTTTTCCAACATTTGGCTCATCCATCCATGACGCGTAATCGCTGATAATCAGATCCTATTTGAGGGAACTAGATAATTCTTTGTTATTAAGAGTAGACTCCATATCACGTTTCCCTTTTGAATTTCTCAAACGTACTACCGTACTCTATACTCACCATCATCTCCAATTCATAGTAAGTTTCCGAATGAAATTAGTAGGTTGGATTGGATTCCATGTAAAAGAGCAATCAAAAGACAATAAGAAAAAAAAAAGAGGATAAGCATACTGTTTCCAAGGTTCATTGACTCAAAAAGAATTAAAAGAAAGGATACATGCTCTTTCAGTGAGCTAGTATTAATATGTATCAACTGGAAAATAGCCTTATTACAGTGAGGATGTTTGTTTTTCAGTTCATCACAATAGAACTATCATCTGTTGACATTCTCTCGCAAGTGCTTTTGTTAATATTTTGAGTAGGTATTACTTCTTCGGCCAGGATTGTGATGCATCAAAATCCTGATTATTAAGCTTTAATGCGTTGGAGGTTTGTTTGATTAGGTTTTGCTACTGCTTAGACAACAAGGTTCAATCTATTACTGCTAATAATATTTTATACAAGTTGATACAAAGATGCAATTATCACTGTTCAACACTATCATGCAGCAGTATTCAAAAGATCAAGCTTTGATCAACAGTGCAATCTTTTCTTACAGGCAGCTTTAAGCTGTCATAAAGATTTATAAGGGTAGACACCACTGCTATGTTTATGAACGTCTACTAGGCTATAGCTCAGCCTAGGTCGATAGTTGCGATCATTCGCGAGCAAAGTATATACCTGTATACATTGAGGCCTATTATAGAGCAAACATTTACCCTTGCTATGCCTACAAACCCATTTATTGAGAGTAGATCTCGAATATGAGGTAATGAAACGACCACCAGTGCAACGGTGTCACCATGGAAGTTTGACAGCCAATCCACGACAGCCAGCTACTTACACAACAGATGCCACTTTTGTGAAATAAGGCCTAATTCAGTTGAATTTGACGTCACTGCAGCATGATTCCTATATGCTCAATACCTCTATCTTTGAATGATCTGCATTGCAAAGTGTTTCAAATCTTTGAACCAAACAAGCTCTCGTAAATCGAGTATGCCTCTCCCATCCTCAATGATTTCAAGCCCGATAATCCACATCTTAAAATCTAAAATATATAAAGTTTATAGTGGAAAATAGAAGAGCAAAAGGGAATCGATATACTATAGAAAAGAAACAGGCAAATCAAGAAAAAAAAGGAGGGGTTCAAGGCTATCTTATTATTTACAAATAGCACGGGTAAAGTAAAATCCATCAACCAGGTACTTATAATTCGTTGTGTTCTGCTGCAACCTTTTGGATAACATCGTTGAAACCGCGAATTCTACCACACTCCTTCTTGAGATTAGCAGCCTTTGTCGTTTCCCATTCATCCGCTGCAATCATCATACGAGCATATCGAAGACAGGTTTCTTCTCTGTAATAATCGTAAAGTTTCTTGTTGTATGTACGCTATGACTACTATTAGATATCACATCATGAGTACCTTGAATCCAAAAACTTACCTCCTTTGCTCTAGTATCTTCAGGATAATGATGAGTTTGATGAATCAAGAAATCATCAGGAAGAACCCAGTAATCAATACCAGCCAAAAAGATTTCAAATAGACAAGCAGCTTTGTTTGCACCATAACCGACGAAACGTTCATCACACCAGGGAGTGCCCTCCTTTTTGAAGATTACATATGGCTCGTAGGAATAGTTGTAGTCGGTGACTTTGTAAGGCTTTGTTTGCTTATACCATTTCCCATAATTTGTTGAGCCGTGTCCACGCTTCCAACCTCTGTGGAACATATCAAGTCTCTCAGTGCCTACGTCGACGAGCAGTTCCTTTTTGTTCTTGGGGAAATCGTTCCAATCTTCGCCGTCATTTTCATCAACGTATTCAAAGGCTGGTACAACGATAGCGCCTCTACCGGATCGCAGCAATTCCATCAATTCAGGGTTCTTCTTGAGCGATTCTCTGAAATCCGTGCAGAGGTAGAAATCGACATCCAACATCATGATATAATCGGTGCGAGCAAAAAATTTAGCAACGTTACGCCACATATTGAATTGACGATCAAACTTATCAACGACTAGATGAAGGTCAACGTAGCGTCTAAGATCCTCGTTTTCTTCGTAAAGTTGATGCAAATCAGTCAATATCTTTTGCTTGGTGTCGTCATCGTTTACATGAATAGCAACGGAAACAGGACCTTTGTAGTGAGAAGCGAGCCTACTCAACACCTTGAAACGGTTGTAGGTAACCAGGGTGGCGATAGTAACTTCTTCGTTATCAAAGTTCTCGGTTGCTCTAAAGTAATATGGAATCACTTTGGATGGGCCCATCGTCTCTGAGAATACTTTACTGAGAACAAGATCCTCTGGAGTTGACTCTACCACTTGGCCTATAAAGTGCACAATGTGAGCCAGCCTATTCTACACGAATGAAAAGTGATTTTGCTTTTTACCAAGCGAGTTTGTCCAATCCACTTGCTGTTTACCGAGATAATGTTGCTGTAAACTTGCAACACTAATTTCAGGAACTTGGTTCTTTTGAGACGGGCTTCTTCTGAAGCCTAAAAGATATGAAGATGTGTACAAGATGGAGCATACGAGATAGATCGCTATAAAGTAATTCACAGCTTTTGGTAACGCCATAATTATTATTTAAAATAAATAAAGAGAAAAGGAGAGGAGAAGACCAAATGTATACAAAATAGAAAGAAAAAGGGTGTCGATCCCCTCTGCTCAAAAAGCCTTTAATTAGTTGAATGAAATATAAACCCAAAACGCGGCTATTAAATATGATTTATTTATAAGGATGGCTACTCAGATTCCTTTTGTTCGAAAAGTGCAATAATGATCGGGGTACAGTTGCAAAAGAGGTGCTAAATATTAAGGGGGTGACATTGAGAGAAAGAGAGAGAGAGAGAGAGAGAGAGAGAGGCATGGCGGTGAAAACTAAAAGATTCAAGGGGACGCTTTACAAGCGAGGCTTGCTTGATTGGATTGAGAGGATATCATCATACAGCATGGTAGTAACAAAGTCATCGTAGCGTTCACCTGTGATGTTGGTCGAGAATGCAGCCTTGGCAGCTTCATATTTGGAAGTTTCATACTTTGAACCCAGTTCTTTCTTGATGTGTTCAATCTCTTCGTCGAGCACTTGCAAGCAGTAGTCGCCTGTAATTTTTCTACCTTCTGCAGTTACGGATTGATGATGTGCCCATTGCCATAGTTGGGATCTACTAATCTCGTAGGTTGCACAATCTTCCATCAAATGATGTATTGGCACGCATCCTACTCCTCGTAACCAAGACTCCATATAAGCTAAACCAATTTGAATGTTGTCGCGGATGCCATGCTCCGTGATCTTGCCTTCAAAGTCGATATTCAGCAAATCCTTTTGCTTGATAGAGACGTCCTCACGGCGCTTGAACAATTGGTTGGGCTGAGGCATGTGCTCGTTGAAGATTTCAAGAGCAATCTTGACAAGATCCGGATGAGCAACCCAGGTACCATCATGGCCAGCAGTAACTTCACGCAATTTATCGGCTCTGACCTTCTGCATGGCTACTTGGTTGGCTTCAGCATCGCTCTTGATAGGAATCTGAGCAGCCATGCCTCCCATAGCATGGACACCACGCTTATGACATGTTTGAATCAAAAGATTGACATAGGCGCTCATGAATGGCACAGTCATGGATACATCCGAGCGATCAGGCAACACGTATTGAGGGTACTGACGGAATTTCTTGATGAAGCTAAAGATGTAATCCCAACGACCACAGTTCAAACCAGACGAGTGCTCTCTCAATTCATAGATGATTTCATCCATCTCAAAGGCGGCCAGAATAGTTTCAATCAGCACAGTGCCGCGGATAGTGCCACGAGGAATATTCAGCATGTCTTGAGATGCGTTGAAGATGTCATTCCACAATCTATTCAGTAAGGCATTAGTATTAGGTATAGCTGTATTCAGCTGTCATTTCTTACCTTGCTTCCAAATGAGACTCCATTTTAGGCAGATAAAAGTAAGGACCCAAGCCATTCTTGATCTGGTTTTTGGCATTATGGAAGAAGAATAGGCCAAAATCAAAGATGGAAGCAGACATGGGCTCTCCGTCAACAAGAATGTGCTTCTCCAACATGTGCCAGCCTCTTGGTCTTACAATCAATGTAGCAGGATTTTCCTTTAACTGATATTTCTTGCCAGCAGGGTTTGTGAATGAAATGGTGCCGTTGATAGCATCACGCAGATTGATCTGGCCATTCAGTACGTTATCCCATGTAGGGGCAGTTGAATCTGTAGCAGTTGTGTTAGCTCCAAGATGTGACCTTGCTGTCACTTGTATACATACCTTCGAAATCAGCCATGTAAGTCAATGCATCAGAATTCAATGCATTGATGACCATTTTGCGATCAACAGGACCAGTAATTTCGACACGGCGATCTTGAAGACCAGGAGCAGGTTTGGCAGCCTTCCAATTGGGGTCATTTCGAATATGAGCAGTTTCAGGCAAAAAGTCAGGCAAGATACCCTTATCAATTTCTTGTTGGCGCAGATCTCTCTTCTTTAGCAAGTCCTTTCTGGTGCCATTGAATGTGCGTTGGAGTGTTGCAATGAACTTGAGCGCATCAGTAGACAAGATTTGAGCTTGGTCTTGGTTGTAGGAGGCCAAAATGCTGACACCTTCCACAGAGCAGGATGCAGTGTTGCTGTTATTGTTTAAAGACATAATATCGAGTTAGATTTGTACAAGAGAAAAAGAAAAGAAAGAGATGGATTCATATGCGCCTTTTATATGTTTGTTGGTTCTTTATTTTTTCCCGGGAACTATGAAATGTATGTTCCACCGTGTAAAGAGAATGTGGGGAAAAATGCTGTCAAAAGCGTTTGGTTTGACATCATTTTGTTGAATTACTTTCTATCATCGGATAAAGGTTGTGTGTGCTCCACACAGCATTTTAGACGTTTAAGGTAAGAAACCTTATACAGTGCGCTTTAGATCCACCAATGATCTAATGATTTTAGGCATTTCCAACTTTCGCACGGTGTTCACACCAAAAATATACTCTTCAATAGTCTGATGAGGGTATCGTTGATGATAGCACTAAGGATCTTATCCCAGAAGAAGCTGTTCTCGTGGCCAACCTCATAGATTCCGACTGTGTTGGTTGAGGTATTCTGTCTACAGGCATGTATTTATGTTTGTATATACCAGCACAGACTTCAAGTGACACCAGATCACATATCCCGAGAGGCTAAACGTTTATCTTCAAGTGCATATGAGAATTTCTCTTATCAGTTGAAATTGGCTTTCGCCAATGACATGGTGTGTTATTTTCAAGCTTCCACATGAAAGCTGATGACTGTAATGGTTACATTGGGTTCTATAGATATGGAGGCTTTTGTTTTCTCGCTCATGATGAATACTTCAAGAACTGGAGGACAGCGATGTCTTGATAACCAGCGAATGAACATTAGTTGATACAGAGCACGTTGCTATAGCTTTGCATCGAGTAGCTGCTATCCAGTAACGCTCTTCAAACAAGTATTCGAGGCACGCTCTCATAATGATCCCGTATCAGATTACCCCGCAAAATGTACTACATATACAACGCTCGGTCATTGGCGTTGAGGAATCTCAAATCTCGTTTAATAGATTCCTTGCAAGCTGTTTAGCACGAAATTGTTCATGGGTGAGAGCTGTAACAGCGTTAAAGTATGTACATGTATTACTTGAAAGTGTGCCCTTCTCATGCAACCCTCCTCAGTACTATTGACATGCCTAATCTGCTTCTTTACCAGTGATGCCAGCTGTGCAAATAGCTTTATACATGCTATATATCCTCTCTATATATACTGTAAAATATTCAAAAAAAAAGTAGAGAATGTAGTATACAAATGCTGCATAAAGCTTGAATCTCTTTCATATCGTTTCAATAATAGCTTCCGCTGATACCAGTGTATAAGCAAAGAGAGGAGGATGCAGGGAGAAATACCTCCACGTTTCTGACTCTGATATAATCTTTCTTTTATTATTGATAGATTGTTTAAAATCTAATTAAATAGCAGGTTTTTATTATTACTGATTGGAAATGTCTATGGCGATAGCCGGTAGGGTGACGCCGTCAAGCGTAGCGAGATTGCATCTTATTCAACATTTGGTAATATTAATTTTAATGGGTTTTACCGTAGCGACGCGAAGGTGCAAAAACATAGTATTCAAGCAGCAAATTCGGTTTTTCATTTCCATTATTATTAATAGCTTACCAACAACATAACGCATCAAAATTTGCATGAATTAGCTTTACAAAATCAGTATACCTTTATTCGAATTAGAGATTGCTCAAGCTACAGAACTACCCTTCCAGAAGATATCAGCTACCAAAGATGTGATTCATGCCTTGTAAATAAAAGCCATAAAGCAAAACATAACCAAATCAGACAGCTTTCAAGCCTTCATATCTTGACATGTAGACCTTTCTGAGCCACCGGAATAACGCCAAATAACTGTACTCGAGTAGTAGTAACTTCCTGACACCTTTGCTCAACTTTTTGAGGACCAAAAAAAAAAGGCCAAAAATTGACCAAAAAGCATGAGGGGTACCTCATGGTTTTCACCAAAAATCAAACGATCGCATTTTTCACCTTGAAAATGATGATTTTTACTATGGTATATTTTAAATAAAAATGTTTCTCTCGATCCAAAGCAACCTCTGAAACCACTTTTATAAGGCTTTCATATGCAAAATATAGCTATTTTCGCTAAAAATCTCATTTCAAATTTTATTAAATTGCTCAATAATTTCAGTCAAAACACTTATTACAGTCAGCATCATTAGAAGCGCCTTGAAGAGTACTTCAAGAATGTATTAAGGAGCATAGGCTGATCATCACAATTTATATAGTCGAATATCACGAAATAAATTTAAGAAGTCGAAAAAAGATGAGATCTGTCCAATCTTGGACAAAAAAAAGCTGAATTTGAATCGTTTTTGGCGGCGGCATTGCTTCTGGCTGACCTAAATGCCTTTCTGTTGACGACAATGATGATTGTGATGCTGATTAACTATGGATCATGGAATTGAAAGGACAATTGCTTAGCGCAAATACTTTTCTTTGGGGAGCTTTGACTCATGGAGGCGTCTTTTGCAATGACAATATCTCAAAAAAAAGTCGCTGTAGATCTTACGCAAGCCCTGTATTTACGCATGGCCAGCTTTATGTCGCCACCTCAAGAGCAGCATCAGCGAAAGGACACCCCCCCCCCTTAACTCTAATATAGCCCTTTGTTTAAAATCTACTTGATATACCAAAAATTTATTATTTCTAATTTAAATGTCTTTGCTGAGAGCCCGTAGGGCGACGCCAACTTCGAGCGTAGCGAGATAAGTAGGCTAGTAAGCATATACAGATAATGTGGTGTCATTCAATTTCCCGAATAGCTGAAACTGCATTTGAATCCAGTTAAAACATCAATCCTATCATTCATCCTTTTGATTAAATCAAAACGTTCTTTGTTTTTTTACATATCTTGATCAGCATTGCAGTTCTAAATACATAACTTGCGTGCGTTCATGTCAAAAGCTGATATCTATTCATTGCTTCTTTTCTTATGCTCTCGATTCCAAGCAACTGGTAAGGTCCACTGTTCCAGTGACCGCCAATTGGCTGGCATTCTTCTCGCATTTGAAAGCGACACTGTCTAGATTTGGACCTTCTTTCACTCCATGTTTCGCAACACATTTCAAGTAAGATTCTGCCTTTAGGTTAAACTGCAATTGATTAATAGTAATCAGTCTGGATTTCTTTCTATTTTATACAGCTTAGGGTAAATTATACTATGCTTTTTTTTTTTCATGATATGGAAACATTAAACTGTTCTACAGTAGTGAACCGTTGCAGCTTTGGTCCTGTCATACTCCTAAAGAAGGGGAGGAAGGATACGACGATAACGAAGCACACATTGAGCGTGTTGCCGACGATCTCATCAGCAGTACAGTGATCGAGCTAGTATCACCAAATCTGAGCAACACATATATCACTTGCCCTCATCATCCTCAGCGCACACTTGGCATTAAACTACCATACCTCGTTCTTATCGTGAAAAACCTTGACAAATATTTCTCGTTCGAAGTGCAGGTATTGGATGACACGGAGGAGACTCGACGTTTTAGAGCATCCAACTATCAGGTTACAACACGAGTGAAGCCTTATATTACTACCATGCCAATGCGATTAGATCCAGGATGGAACCAAGTTATATTCAACTTGGGAGACTATGTCAAGAAGGGATATGGAACAAATTACAGCGAGACAAGTCGAGTAACTGTGCATGCCAATTGCAGAATAAGACGTATATATTTCACGGATAGGATTTACGGAGAAGATGAACTACCAGCCGAATTCAAACTGTTTCTACCTGTAAGTGGTTGATGTGATCTAGTAGTCTAAATAAGCTTGTTTATTGAACCTGCTGGTGGAATGTGTAGATTGATAAAAACTAGAATGCATGAGGGAAGAAGAACTTGATCTCTTGTCTAGCTGAATCATCTGAATCTGATCCATGAAATGAGTTTCTTGTGTCTGTCAATCCGTACAAAGCCCTCAAGGTATCAGGTTGATTCACTCGCGCTCTGTCAATGGCAGGTTAAAAATGACACAATAAAGCACACAACTTTAGATGTTTCTTACCTCACTGGATGTGTAGGCCCTATTAAAGCTCTCCAGTCTTTGATGGCATTGGGTGAGGCTAAAATCATTGCTTTAAACGGCCCACTTGTCATGTATCCACATAGACGATGATAGAAGAATTTGCCTTGATGTTCTGCATAAAACTCTCCTGCTTGCTGTTCTGTCCACAGTACATCGCGCTCTTGAACGATTTCCAGATTTTTAGCTTCAATCGCCTTTCTGATTTTCGGTGGTAAAGCTGCATTGGCACATATATCAGGCTTTAATAATGCCAATGTAATTTGAGGCTTATGTTTTAGCAGTTGCTTCAATGTAGACATGGGGGGAGGGGTTAATGTGAAAAAAATAAATAAAATGTAAAAGCCGCTAGGTTCAAGCAGTGCTCTTTTTATTTTTGCAGGCAGATGTAGTAGTAGTGGTGGTATTAGCGGCTGTGGATAATTCAATGTAACCCTGTGATGTATATTTCGTCTGATCCATTTTATCGTTTAGCGCACTGCCTACACGTCTTATTAGATTAGAAGATGACGGTGATGGTATAGTAGCAGTAGTGGGATGATATTTTGTATAGTCATACGGCAGGAATTTCGAATCCATGTCGATCAATTCCTTCATTTTCCCACTTTGCGCTGAGGTCTTTTTGTGTGGTCGTAAGGGGGAATCATCGAATAACAGTTCCTCTAGTTCGTGCACAGCATCAAAGTTGGATTGATTTGTCTATGTTTGGCGTGAGCAGCGAACATTTCGATAAGGCAGGTCGATTCAGCTTACATTGGGTATAAAAGGCGGGATAGCAGTTTTGTTTTCCAGTGATTCCCAATCTAAACCTTGAAACCAGGCCTGGGATATTAATTTCTCAAAGCCTTGTGCACCATGACCCAGACGGTGTTTAGGTGACCTTGTCAGCAGCTACATGATGGGACATTTTTAATTAAAAATCCAGTGTGCGGGCCTGTGTTGCTGGTATACGTTACGCCTTCTATCACTTGCTGACACTCTGCTGAAATCTGCACATCTTTTGGCATCACGATCGGATCATTCAGTATGGATTCCTTGACTAGATCGTTGGTATCTCCATCAAACGGTCGCTTTAAGAATTGAAAAAGGATGATAATTAATAAAGAGTGACATAGCAAGTTAGACACAAACATTTTACTTTTCCAAATAGAAGTTCAAACATTGTAACACCCAAGCTCCACCAGTCAACATCGGTTGTATATCGCTTTTCTAGCAATATCTCAGGCGCCATGTAGACTAGGCTGCCAGCGCGGTTGCTCTTGTATGGCTTCTTTTCAGATAACTGGGTCGCAATGTTGAAATCGCTGAGATGAGCATGGCCTTGAGCATCGAGAAGAACGTTATCTGGTTTAATATCGCTGTTCCAAAAGGTTAAGGTCCAAAATTAACAGTTGCAGCTTTTTGAGTAACCATTACCGATGAATAATCATATGTTGGTGTATGTGATGTATGGATAAGATCAAATCAGCAATATAAAAGCGCACCTGGAGCTCATTGAATAGTCCCAGTCGTTCCAAATGAAACCTCAAATCACCACCCAGCATAAGATCCAGCACCATGAATAGGTTTTCATCATCATGAAATGCATAGCGAAGATTGACAACGAGTGGATACTGAATTGACTCCAAGATGCGACGTTCTGTCAATATGTTGTTGGTTGCATGCAGTTCAATACACTTTGATTTGCTGATATATTTGAGCGCATATTCCAGCAAATCGCTCTTGTGCTGAACAATTCGAACTTTTCCAAATGCACCCTTGCCAATCACTCTGAGCAGATAGAAATGTGATAACTCGGCTTTGTGGGATCATCATTGATTTAATAAGGTATCAGAGATCAATGCATCCGTGCTGTAACCATTACCTTCTCGAGAAAAATCGACCTCTTCTTGCTTGCAGCACGCTGAGCCCATCTAGGATTGCTAATTTGAAGAAAATGTGAGAAAGAAGGAAGGAAAGAGATTCGATTCCATGCTATTTATACGATCAATGCTTTATGTGACGTTTTCCAGTTGTATACAAGATGAGCTTTATTAGAGAATAGTAGTAATTTAAGATCGACGAATAAAGGTTCTTCCACTATATTTAAATCGAGTTAGCATCAAAGTAGCAAATGTATCGAGGAATGCATCTTTTTTACCTGGCAGTTTTCTTTTCGGCATTTTGAACTTCTGGTTTGGCTCTGTTCAGTACCTTCAAGAAATCACGAACACGAGCTCTCATACGGGTGTGCATGTATGCCTTTGAGCATTTGATGTGGTAGTGAAGATAATCGCGGAAGATTTGGATACGAGAAATGGTCTCCTCACGAACATCGCCTCTGGTGAAATGGTTAGGGAATAACACTATGTCAAGCAGTTAGATCCCTGCAGCTATGCAAAATCGACATCCTACCACCTACCAAATGTAACATAACTAATATCATCACTGTCCTTCAAGTTCAAATGACGAAGCTCCATTGGAGGCTCACGAATGGAATACAAGACTTGAGGAGCATTTTGTAAAGCTGGGACTCTACGGCGAGCATCGACAAATTCCTAGCAAACCAATGATGAATATACGCTACTTACCACCTGATGCTGCCCATAAATTACCTGCAAAAAGACTTTGCCAAAGATCTTGTCGGTTTCGTCTTTGAATGTTGTGCTGAAAATAACGGTAATACGATCGAAGTTGGACTTGATATAGATGGCTTCTTCCTCGCGATAATGAACAGCCATTAGTTCGGAATTGATCTCGGTCTTGTCCTCCTTCTCGCATTGTTCTTGTTCTGCAAAAGCTCTTTCAAGAGGAGCTGCCAACAAATTACGCTTTAAAAGTGATACTTTCTTAATGAGCTCATCTCTGGCCTCTGCATTTAAAGAGTTGTCAGTATCCACATCATGCAGCATTATGCTGAGCTGCTTACCAGACTCCTTGGAAACTTGCTCGAGATCAATAGAAAGACTAACATCATAACCTTGCTCGGGCGTATCCAAGAGCAAATCACCATACTCGCGTTTCAACACATCTTGAGCTCCATGAGAGAAAAGCTCATGAGCACATGCCCATCCCAAAGAGATGCGGATAACAGACTTGGACTCTGGTGTGGAAATGTGGTAAGTAACGCCGTCAAAATCGGCTACTGTCATATCAACAGGCTCGAGCTTCTCCCTAAACGAAATTGGAATGTTAATACACAGCCAGCATGCTATCATTTCCAGCATTTTACTCTTTGAGTCTCGCATCCAATGTGTTTTTGATGATGACGTTGTGGTAGTCTAAGAGAATCATGGCAGCAATCTACGTGTCTTGTGATGAGAAAATAGGGGGAAAAAAAAAAAAAAAAGAGATAAAAAGCAGCTTGGCATTGTGTGTATGTGAGTGTGCAATGTTCAATTGAATTGAAACGGAAGTTCAAAGAGTGGGTTGATTATACGTCACTTGTTTGCTCGCACATCTCAGAGCAAGTGTAACGCTACAGCCTGCGAGCTGCCTCATTGCCCCAGAGTGCGTTGTTGTGTACCTTGATTTTACACATGAGCGGCTATTGTTGATCCAACTTTCAGAGGAAACTACAACTATTCACGTGCCAAAAAAATAGCCTTAATAATTAAAGCTTTATAAAAAGGGCATTCTTTTTTTTTTGTTTCTGCTTTCTTTTGTTGATTCAAAACGCTTACTCCTTTTGTTGAACAAAGCACCATGGCAGAATCAGGTAGGTCATTCATTGATGTAGACAGGATGCAGCTGATCTCAGTCATCCACAGGGCAATTGAATATGAAGATCCCTTGGGGACTCACTGCAATCATCGCACCTATTGTGTTTCAGGCCATTTTCAGAAAGAGAGGAGGATTCATGTACAGAAAGATGGTTGCGTTCATACTGATGGGAGTGGCAGCGTGCTTGGGCATCCTTGCGGGCGTGGCATTGCCATTGATAGGCAGAGCACACTTGATCAATTGGACGGTAGCAAGAACAGAGGCATTCTTGAACAAGACATTTTTAGCAATCACTGCTACTGTGGAGGGACAGGAGCACTTGCCCAAAGATGACCAAACTGCAATTTACGTTTGCAATCATCAGACGGTGATGGATATCATGTTTATGGGCAACATCTTTCCCAAGAGAGCTGCTGTCGTAGCGAAAAAGTCGATTCGATGGGTCCCCTTCTTGGGCTGGTTTAGTAAGTTGCTGCATCGACATCACAAACAAACATCCCAATTGACCGCAAAAAAAAAACTGATAGTGATCTTGAGCAAGACTATCTTCTTGGATCGTGGAAACCGGGACAGTGCAATCAAGCAAGCAAAGCAGGCAGCCATCGATATTCATAGAAAAAAGATGGGTGTGTGGATCTACCCTGAAGGCACTCGAAGCAACAGTGGTAAAAACGAGTTACTGCCGTTCAAGAAGGGCGCATTTTACATGGCAACACAGGCTAAAGTGCCGATTATCCCTATCGTGATCCAGAATTATAAAGACATCTATAATGCCAAACAAAAGCATTTCAGCTATGGCGACATTAAAATCAAGAGTAAGGATGATTGGAGTTTTCAAAAGGGATAGGGTTGAGATTAACCGTTTAAACATAGTTTTGCCTCCTGTTGACACAACTGACATTCCCGAAAATTCGGAATCTGTGGATAAATTGGCCACAGACATTAGAAATCAAATGTTGGCCACCTTGAAGGAGATCTCTCCAGAACAACAAGACAAATCAGAATAATCACAACCCTTTTAATAGCTGTAATAAATCCGTGTCGATGGTATCGCACTGAAAATAACTGTCAGTACAACTGCAATGACAGTGCTGAATAGCAGGATCCAGGTGGCCCTTGCTTGTAATATCTTCTTCACCTGAGGTTGAGAGACCTTGTTGAAATGAAAAGGGGTCGTTTCGCTAGATGATATCGTTATTTTCAGTGATTTAATGACAGTTATCATTCATCAGCCTACCTAACATTTAAAAGCAATGCTAGAAATGGATCCAACCTTGATAAAAAGACAGACAGTTGGTAGCAGCCAATCCAGAAGGGTAGCAGGCTCTACGAAAAATCATGAGACATCATGCACACTCGCATCATCAGTGATATTTACCCAAAAGCGAGTGCCCCAAGGTGCATAATTTAGAAAGATGAAGCTGAGAGCAGAAGAGAATCCTGCGGCCAGGGCCACAAGACCAATGACCAAGCGGTGCATTTGCTGCCGCTCTGTAATGTTGCCCCATACTTTCAGGCGCATGAAAGGTGGATAAGCCCAACGTTCCATATACAAGAACGCAGCATGTTTGGCTTCTGCAAAGAGCATAGGATCATGGCGAACACAGCCATTGATGTTGTAGCTTTCAATCACTTGCTGTCGGATTTTAGCAGGAATTACTTTTAGATACTTTGAACCACCTGGCATCAAATACGTATGGACAATGCGCTCCGAAGATGTCACTAGATCGTGTCGATCAGGCACTTGGTAGATGACATCCATTAATTTCTCCCCTATGGGCGGCCTAACAATAGGCAGAGGCACACTGATAGAGATATCGTCTGCAGAGTCCCTGTTGTTCACCAATGTCGGCGATTGCTGTATCACGGGATGGTGTATATCCACATACTTGTCAATAGGCACAGCAGAGGAAGTAATGTCGAGATACTTTTCAATTGGATCCTCTCCATCCAGCCTGTGTATACTGTTGAATAAATCATGTTGCTGCGATGATTTGAGCACGGACTTGACGTATCTTCGCCATAAGATTTCATGATGCCGAACATCTAGATAAAAGTCAAGCAGGTTGTCCAAGTACAGTTTATCACGTAGGACAGTGTAGAAGTTGTAAAGACAGACAGGCGGCAGGGTTTTGCGAGACAGTATATCTTCCAATGTTGGTAAATCTTGTAGGGATGACATTTTTTGTGTAATGTTGGAAAAAAAAAAAGGGATGAAGTTGCGTGCTATGTTTGTGAACCATGTATTAATTACTTTTTCAATTTTGTAATATAGTTGAGTTTGGTTTTGTTTGCATCAACATACTGATTGCTCGAATAAGAACAATGCTTTATATTGATGGTAATTAAAAGGTTCATTAATAATGTTTTTATAAATATCATAATTTGAAATTCCATTTCAAATATATGCCATATAAAGCTCACACTAAAGAATATGGAATCTAGAATAGAGTCGACAATACTACACTTGCGCCAGCATTTGATTTTGCATTTTAATGCACTTTAAATTGGTAATATTGCTAGTATTAGCTTCACAAACATCGATTGCTCCAACATTTTGTTGATTCTGGCAGCAAGCAGCAGCCGCCAAAAATATTTTAATCTCAGCCAGTCATTAATCTCCTGATTTGTTGATTCTCGATCATTTCGAGCACATTTCGACTTATTTCGCAAGTTTTCGCTATGTAAGTCGCCATAACCATCCCTTGCTTTCTAATGCATTCTTGGAGTACTTTTCAAGGTGCATCCAGTGGTACCAAGTAAAAGTAATGTTTTGGATGATCTTCTTGAGCAAAGTGAGAAAGTATGAAATGAGGTTTTTGGCGAAAATGTCGAGATTTTACATAGGTAGGTTTCACAAACAAAGTGTTAAGGGTTGCTTTGAGTCGTTACAAACATTTTGAGTCAATATATGCCATAGTAAAAGTCTTTATTTTGGAGGTCAAAAACGCGATCGTTTGATTTTCGTCAAAATCCCATGAGGTATCCCTCATGCTTTTTTGGCCAAATTTTGGCAATCTCAAAAAAGTTGAGCAAAGGTGTCAGAAAGTAAGCGCTAGGCCAGAGCAGTTGTGTGGTGCTGTTCTGGCGTCTAGAAACGGCTTCTAACATGAGAAAGTACGACTCAAAAGTGTCAAATTGTCGCTGTGTTTTGCATATTCTAGCATAGTAAGAGGTAATAAAAGCATGTTGTATGCCCGTACATGCTCTGTTTCCTTTCTATCAGACGTAGAGCATCCTAGAAAGTTCAGATCCACAATTACCGGTGAGTGGGTAGGGTTTCCAATTGATAAAGGAGGCTAGAAGGCGAAATTTCAAGCGGTACTAGTAGGATAATGTGTTTGTAGACCGTTTTGAATGAATGTCCAAAGAGATCAATTGAACGGATAGGTACAGTGATGTTGTACAACTTCGTCGACGTACATAGATATGCCTTTTGAAAGAATCAAGCCGGTAGAATGCTGCTGGATGGCATCAATGTGCGTTATGAACTGAAGAGTCTTTTCCATCCAAGAAACTACCATAGCCCCTGTTCGCTGGACATGAGGTTTCTTCCTAGGATGATAATATCTGGTGTCAAAATGATCATCAGCGATGTATGCTAATTAGCACTTCTATATTTGATTGGATAGTTCCTGATTTAGCAACAAAAAGCTTGCAATTCTAGTGAAGCAAAAAGAGATCTACAAATAACTTAAAGGGGGTTGGTGGCTTTTCTTGCTTCCGAAATATAATTAGCATTTTGCAAGTAGTAATGAGTGACACAATAATCTTGTAGTAATTAATAAAAACGAGCAGAAAGAGAGAGGAAAGAAGATCCCTCTTCAATGTTTCTTTTTTTATTCTCCTTTTTCTTTTTTGCTTTCTTTTTTCGTTTCATTCATTCATCCCCTTACAAGAGAAACTAGATAAAGGATGTCAAATTTAATAGACTTACATAAATGGCGAAGGTTAGGCTGGCCAAAGATTTTCCTTTATGTCCTATGTGTCATTTTGGTACTTCACCTTCTTCAATCATTTGCCACTTCATCGTCGCCGTCCACGCCAAGCAATGTATTACACGAAACAGGGCAACAACAATCCAGCGTCGATTTCCCCTGGTATAACGATCAACATCCCAACATGGCCCCACTACAAAATCCTAAATATACCACTGCCCATTTAACGACACAAGAAAGAAACGCGTTACAAGCCAGTATGGTTGAAAAAGCTCGAGCAGCAGCCTCAGAGTTTCAAATTACCGGCATTCCTGGATCTACCATGAATACAGCATCCAAGGCAAAGAAATTTAGATCACTGGTGGATTGTTGGACTACAGGTTCCTGGGTAGAAGATACAACACATTACACCATGCCACATTTCCAAGATCCAATCTACGGCAGTTGCGACAGAAAATACAAGAAATCAGGCGGCACTAGCGTCCGTCCTGCTGTCCGATACACTTGGAAGTCGCAATGTGATATGATCAGCATGGACGCCCAACATTGGTGCCAGGTATTACGGGGTCGCCATCTGTTGTTGGTAGGTGATTTAGTGCAATATCAACTGCATGAGTTGTTTTTGGATACTTTGCGCGACGGACCAGCTGTTTGCTTTGGCGAATTGAACTGCAAAGGTATGTATAGGCAGGATTTCAGCTCTTGTATACCGCTGACATGTTAAAACATAAAGATCATACTGTATGCGAGGAACCAGAGACTCGTCTCCGATATCTCCGCAATGACATCTTGTCTGTGCGTCGAAAGATGGATCAAAATCATGGACATCCAACAGCTAATGTTATTGAATGGCCCTTTACATCATCGAGTATAATGCGAGGATATCCAGTTGTCATATTGAACCGAGCACCTGTTATCGAAAGCGACGAGAAATTCATCAAGGGATTAGTTGAAACACTCCGAGTGATGCGTAAAGCAAATCCCAGTGCGTTGATATTGTATAGATCCACTGGAATTGGACATCCATTCTGCGATGATGCTACTAAACCTTTAGCAAGACCTTTGGATGACAGTTATTTGAAAAAGCTGCCTCATGGCTGGAGCGAATTAGAGCGTCGCAACGCAATGGCTCGCGAAATTGTGGAAGCAGCAGGTGGCGTCTTTATCGATTTAGCTAAATTAACCAATGTGCGGCCAGATGGGCATATTGGAGGACAAGATTGCCTTCGATATTGTATACCAGGACCATTGGATAGCTGGGCCCAAATCTTATATCAAGTATTTTTGGGTTTGGATGGACATCTATCAATAGAAGACTAGAACCAAACACGTGTAAAATATAGCTTATTACTTGATTTGAAACATTAAAGTATTTATTAAAACGAAACGAGTAAAAAGAAAGAGAAATATATAACTTTTTTTCGGATGTGAGTTTTCTATCCACTGGCAACAAAAAAAAAAGATTAAGAAAATGTAGTACAAAGATAAAATATAATATATGTATTAGTTGATTAGACCTTCTTGGACTTGGGTCTTGACTTTTGATCTTCCTTTTCTTGCTTTTGCTTACGGGCAGCAGCTCTCTTGGCTTGGTAAGTAATACGGTAGAAATTAATGAAGAGAACGAGGTATGAAGACAAGAGAGCACAACCAAAGAGAGCTGAGGTTTCAGTACCAGCACAAGATCCCATGTTGGGCAAGTGAGGCCAGTAAGTGTAGGCAAAGTAGGTGTAGGTACAGAAATAGATGACGACGAGATCAATAATGAATTGAGTGATTTGAAGAGTGGTCAAGTACTTCTTCCACCAGATCTTGGCACCAGCAGCGGTGCGGAAGTAGTAGTAGTACATCAAGACATGTACAGTCAAGTTGAGAGTAATAGGAACCCAAGACTATAAGTTAAAATTAGTTTTTCCGAAATTCCGTATGATATAAAGAACGTGTAACTTTGGGAAATTTCATATGATAATTTGTGTGTACTTACAACTGAAGTTTGACCGTTGAGCTGAGTGAAGCAAAGGACCATAGTCAAAGAGTGATGGTAATAGTGGAGGAATTCTACATTTAGAGAATAACAACAGTGTCAGCACAAAACAAAGAAAAGAAACGTAAATTCAGCCCCTGAAAAAGATGTAGTGTGTTGCTAGGTTAACAAAGTTTGTGTACCTGAGATATCCATAGCAACCACATCAAAACAAATAACTTCTCCCATCGCCCCCTCCTCCTCCTCCTCCTCCTCAATAAAGTTAAACTTACCCAACTTCTTCTTTTTCAAAACCAAGAAGATAGTATCAATGAGTTCCCAGTACTTGACAAGATAGTTGAGGTAGTAGAGCAATTCCAAAGGTTGAGTCCAGGTTTCGTTAGCACAGATAGCAGCCATTAAACCATGACGGTAGAAGATGGGGAAGATTTGCTCGACCATCAAAACCAAAAGGATACCGGAAACCAAAGTCAAAAGAACATTGTGAATCATGAAAGGGAGTTGAAGCTTGAATGGAGCAACATTTGTCATTAAGAAACGACCGCCAAAGATGACAATAAAATAGGTGATACAGGTCATTGTAACTATAATGAAATTGTCAATTAACGCGTGTTATCCCAATATGCTCGATTCCTTCTATTACCTTCATTTACAGTAGACAAGGGAGTCACTGAGGGAATGTACCTGAATTTGGATGCTGGTTCACCGACAACAGCTTCATATGCCTTTTCAAAGAAAGGATAAAGTGGCAACCCAAAAGGAGTCTCGGGTGTGAAATGAAGATTCTTTAAATGCTCCATTTTGCTATATGAAAAAAGTCGGATATGAAAAAGAACAAGAACAAGAAGCAAAATGAAAGGTTGTCAAAATCAAGTCAGTTTTTATAATGAAAATTTTTCCCTCTTTCTTTTACTATTTTGATTTAAATGGCCGCGTTTCATAGAAGTACAAAGGTAGGACGATACTCGTTTGAATCTTGGTCATTTTATTAACATCAGACTGAAAGCTGTAATGGACTCCGAGAAGAAAGTTGCTAACGTTCAAGCTTATTTACTTTGTTTATGTTTGTAGATGGCATGAAATTGCAGATTTCGAGTAAAAGGGAGGCAATGTCCATTGAATCATTGGAAAGTTTATTGATTGAGGGCTAAAATAGGGGGGGGGGGTGGGGGACGAGAGGGGGGGGGGGGGAGAAGGGGTGAGGGTGGCTACTATTTAAAGGGGCACTTGAATAAATTGATTGTGGTAGATTTGTATGGAAGAAACAATTTCTGTTATTCATGATACAATTGACTTTCAAGATACTCGCTCCATGATATTAAACCGCTAAGTAAGATCCATCAGTTACGGTTGATCTGGTTGATCCACGCAAGCGCAACTTACTCTCCGTTTTTATCGTCTTCCATCAACACATGATCTACCATATCAGTTACCTCTTGCAATGTAAGATCCAGATCATGGATTTCGTCCTCATCAAAGTCTGTAAATGCTGCTCTCAATTCGTGCCCATCCAGATATCCGTCTCCATTTGTATCGTGGATAACAAACAAGTAGTAGATCATGTCTTGCTCACTTAGCTCTGGTACCTTATCATCATCATCTTTGGCCATTGCCCTCATGTGTTCTTGAATATGACTATCAAATTTAAAAAATTCGCGGTAAACATGACAGACAAAAGCAACGCAAATCTCTGATTTTTTTTTCTTGCTTTCTGTAATGGCCTACTTACTGCTTGTTCTTTTTCTCGTCACCATAATTTGAATGTGGTTCCTTGTAGCGGTGTGTCCCTGGCCCAGCATGCACAATTGCTATCATAAAAGCCAGAATAACCAAAATGAGTGTGGTACGCATAACAAGTGGAGACTGAAAATGAGAAATGTTAAATGGAAAGAGAAAAGATATTAACTCGACTCAAGATCCTGCCCTTGCGATGCCTTACGTTTTTCTTGCGCGAAAAAGAGTCACCATGGCCACATGATGAACGATCAAAGTAGTGTTTGTTTTGCTTGCATATCAAACACTAATAGCCCCTTAATGCGAAAAAGAGGAACAGGGAAAAGAAAGAGAGAAAGAGAGAGAGCGAGAGAAAGTTGTCTTTATTTTTCAACAGACCGAATATGGAAATTGCGGAATTTTTAGGTTTTGTCGCAACATTAGACAAGCGTCCAAAATAGCAATGTACATCCGACGAAAATAGGGGCCTACATGGAAGCGCCTTCATGCCCCTTTTGATGGTCCCAATTTCATATGAAATGAAATGTCAAAAAAAAATTAGCCATGTGAGCTAGCGCTAGATACAGGTGTAAGTTTGTGTTCCTGAACATGTATCGATGCCATCAGCAAGTGTAACTGAAGTTTGTGATTTTAACAGCGAGAAAGGTCGGACTTCCAAATTTACCCATCTCATCCAACTTAAAGCATCATTAATCCTCTTTGAAGCCACTTTGAACTCGCTGGCTAGTTTCAGTAGAATGTCCAATATCTCAAGTATACATGTATATGTTATTTTTTGATAAACCATGCGTGTTCTGTCTCACGCTCAAGAATTGATTTTATGCAACACCAAAAAAAAATCAAGGCTATTTTTTTGCCCCTGGATCTCCGCTTATATTGAGCCCACTGCATGTGGAAAAATTACTGCTGCTGGGTGCTTCTACTAATGAATAATAACCTGAACGAAGATTGTATGTGTCACCCACGGTGCAGACCATATTTGGTCAAAAAAACAAAAATAAAATCTCTTTCAAGAAGACCATTGAAGAAGTAGACAGGCATCAAGATGTATATCATGCCATGCAAGAAAATTTTTGAGGGTGAATGTGTATAATGAAATCCGTATGACTGCAGCTACAATGAATGGCATGTTTCTTTGCATAGATCATTATGCTTCGAATGGGTACCACACACTTTCCTTAATGATGGCGTTGAAGAGCCGCCTGCAGCCTTCGCTCTCTGTCTTTTGGTTACATTCAAAAGTGCCTTGTAGCATTTTTCCTCTCTTTCTTCCCTCTTTCTCTCATTTTTTATCTCGGTTTACATTTGCAGCTGCTTGTTTTATCTATCCATCCTAATCTCCTTGACTGGCTCTGATACAATGATCTACGACGACAACTTTTCAGAAAAGAAGCGACAAAAGAATATACTTGCATTCTTGCAGAATGGCAAATACCACTTCTTGAGCAGTATGGGATACCAGCAATCAGCTCCATCACACAGCAAGCGAGGTAGATAACTCACATGTAATCCATTCATGACACATCTTTAACACATGTTTCAAGGATCATCCACCATTACAAAAGGGATTTTCGGCGCACCTCTGAAATCAGCATCTCTGTGCGGTTCAACCAACAGTTTTGGCCTGACTGTTCCTGATCCTGTATTTCGATGCTTTGAGGAAATCATCAAGCGAGGTACATAACAAACATGCTAAATCTGAGGTTCAATCAAGCTAACCTTTGTACATTGCCGCATGATTTTTTCATGTATGAATAGGTTTGCTTACAGAAGGTATATTTAGACTTTCGGGTGCAGCACCCGAAGTAGAAGGCCTCTTGCTTGACTTTGACAAACCACCAACCTATGGGAAATACTTGGATTTGAAAGACAATGACATTCATGCCATTACAGGTGTAGTCAAAAAGTATTTACGTCACCTGCCTGATCCTGCGATACCTACTGCTACTCATGACAAATTCATCCAATTATACGGTAACTATTAATGTCAAGATCAAGTAGCGATACGTATTCTAACGTTTCATTCTAGATGAATCGCTATCAGATCAGTCTACCATTGAAACATTAGCATCCATGTTGCATCGTTTACCGAAAGAGCACTTTCATTTGATTCACTACATCATCATTCTTGCCTCGAATATCCAACAACATGCCGATGTCAACATGATGAATCCGGAAGCACTGGCTATTGTTTTAGCTCCAGTGTGTACAGGCCTTGAACACAACCTCAAGGAAATACCGAGTTGGGTCAAACGTCATTCTCGAGCTAAAATGATGGCAGATATGAGCCATTTCATAGAGACGAATGCAAAATGGACTCGACTTTGGACATTGATGATTAAACACAGCGACAAATTGCTGGACATCTGGAAGCATGTACCCTTGTGGGAAGTCCGTACAGTTCCCTGTCATCCCTCTGCCTTTCATTCTTCGTCTGCTGCTTCGTCCCACCAACAAGGTCGGCACTCAACAACCTTATCACCTTTGGAACAAACTGAGTTGCTTCTGGATATTGCACCTCAGCGACGTCCTAGCTATCATAGTCAGCGCAGCGATGAGTTATACAAGGTGGTGGTAATGAGATCAAGGCAAAACACATGCAAATCACTGAAAAAGAACAGCAGTAGCACCACAAGCAGACGATCGCCACCCACACTCATGGACGACAGCAGCATGAAAGTGCCAACCACGCCCAAAAGACACTCCATGGTGCACACATCCTCCTGAGCAGAAAGAGAGAGAGATTCCTTTCTAATTTATTAATATCTAATACTTTGTATTCTATACCCCGAATAACCTCCCCACCTCATATATATTATTATTCCCATACGTCTTGTAATCAATACAGAAAAAATTTCGCAATTGATCCGTAACTCTTTTTGCAATGATGGATAAGGTTACACCGTCTATCAGGGAGCCCCTCTTTTGCTTTGCAGTGCGATTGCCGGCTTGTGTGTCACTAAATAGCTAGAGCATGGCATGTAGGCTCTGGCTGTTCTAAAAATAAAGGAAGCTAACATTTCGTTGAAGTTGGCTGATATCGAGAGCGATTTAAATGATCAACCGTTTTCAAACATAAGATACGGTGTACAATACTCCTGTTACGAGTTCCAACTGGAAGAGAATTTCGGAAACAAATAAATTCAGGTACACAATAATTTTTTGTTGAACAATAGCTGATATATGTATGGTTTACAGGCTTTTTCAATGACCAAAATGGGGCCATGTCAACAATCTTCTTTGTAGGTTATTGCCTCGGATTACTGGTATGTACAGTATAGGCGATTCCCAAGCTAGACATTCCATTGCATAAAAAGTCTTTTTAGAATATCTATCATCACGGGCATTGTAAATGCAAGTGTGTCTAAAAAGGAAGAATGTTGACATGATAGGATACAATAATGGACTAGCAAAGTACAGCCATGCCAGTGCAACCCAAACACCTGCAGCACATCCCTGAAAAGTGCTATGGCGTAGAAGACAGTAGCAATTGAAAACATGTAGAATTATTGTTGGCCGTCTTGTTATTGTCTCTCGAAACAATAGGCAAATACTCAACATGGCTTACAAGCGACGTTTTGGCAGACTGTGACACCAATCTGCAGCAATATGTGATGCAAACTGGAGTACACATGCTGTGTGATCCAAATAAAAATGCACACTCACATTTGATTCAGAAAGCCTCATGGTGCTCACACTAAAATTGCTCTTAATTGCGAGGGTTAAACAAAGATATCTGTATAGCCCTAATAGATCATCTTTGTGATTAGATTTTACATGACATACAGAAAATTAAAAAAAAAAAAAAAAAAAAAAAAAGTCTAATTTGGCAGGTCCCCGATCGACTTTGGCCCTCTTTATCTGGTTTGATGATTCTGTATTATATATGGCCAGAGGCTTCACATGTTGTTGATGGCTCCGTTGTATCTTTCTGCTGACATTGACCCTGTTTACCTCTGTAAACGTGTGTTTTCAAACAAGGTATTCCAGGCTGTTCTTTTGGAATGGCTAATTTGAATAAACTTTTGCCTTTCGTCATGGATGTTGGTGGAAAGTTTTCTAGAGCATTCATGAATATGCTATGATGTCTTTTAATCTACTTGTCATAAATGGTTAACTCTTTGTAAGGTAAACTAATGTGTATGCTCTACGTAAAAAACCACACAAATGTATACTGAAACAGATTCGAAATACGCGCTACTGTCCAAATGACTGATAAAGAAGGACCGACACACATCAACAACTCCTTAAAACTAACTTTAAATCACTCAATGATTGATGGTGAGCTAAAACAAGCTAATTGCAGCAAAGCATTAAAACTCGTCATTAATTGTAGTTACTCTTGTTCTCTTTGCTTTTTCATTTAACCCTAAATGTCCTCGCATTTCCTGCTACCAAAAGCGCTTTACATCACACTCTATTCGCTTTATGGCTCGGCAATAGCGTACATTGCTATCTTTTATAGTGAGGTGTTGCATTTGAGTCCCAACCAGATTGGAATTCTTTTGGCAATTGCTCCATTTGTCCAAGTCGTCGCTTGCCCGTTGTGGACACTGATTGCAGACAAATACTCGAGATTTCATGGCCTGATCATGGGCCTGATAGCAGCGATAGGCGGATCCAGCGTGGTGTCTCTGTATTTCTTGCCTAAGTTTGAGCTGGATGGTTTCTGGGTAATGGCTGCTGCCACTGTAAGTGCATTCCTGTTTGCTTTCTTTGGGAGTCCCATTTGCGCCCTTGTGGATAGTGCCGTGCTCAAGCTGTTGGCCGATCAAAAGATTCTCTATGGTATCTATCATGAAAGTTACGCTTGTGTGCCCCGCATTTGTCTATAAAATGGCTGTATAATAATAGGTAACCAGCGTCTGTGGGGATCTGTTTCGAATGGTGTGCACATCCTTGTCGTTGGCATCTTGATATCTCGCATGGGAATTGGGATCGCCTTTGCTGTCTTTCTCGGAGGACTGATTCTATTTGCTGTCTTATCCTTGTTTGTGCGTTTTGATTATCAGATGATGCACGCCACAACAAACAACGGGAGCGGAAGAATGGTAACGAATGATACTAGTGATGAATCAAATGTGGGAGAGCGATCGCCATTGCTGACAGGAAAGTCGACTGCAGTGACAGGCGGCAACTATTTGTATAACCCTACTAGCACATCAGAGCCAGCTTGGTTGCAAGATGATGCCAGAAGAAACTCATCAAGCACGACTATTCAAAGAAGAGACAGTAATACAAATACGCTCTACTTGACTACTACAACTACTGTGATGGCTATGAGTGTGCAAGTGGAGGCTGATCAGGAGCTTCATGCTACATCCACATTACCACCATTGGGTCTGGTGATCTCTTATATACCTACTCTAGATACATCTCTGTCAGCTTTGGGAACAATACATGATGGCGCAGGAGACTTACCAGAGCCCTCCATCCTCAAGACAATTCTCGTCTATACTTTTTTACTTTCAATCCTGCTCTATGGTTTGGCGCACTCCATGATTAGTCAATTTTTGTTCTTGTTGTTGAAGGATTTAGGCATGGATGCCTCCATGATGGGCTGGACAGGACCAATTGGTGGTGTTGCAGAAGTGCTGACATTCTGGATGTCGAGAAAGGTACGGCATTTACATTTCAGATGGCATTATGAGGGCGATCATTAACGAGGATTCAGCTGTTTGATACTTACAGCGTGACGTTATTGATGACAGCTGCGTATCTGTCGTTCATCTTTAGAGCGTTCGCATACATGTGCTTGCAACCAAATCAGAGTGCCTCTCTGATTATCGCTTTGGCCTTGCAGATTCTTAATGGTATTATATGAGAATAGTGCCGAATATTCTCAGTTTGGTATTAAAACATCTTGTTAGGATTCTCTTACGCCCTCATCTGGTCAACCGCTGTAGCTGAGGTCGATGGTTTCTTCCCTGTAGATCAAAGGTCAGTTGCTCAAGGTATATTAGCAGCACTGTTCTCGGGCCTAGGATATGGATTGGGATGTATAATTGGTGGTTGTGTATACGCTGTGTATGGATCGATCAAGCTGTTTCAAATATCTGCTTTTATTTGCACTTTGAGTCTAGTTGTCTTTTTGTCTGGAAGGAGATAACCCTGATCTGCGCGGTTTTGTGAATAGAACTCAAGTCGCTTGTCATGATCAATGATAAAAAAAAAATGTTGAAGTATGTCTCCATCTATAGCACTCTAATTTTTACTTGAATATCAATGCATTTCACATCTGTCTAAATCTCTCAACATTATGCAAAATCCCTCCAGAGACAAACTCTATCAGTGGATCTGAACTTTCTAGGATGCTCTGCGTCTGATAGAAAGGAAACAGAGCATGTACGGGCATACAACGTACTTTTATTACCTCTTACTATGCTAGAATATGCAAAACACAGCGACAATTTGACACTTTTGAGTCGTACTTTCTCATGTTAGAAGCCGTTTCTAGACGCCAGAACAGCACCACACAACTGCTCTGGCCTAGCGCTTACTTTCTGACACCTTTGCTCAACTTTTTTGAGATTGCCAAAATTTGGCCAAAAAAGCATGAGGGATACCTCATGGGATTTTGACGAAAATCAAACGATCGCGTTTTTGACCTCCAAAATAAAGACTTTTACTATGGCATACGAGCCTTTCAGCACTTCGGGTGGTTTCCTGACCTACGCTTCGCTTCGGTGGAAACCAACCTACGTTCAAACGGCTCGCGCTGCCGCGGGCCTTTGGCTAATATCCCAAAATTAATATAGCTAAAATGTTAGAAGAGGAACCCTGATTGTTGATTGATATGTAATCACTAATCGTATGAGTGTTTATGCTTCGGATGGTTCTCACCGAAGCGTAGCAAAGGTAGAGAACCAACCTGCGCAGCGGCAGCTCGTGCTACTGATTGCTCTTGCGTATTTTATCAAAATACTGCTACTTTCATTTTGACCCTCCACTTACACATAGTAACCCTTCCTATTATCTGTGGATCTGATTCTTATGTGATGTTCTACATCCATATACACGTAGCTACTTCATATACGGGCAAGCAGCATACTGGTATTCCCAGTTTTTAGTCCTTAGTGTCCCTAATACAACAAAATTTGAATGCATTTGAGCTGAATTTTCTTGCGTTCAAGGCCGTTTTAGATCGTCAGAATAGCCCCAAATGGTTGCTTTCATCTGGCAGTTACTTTCTGACACTTTTGCTCGACTTTTTGGGGACCAAAAAAACATGGTCAAAAATCGACCAAAAAGCATGAGGTATCCCTCATGGTTTTCATCGAAAATCAAACGATCGCATTTTTCATCTTGATAATGGAGACTTTTACTATGGTATATCTTGAATCAAAATGTTTCTATCAATCCAAAGCAACCTCTGAAATTATCTTTGTGGGACTTTGATATGTAAAATTTCGACATTTTGGCCATAAATCTCTTTTCATATTTTTACAAATCATTCAATAAGTGAATTCAAAACATCTATTTTACTTAGTACCATTGGAAGCGCCTTGAAAAGTACTCCAGGAAAGCTTAAGGAAGCATGGGGTGATTATCATACTTCACTTAGTCGAATCTGCAAAAATAGCTCGATCGAGTCCAAAATTATCAAAATATGTCCAATCTGGAACAGACTATGATTCTGGGTTTGAATTAATTTTGGCTGGTAGGGCCAGCTGGAAAACTCATGCCCTTTTCATAAGGCAATACAGTAGTAAATGCCCTCGAAGCGTATAGAAAGTAGGTGGCAGGTCATAGTACTATCGTTTATAATGATATTTTATTGCCTTCTATATCGTTCATAATGATATTTTATTGCATTCTATATTTAATAACGTTAGTCTGGACATTGACAATGCATGGGTTGCATAAAATGTCTGCAGTAAGTAATGAAATCTCTGAGGCTCTGAGACGTCGCTCAAATAAAACATTGACAGCATTGAGCAGAGGAAAGAGGGTAGAAATAATAGTGGTTTTTATTGATTGATTGTAAAATCATTATTCTCATATGAGCCAGGTCTGATAGATGCCTTGAAACTCAGGTTCCATATTAGGATTGTAAAGTGCAAAAGGACTGAACATTTATTATGTTATGATATGAGCCAGGTCTGATAGATGCCTTGAAACTCAGGTTCCATATTAGGATTGTAAAGTGCAAAAGGACTGAACATTTATTATGTTATGATATGAGCCAGGTCTGATAGATGCCTTGAAACTCAGGTTCCATATTAGGATTGTAAAGTGCAAAAGGACTGAACATTTATTATGTTATGATATGAGCCAGGTCTGATAGATGCCTTGAAACTCAGGTTCCATATTAGGATTGTAAAGTGCAAAAGGACTGAACATTTATTATGTTATGATATGAGCCAGGTCTGATAGATGCCTTGAAACTCAGGTTCCATATTAGGATTGTAAAGTGCAAAAGGACTGAACATTTATTATGTTATGATGATATGAGCCAGGTCTGATAGATGCCTTGAAACTCAGGTTCCATATTAGGATTGTAAAGTGCAAAAGGACTGAACATTTATTATGTTATGATATGAGCCAGGTCTGATAGATGCCTTGAAACTCAGGTTCCATATTAGGATTGTAAAGTGCAAAAGGACTGAACATTTATTATGTTATCATCACCTTTCTTCCGCTTTTCAAATTTTTACATAGTTTGAATCACCACTGTAAGAAAAATCCCTGAAAAAGCGATAGTAACAACAAACATTGCAACTTTGATCAGCATGTCAAACATTGTGATCGATCAAACCACCATCCAGGCTCTCGTCGAGTCGGTGAAAGCCTTACACTCCCGTCTCGACATTTTCGAACGTGCTCAACAAGCCCAGCAAGCCCTGAACGCTCAGTTCCGAGAAGAAGTAAATGATCTTCACTCCATCATCAACAATCTCGAGAAGCTTATCCGCTCTCCTGCACCCGTAACTGCTCAACCCCCCATCGCCGCTATCCCAATTACACCTGTGGTCCCTGCCGCTCAGGCTCAGGCTCAGGCTCAACAACCCCGCAACAACCCACCCCAGTGGAGCCAAGTCCTCAAACGTCCCTCCGCTGCCTCTAACAAGCGCCGCCGCGAACATGCTCTCCGTACACTTCAACCTCCTCAACCTGCCACTGAAAATTCCAACTACACTGTTCTGCACCTCCATCGTGCTCATCGTATGACTCACACCGAATATCGTGCTACCCTCGCTGCCATCGGCATCGATAGCAAACGTATTCTAGATGTCACTTTTCCTGCTCGCAACATCTCCACCATCCTGATCCACACTGCATACAAGGCGGATATACTTCAACTCTTAGCCGCCGGTGAACTGACTGAAGTCCCAGACTTTAACCCGCTTGACCATACACATGTAGCCGATCCCCAATTTGCTGACATGCCTGCTCCCCAACTAACCCGTATTGCTGCCGCCCTTCACACTGACCGATGCATCCGTACTGTGCGCTACATCAAGAAACATACTGTCCCCGGCGTCCTCAAATTTTTCATGGCCCAAAACTGGATACCTCTCGTCACTGCTCAAGATCTCTCTGCTGAACTGCTTCCTCGTCCTGCCAAACGTGCTATGGACCCTCATTCTGCCGTTGGTCAATTGCTCCTTGATCCCGTCTACGCCACCAAGTTACGCTCACGCCAGTTGGTTGATCGTCTAGGCAACGTCGTTGAAACCAATGCAATGGAGATTACTGAGGAATTTTACGATGATCCCAACCACTCAGACACCGATGACTCTCTTGAATGAGTGAATCCTCATCACAGCCTTTAAATCAACGTTCTGCATCCCCTGATAATGTTTATGTCCCCCCGGTATCTGCTCCTCATTCTTCTAACAAACACACTAACTTGATTATTCGTAGTCTCAACTGCCGTAGCCTTGCTAAACCATCAAACGTCCCCAACAGCCAAGCCTTTTGTCGATTCCTACGTCAATCTTATGATCAACAACCACACATCCTCTGCCTTCAAGAAACCCACGCTTCCGATCCCAATACCCAAGCTCGCCTCGACTTACAACTCCAAGCAACATCTTCTATATGGTCATCCCATTGCGGGATAGTAAGTCTTCACCCTAATATTCATATCAATCCCATCTTCGTCTCGGATGATGGTCGAATCATATATTGTACCATTTCCCACACTACTAACCTATTTCCTCCCCTGAAGATCATGAATATCTATGCACCCGTCACTACTCCAGATAGATATATCTTTTATGATCAGTTACTTCAACGCTCCTTCTTCCAAACTCTCGTCACCAACATGAACACGGCGGAAGGTCTACACAACAATCACCTGTCTAATGTCACCGATGCCCCATCTATAGTCGTTGGTGATTTTAATTACAATTTCCGCCAATACCGTCCACCATCTATTGTCAAACCAGCTAGCATTCAATCACAATGGCTATTTCATTCGATGCTCACCCACTACTATCAGGAAAGTACTCATGAATTAATCCACGAACCTCAAGTACCTACCTTTCGTCGCAACACTACGTTCACTACCATCGATTATATGTTCTTGAATCCTCAACTGATGGACTTCCGTACTGACCAGTTTGTCCACTTTGTCCACTCGGACTGGACTGACCATGCGATGCTGTCTACCCAACTAACTTTTGATAATCCAGATCTCGGTAAAGGTCTGTGGCGAGCCAATCCACAATTAGTCCACAACGAATACTTCTGCCAACGCCTGTTCACAAAGCTTGACGATTTCCACACCCTTCTCGCTTCCAATGCTAATGATCTCACTCCACAAGTCATTTGGGATCAAATCAAGGAATTAACTCGACAGGTAGCCAAATCTTGTAGTCGTCGTCAATCGGAATGGCGTCGCCGTCTACTTCGTCGTCTCCAAAGCAAGCGGAACAAGCTGATACGACTCTACAAAACGACTCAAGTACGCAATGATCGCCTTCCCAAGATCGAATCAATGATAGGTAACCTACAACAAGAATTGGCTGATATTCAAGCTTTACGCTCCGGCATCAAATGGCGTGAACACGGGGAGAAATCCGCTGGTTTCCTCAAGCGTCTTACATCCCAGCGATCCCAACAACGAGCCATCCCCACTCTTCAACACCCCATCTCCTCCTC